GCTGCTGGTTTCGCCATTATTTCCGTCGCCAGCCACAGCGGCCTATCAGCCGGTATGGTGGGTCTGGCCATGTCGTACGCTCTTCAGATTACGCAGAGCCTCAACTGGATTGTCCGTCAGACTGTTGAGGTGGAGACTAATATCGTTTCTGTTGAGCGTGTGCTTGAGTATGCCGCACTACCCAGCGAGGCGCCTGAGATCATCTCCAAGAATAGGCCACCAATCAGCTGGCCGTCTCAGGGTGCTGTCACTTTCGACAACTACAGCACCCGATACCGCCCTGGTCTCGACTTGGTTCTCAAGAACGTCAATCTCTCTATCAAGCCAAAGGAGAAGATTGGTGTTGTCGGTCGTACCGGTGCTGGCAAGAGTTCGCTGACTCTCGCATTGTTCCGTATCATTGAGCCTGCAGAGGGTAACGTGAGCATCGACAACCTCAACACTAGCACCATTGGTCTTCTCGACCTTCGCAGACGCCTAGCCATCATTCCACAAGATGCAGCGCTCTTCGAAGGCACTGTGCGCGACAACCTTGACCCAGGACATGTTCATGACGATACTGAACTTTGGAGTGTACTAGGTAAGTCACCATTACCATGCCTCTCTGGCTCTCTGTCTAACTGACCCCAACAGATCACGCTCGTCTCAAGGACCACATCTCCTCCATGCCCGGCCAACTCGACGCCACCATCAATGAAGGCGGCTCCAACCTCTCCTCCGGTCAACGCCAACTTGTTTCCCTTGCCCGTGCCCTGCTCACTCCTTCCAACATCCTCGTCCTCGACGAAGCCACCGCTGCTGTCGATGTCGAGACAGACGCTATGTTGCAGACTACACTCCGCACTAGCATGTTTAACAACAGGACCATTATCACCATTGCGCATCGCATCAACACCATTCTAGACAGCGATCGCATCATCGTCTTGGACAAGGGCGAGGTGAGAGAGTTTGATAGCCCGGCTGAGCTTGTCAGGCAGAAGGGACTGTTTTACGAATTGGTGCGCGAGGCGGGTTTGTTGAATAGTTTGGATATGAGTCAGTCGTCTAGCTGAAGTGACTAGCCCTGATAGAAAGAAAAAGAAAATATGATTGATGCGTGCGATAGGGTTTGATGAAGACCGAGGTAAGAGAGGTCACAGACTCAATGTGGACGGGGCGCTTCCACGATTGGCCTCGTTGGGGAGGCATGTGTGGAAAGGAGACCACGCGAATGGCGTTGGTTGAGTGTATCTCACTACGTGGAGTGTGGCAGGAGGTAGAGATATGGCTTGGTGGAGAGATGTGGAGATGGAGAAAAGAATAGGAAAAAGGATGTTAATCTTGGTAGACATGTGTATAAAATTGTAATACTGTTTTAACTTGCAAATCTTTCCTGGAACTAAGCATGATTTCCGGATGATGGGTGGGTGAATACGATATCCTATGTTGTAGTCAACACTTGGAGGGTGTCGCAATATCATGCCAACACCTACATGCAAGCCACGTCGCGAACAGCAAGTCAGATTGACACATCTGTGAGCTTGCATCGCCGCTAAGAGGGGTACAGATGGTTTGGTGCTCTGTCAAGTCGTGCAGTATCTCAAGACTGTCTAAATGTGATATCATGCGTCAAGCTATGCATGAACGGCTGAAGAGCCTCAGACCAACACTCGGCCCTGGTGGGTATATCATCCTTCATCGCGTGAGGGGAAAGAGACATCATGGCCGTTTGTACGATACCCACATGTGCCATGTTGGATATGTTGAGAAGCAGAACCTTGGCTAGTCATTTACTTTTAGCCAAGTCTTCTCGTGGCATCGGGTATCAAATCCCCGGGAGAAAGTTCGGAAGGATCAAATTTTCTTTCCGCAAGGGTCACAGCGGCCGTTGTGATAGGATGGTGAGGGGACATGCATGGAAGGAATCCGAGACGCGACTGGCATCTTACAGCGGCAGTTACCCGACAGAAATTCTGGACATGAAGCAAGGGTGCCAAGTGCAGCGGTGACAACAGCGCCTAGGCGATCCTCCCACGACAGATACGAACTGAATGATCATAGTCAGGTGATCGTCACTCCATTGTGTCTATCTTCGGTAGCATGGTTACTTGAACATCGGAGCAAACGTTTCATCGTCCACGCTTTCCGAACCCCGTTGCCGCCGTGTATCTTCATCTAGCGATGAACATCATGCACTCTTATCCAGCATCTAGATAGCCATCGCAGAAACGCACATTGGAGAAAGACAAGCGACCCAATAGACGTCTACATGGGGGGTGGGGAAACTCGCGGCGGGTTACGGTACCCGTGCGTCCTCGTCATGAGAGCATGGCGTTCACATTCATTGTCAACTGGTGCAAATCAGAAATCCCGGGCGATTCTTTCGACGCCGGAACGTTGCGTAGAGGCTTTGTGTAAGCGACGTTTGCTACCTTGCTGACACGAGGTGCGGAGGGGTCATGGCGTGGGCCAGCGTGTCACGGCATGTCCGTTGACAAGGCATATCGCCTTCCACTTCTACGTGGTGGCGCATATATGCCGGATCCTAGTGAAAGGGATCAGTATCATGACTGGCTGCGAGGCCGGCGGAAGTGTCCGAGCATGGTTCTGTGATGCGTGTAACGTAGGTTTAGTTGTAGGCTAGCGGCCCGTAGCCGTCTTGGTGAAAACGGTACAACGGTGCGGCACGTTATCTCCGCTATGCTATTCCAGTGTGACGCGGAAGAAGTCTGGGTTCCGGGTCTGGGTTGTCTATACGACATGAGCTCAGGGCCAAGCCATGTGAATACAGCAGATTATTGTCGGTGAGTCGATATCCTCACACGACGAGAGTGAAACAGCAGAAGGGTAGATACATTGTGCAGCAATCTGCAGAAATCAGTCCATCACGTACAGCAACTGTGCGCAGGCCTCAGCGAGATGGATCGCCTGTCTAACTTGTCTTGTGCCAACTCGCGTGAGATCGTATCGATCAGACATATCGAGCCAGATTGATTTCAATCTCTCGCCAACAGCCTGGTAAGCGGATGGACGCGCGCGGGCCTGACCGAGATCGAAAGGATCCCATGAAGAACTGTTGTATACTTCGTTTAGATGCAGCCCGTGGCGCTAGAATGGGCGCAGTGTCGTAACGATGAAGACCCTTCGGCTGTTTGAGGGCTTTGTTCCTGTGGTTCGGGGACGCGGGTACATCTGTTTAGCGCTCTTGCCACATGTGATCCCCAGGCCTCGTGCTGTACGTTCCAACGGCCGTGCTATGACTGGCGGCAATGTGGTAAGCGAAGGTAGAATAGTGAGGGCGATTACAGGGATAGATGCAAGCCGTGGGGTATCTGATGCCTAAACGGCTTCTGGCCGTGGGCGAGACACCATCGTAAATTTCATCACAGTGTGGACTAGCTTGATGGCTTGCGTGGAATGTGTATACGTGGGGTCAAGAAAGTTGCAGCTGCTACCAATATGGGCGCGAAGTCTGGCGTTCATGCAATTGTGTCTACTACGATGGCGAGCGTGTGGTCACCTCTCAAAGGGTTTCTGATCAGAACTGCTGATCGTAGATTGACGTTATTCAGATGGGATCGATCACGAGGACTCTGTATACTCCGCGGAACAGGCTTCAGCACTAGTGTGTATACACTCATGCGGAACAACGTCAGGATCCTTGTCCGTCCCGCAACTGGTCACTTTTCGGTTCAACGTTTACTCATTGAGAGCGCAGAGTCTCCGAATAGAGTTACGGCGTACATTCGGGGGAGCGGGAAGACGCAAGAGACATCTCCACAAGCCCTAATCCAGACTCCCAGGTCGACGCCTCCTGTCGCTCAACGGCTACTTCAGCCCTTGGTCCATTGCCTGCGGACAGGCGTTTCATGCGACGTGTTCTATGTGTTTGCTTGAAGAGGTCAAGACGCCTGTCGTTGCCGAAGGTATGCGTGTGAGGGTAGATGCAGTGTGCAGGAGATAAGAGTCGACAGATCTACGGCTTGTTATAATGAAGTGAGGCCGGCTTCATAACTTGAGAGCCTTGTCAATACATTCGGCCCTATTATCATTGTTCCATCGAGGGCTCATTCGTTGCTTTTTTACACTAGATATTGCGGCTCTACTTAGGTTCACAACTTCGGCGCGGACGATATTCGCAAAGACCAGTCAGACTGGAGTACCGCCCGCCCCTGGTCGCGCAACTAGCTGCCCCCGAATAGCTACTGGTACCTCGTCCAAGCACCCTCGGAGTGGCTAGGAAGATCGTGACTAGTTGAGTCTCTTCGATGATAGATGTAACGGCACCCTTGCGATACAGCTGAACCCAACACCGAGCGTAGACGTATCCTAGATCTGCAATCAGAAGAGGGGTATCTTTCGTTCGTCCAAAAGTTGGGATCTGGCCCGGAACGGGCTCTTTCCGGTAAGTAATTCCAGCGCAAGATGTTAAGCGAAGTGTGCGCAGCTCGGGACCATGCTCAGCGAGTCAAGTCTCGATCATCACGACCTCGACCATCCATTTCGCCTCGATTGTTGCTCCGATGAGGTGGTTTCCGCTTGGTATAAGATTCAACTGACTAATGGGCAGACTATCCTTACTTTCGTGTTCCTCTCGAACGCTACAGGACGACGATATATGCTCTTATATTAGTAGAGGCGTTCCATCGAGTAGCTCACGGGCTCCGTTAGCTGCAACTCCATAACTACCCACCTGCATGGCGAAGTTCCGGCCCGTGGACCCATCGGCCCCTCCCGCCAGGGACCGGCAGCCGATGCAGACGAGCGATGGCGCTGCAATGACGGGCGACCGACGTGGGGCAGACTCTTGGGCGATGGTTCATGGTGGTGATGAGTTTGGGAAGTCGTCTGTGAGTGTTGATTCTTTTTCATGTCTCGGGGAGTTGATAAGGTTTCGGTTCGCTCCTGCGCTTCCAGCGGGTAGCGCCACATTTAGCGGCTGCCGTGACCCAAACAACCGGGACCGGCATACGCCTAGTATAATCGGTAATAGCGATGGGCATATATGCTGATGCCTTCAGGCAACATCCTCGCAAGCTATCGAAGCCACCGTCAAGCAGGACGAACCAGAGGAGGCTCTCGCTATTCCAACACCCATCGGCTGTTGGAAGGTCATCTCGCCTGACGGTCGTGAAGAGCGCGTCTTTAAGCCAATCCCCGGCTTCGAACATCTATTCAACGGTCCAGCACAGTTGCAGGGACTTCCTCGTCCGGCAGAATCGCCTAGAGCTGTTGCGACGCCAATCTGCCAGCCTGTCGCATCCCAGTTACCGGGTAAGATCGAATGCTTGCTCTGAAAGTTCCCTTCGCTAATTGGTCCAGCTACGTCGAGAGAAGGCCAGACTAAGAAGCGTAAGAGAACTCGGTCACAAGCAAGGGGACGCCTAAGTCAAACCGTGGCTCGGCAGCCTAGCGACGATGAAAATGACGAACAATACGACGACAGAGATGCCAGTGTGCCAACCGCAAAGTCCTACACCTTCTACATTGGCGACGTGAAAGAGCTCAAGCGCTTTTTCCGAAAACGGCTAGACGAACTCACCATGAAGCCAGTACGGCCTATCGTCACGGCTTGGGTCAAGCTACTGGAGCCGAAACGTTTGACCCGGTTCGGTCCATATCACAAGAAGTTGCCTAATGAACAGCCTCAGGAATGTACCCCACCTTGGTGGCCCCGGGACGTGCCCTATGAAGAGCCCTCTCACCTGGACAAAGATGGTAAGCTGTCATTCCCGTTCGCAATCGGATGCCAACTAATTCTTTATATGTCTCTTGACATTAGCAGTCGATCTCATGCTCCAGCACCGTGATATCGACGTGGGCAAGCGTAACATGGACTGGGTCACCAGGCTCAGGAATGCAGCGCACTATGCCGTAGAAACAACACCACCGGATCAGTTCTCCTCGTCCAAAGGTTCTGCATTTAGTGAGAGGATGCAAGGGCGAGCCCTGGGCGAGATCATACCGAATCTTTTCAACATTGCACTGTCATACCAGGAACATTTTGCGAGATACACCCTCTATGAAGGTACAAACAATCGGGATCCTGGCATAGGCATACATGTGACCTGGCAGCCACTTACGAGACCACCACGCCAGACTCCCGCTCCTAGGAAGCGCGATCGACAGACCAGGACGAGGCCAGCATCAAGAATAGAGTATGACGCCCACGAATCTGGCCACGACACCGAGGTCGACAACACCGCAATCGAGTCGCATCTGCGATCAGAGGGGCAGGTTCGAGAACCGCGACAACAGGCGCGAGCTCCCAGTCACGGAGATCCAACTCCGCATCTACCAAACATGCATGTGAGCAGCTCCATGCCAACGCTGGACACCTCCTTTGATCAGTCGATGCACGCTTTTCACCTAGGTGACAGCATGGACTTGAACGTCAAGCTGGCCGACCATGTACCGTATCAGGGTCGATTTTCAGCCCGGAGTAACTTTGATTACGACCAACCAATGCAGTTCCCAAACGGTCTTCCAAGTTACCATCATATCCCACAGCCACAACAGAGTGTTGGCCGATCCGACATAATCCCAGCGACCACATCTGGATACGAGCAGCCATTCTCCATGTTCCCAGCCTACCATCCTCAAGCCGGAATTTCAACGTTCGAAAGCAGCGCTGGATTTCCTGTTTGTCATGATGCTTTTGTTCCGCCATGTTTCGATGGTTTACCTACTGTGAACAGCATCAGCTGTCAACCAGAAGTCTCTCACCATTAATTGCCTGCGACTTAGCGTGCATCTCTCGCGTTTGCCTACATGATTGTGTCTTGGTCCTTTTGTTGCTAGTTCTCATGTCTTCGAAACGACTCACGAATGTAACCTTCTCCTTTCTCATCTTGTATTGCTGTCACGTTTATTGAGCTTCTGTTCCAGCACAGCGACTTGGTACCCTGCCATGCTGGATGCTTCGGCACACTGGCTGGAACATGTTTTGGTGCGCTTCTCTTGGCTTTACCTTTCTCGATCGCCCGCGTCTTGCAATATACCCCATACGACGTCACGCCGCTCACGACTGCATTGCAACGACGTCGGTACAAAAGCTCACGGCTGCCTAGTGGAGGAAATAATTGGACGCCAGGCGAATTTCCTAGGTTTGGGACTGTTCTTGCTAGAAGGCGTTGTACAAAAGCTTGGGGTAGTTGGTCTTTATCGAAGAGAAGGTGGGAAGATGGCCAGGTTGTGTGGATGGTCGATAGCCATGCAACAGTATATAAGTGGCAGGAAACACATGTGGACACAAAACATGGTTATGAACAATATTTCGGGTATGTTAGATATCGAACCAAGATATCGAATCAAAGACATGGATGCTGTGCGTGAAGTACCGGGTGAAGTGGCGCTGAGGAGAGAGTTGCAGATGGTGCAGGCGGAAGTGTGAAACCAAGGGCGGAGACTCGGGGCTCCAGCCACACGTATGCCAAGGCGCCCGACCGCGTCACGGGCCCGGGCTCTGAGCTCACGGCTTCTCTTGTTCGCGGCATTCATGGGCCTTTGTTGCATTCAGCAGCAACCGCCAGTCGCATCCAACCCGACTCGGCCAAGCAGCCCAAATCACGACTGCCAAACGCTCGCCCGCACCGAACCTCTTTGTCGCATGCACACGGGCCGTGACGCTGACGTGGATTGATCGCGAACTAACACCTTTCGTGATAGAGTCGCGACCATGGCAACACCACGAGGCGGAAAGAGCGGCGGCGGAGGCGACCGAGGACGCGGTCCCAAAGGCGGCAACAATTTCAATGCCAATCGCGCGCGCGGTAGAAACAATGCGCAAAACGAGGAGCGACCGGCGCAAGGCCTATACACACCCGGGCAGGGACGAGGACGGAGCGCGGATGCGAAGAACAACCACAGCAATTCGTAAGTCTGCATACCCACTCTGACCTTAGCACAGGGCGCGGGCGGACCGATGGCGCCGTCACCAGGAGCATACTACACCGCTGCTATCGTTGCGATGCATATCAGACGAGCGTCTCCCACGGCCGCTCGCGGCCTATTCTAACAAGACTCTTCTAGGAACTCTTCTAATACAAGCCACTTCGGCGCGTCGAGCACGCCATCGTTTGCGCCCCACGAATATCAGAAGCGACTACAACACGTAAGGACTATGGATATATCGGCAGCTGTTCAGTACTGACCGTCATAGATCAAAGCGGAGCGCCCCAAGATACGCGAAAAGTTCATTCGTGACGGCCTGATGAATCCAGAGGGCCAAATGCGCCTGGTCGATTCCGTCAAGCTGTACGGCTTGTGCCAGGAGATGTGTCCGGAATACGAGCGCGTGCGTCGCATAGTCGAACTGGACGTCAAGGCGCCAGAATGTACACCCGAGACCCAACATCTACCGTCCCGTAGTCAACGCATCGCAGACGAGTCGCGCATGGTCAAGGCATATGCACGCTCGGCGGCAGGCATGGACGTGGAGCTGGTCTCGGAGATCCGGTCGCCGCCCACTTGCTTGGTAAGTCAGCAGTAGTCTATACATGTTCGTGATTTAATTTCTGCAGAGAACCCTCAAGTATCTGTACGGACGCCTAGATGAAGATGACTTCCAATTCCTTCACTCATGGCTCTGGGACCGCACGCGAGCCATTCGAAAAGATCTCCGGACGCAGCGCATCGAAAACAGAGCCGACATCGCCATACTGCTCACTTCCCTCGAGTACAGCGCCCGATTCTACATGCTTTCGGCCCACCACATGGCACGGAGTACAAAGGACGATTACTCGCATCAGCAAGACGTCGAGCAGCTGAACCAGACGCTCATCTCGCTCAAAGAGCGGTACGCCGACAACCGACGGGCCAACATCATTTCAGAATGCGAAGCCGAATTCTGGGCATACCGACTGATTCTAGCCCCCATCTACGCCAGTACCCAACTCGAGAACGAACTCCATCGTCTACCCAGCGACCTACGAAACAATCCACGAGTGCAGACCGCTTTGGAGATCTTCCGCCTCCTCAAAACCATCATCATTCACAACAACTACAAGAGCTTCGTGCAGTGCCAGTCCAACTGGAAGCGTTTCTGGGATCTGGTCAAGTCGCCAAGGGTGTCATATCTCATGGCATGTGCGGCCGCTATATCCTTCAATAGGGTCCGCCACGTTGTGCTTGACGTAGTATGGCGTTGTTATCGGGTCGGCCTGTACAGGCACCAAGTCCCTGTCGAGTTTTGGACAACGGACAAGCTGAGGGAAGTTCTTGGTATGGATACCGAAAAAGAAGCCGTGGAGTTTTGTGAGGCGCACGGCTTCGTGTTCGAGCTCAACGAGGAAGGCCGCACTTTCATGGACATCAAGCAAAAGAACTTCAACCGAAAAGCCGACGTGCTTCCGAAAGCCGATGTCAAGCCTCAGTTCTTTTCCGAAACGATTGTCGAGGTAAAGCGATGTGGCCGCCCATTATCAGCTGTTATTGCAGGCTTGACTGTCCAGGAAGCCAAGAAGGGTGGTCTGTCTACTGCGCAAGCTCAGCAAATGGATGATCAATCTTCGCTGTTCGTTCCGGAGACAACCAACGTCTTCAAGCAACAGTCTATGGAGACGAAATCTTCCGTTGGCAACTTTGGCTACAATCCGGCCGCGTCTCCCTTCCAGCCTAATGGCGCTTTTACAACATCTCCAAATCCGTTTGCGAAAGCAATCCAGCCTGGCCTCTTCGATCCTTCAAAGAACAACATCCAATTCGCGCAACCTGCGGAAGCGAAGCCCAACCCATTCCTGCAAAAGAACGCCAATCCATTCCCTTCGGCATCGCCTGCACCGTCAGGGAACCCTTTCCTGAAGAACAATACTGCGCAGTCGGAATCTACACCACAGACTGCTGCAAACCCTTTTCTGAAGTTCAATAATGCTGCGCAGTCAGAGTCAACAACATCAACGACCCCCGCGAACCCTTTCTTGAAGAACAATGCCGTACAGCCTCCGTCCACGACACCTCCAACTCCTGCAAATCCGTTCATGTCCGGATCGTTCGCACCCTCACAACCTAATCCTCAAACTCAACCAGAAGCTTCTGTCCCTGAACCCGCAGTATCAGCCCCTGCAACTACGCCCAAGCCTGCTTCCGCTTTCAACTTTACTGGATCGTCATTCAATTCCACCCCTGCTAATGGACTACGACAGGAAGGATTTTCCTTCACTCCTGCTGGATCACCACCGCCAGCTGAGACATCTCCACAAGACGAGGAAACAAAGAAGGCGGAGCAGGCGAAACAGGAAGCTGCTGAGAAGCAACGAAAAGAGGATGAGGCACGCCAGCGCGTACGGGAAGCACAACAGGCAAAGCAGGCGAAAGAAGCAGAACAGAGGCGACAGCAGGAGGCGGCAGAGGCTGCCGCTGCACAACAACGACAAGCGCAGGCGGAGCGTGAGCGAAAAGCCCGCGAACAGCAAGAAGAATTGGCACGACAGGCAAGGCAACGTAAACTACAAGAGGAGGAGGCGCGCGCAGCACGAATACGGGAGAAGGACGCAGCGCTGCATGCGCTCACGGCGGATGTAATGTTTAACCCACAGGAAGGATTGATAATGCAGTTCGTTGAAAACGATATCATGAACATGGCCAGGGTGGCTATGATGACGGTAGAAATGGAGAAGAGAGTAGCGATGGTAGACCGGAAGTACGAAAAATACTTGGAAGAGTTGAAGCGAGCGGGTTTGGCCAAGATGATGGCAGCGGCAGAGAAGAAGAGGCGGCTGCAAAAGGCACGGGAGAGGAGGAAGCGGTTGAAGGAACAGCGAGCGAAGGTAGAGGTTGGGGGAGAAGAGCAACTTGCAGACACGCCTGCACCAGTACAACCGGCGATCTCGAACGGCAAGGCGTCAACAGTGGTGCCACCAGAAGGACGATCATCTTCGAAGCAATCTGTAGCTCCCCAGAACAGTCGGCGCGCCAAGCGAACCCAAGAGCGTCACCAGGCTCAAGCTTCCGAGACAAATGGTGTGAGCCCGACTAAACCGGCACCAACACCGGTCAACAACAAGGCTTCTGATGCTTCATTCGACAAGAGCACAAGCAATGCTAGTACATCGATTTCCGCGTACTCGCAGGCCTATCAACAAGCCGTTGCAAATGCACCCGTAGACCGAACTGAAACAGACTGGTTCAGGCTACGGGCTAGAGGCATCGATCCAAGCAAGCACCGCAAGCGCAGTTTCGACTTTGGCTCATCGGACGAGGAAAGGCCAAAATTGATCGAATCAAAGCGACCCAAATTATCACCAGATTCTCCTGCGCCAGAGCATCAAGAGCAGCCCGCACCGAAGACTATGCTGGAGGAGCAGCGTGCTCGTGTCGAAGCCATCAAGGAGTCTTTCAGGAGGTCAGCATCATCAGTATCGCCTACTCAGTCTTTCAACGGCGCAGTGTCTTTCAACGGACGGTCTTCGTTCAACAATTCGACGAGTAGTCTCATCGCAAGGGCCCGACAGACGCTGGCAAACTCAAAGGCCGAGATGCCACCACCCTCGTTTACCCCTAGCAGGTCCATGTATCGAAGGGAGTCTTTTGACGGCAATGCCAGCCAGCTCATCGCACGAGCTAGGGGTCTCACGTCTGCCGCCGCCTCTGCGTCAAACGTCCAACACGACTGGAGTCGTAGTGTACCTAACCTTGGCCTCTCCGCATCGCAAAGCCAGCATTCTACATACGGTACATCTACGTACGGCAATACACTCCGCACAAGCACCTCGACAAAGAGCCGTCCAGCATACTGGGATCGCACGAGCCGCTTCGTACCCCGCCATCTTTATGGCCAGGGTGCGGAAGCCGTTCGTGCCTATAGGATTGAACAGGGTCTTAGCAAATCACCTGCCAGCACTCGACCTGCTAGTACAGAGCCTCTGGATATCTCTTCGCCGATACCGACGCAGGTCTCGTATAATCAACAGGCGAAGGCCCAGCCGATGAGCTTCAAGCAAGAGCATTACACTGGCGGTTTCATGTCGGCTAGCAATTTCCAGGCCGTCAATGGAGATTCTCTTCTAATCGACAACAACGCCATTATGACTGATCAAGGAGATGAACTTGAGTCGTACAACAACCACTTTGGTACTACGGACTCGTATCCTGGTGCTCAGTATACTACTTCTCTCTCCCAGCAGCAACATGAGCAAAAGGAAGAGTACTACGATCAAGACGCAGAGCAAGACGCGGATTCTGAGATGCTTGATGGCGAGGAAGATGAAGAGTTGCTTGATTACGATGAAGACTCTGAGCTTGACGAAGAGGAGGTTGATCTGGACGAGCACGAGGCCGAGGAGGAGCTAGAGTCTTTTGATGAGGAAGATGAGGAAGACGACGATGATGATGAGGAAGAAGAAGAAGAAGAAGATGGCGGTAGTGAGGGTCTAGCCGGCAACGAGAAACCGGGGGCTACCGAGGACGACGCTATTGAGTTGTCAGATTAGACGTCCTGATCCGCGTGGGAAAGTTTTCAGAAGAAGGTTGAAGTCGAGGGTTGTATCATATAAAACACTTGTATGCATAGCGAGGGCGTTTTGTCTTTCTTTTCTTCCTTCTGGAATATCATATACAGGGCAAGGCATAGCATGGATTATGGATATGGGGGGTATGCATGATACCCAATGGGCGGGCGATATATTGTGGTGCGCGAAAAGCTGAAGTACCAGATGGTGCGAGAACATGTGTAAGAATATGAGAAGTTGTCTTGTGGATTTGGGTGTCTGAGTGATCATTTTGCGTGATTGAATGTGATTAGCCCCAACCGCGTGACGGGACTGTATTGCACTCCTTGGTGTCGAAGAGAAGGATATTCTTCTATTACTACGCATGCTTCTATGACCTAGAATGCCCAATTACTCTTCTACAAGCTACCAGCGCTCGATCTGCCTTCTACCACCAAACAGTGGATCGCATCCTCGTGCGAATCCTTGCATTATCGTACTTTGAGCCATCTCATCTTCAAATACTATCTTGTCCAATCCAGACTATTCATCCGTCCCTTTAGAATTTTCCACTAGGCCTCTAAAATATCCTCCAGGAAGCCTTAGCAAATCTTCAGGACTACCCGACTCCACGACAACTCCTTTGTCTAAAACGATGATCTTATCAAAGTCCATGACTGTGCTTATGCGATGCGCGATGACAAGCATAGATGCAAATCCACAAGTGGAGAGTTCACGTATGGATTTTTGGATCGACGCATCTGTGTCGGGATCCATGGAAGACGTTGCTTCGTCGAGAATGAGAAGCTTCGAGCGATCTACAATAGCGCGCGCAAGACTAAGCTGTTGACGTTGACCTTGAGAGAGGTTCTCTCCCCCATCGAGAATGGGTTGGTAGAGTAGTGAGGGACCTTGGATCAACGTTGCATGGTGGAGGCTAGGGACGATGGAATCAGCATCTGAGAATAGTCCCGAACCGGACACCATATCGGCTTGTTCGCTGAACCAATCATCTGAGCCGGGCCAGTGAACTCGGCCCAAAGCGTGAAGAAGATCCGTATCGTCATGAGTATCAAAAGGATCAAGGTTTGAGCGTACAGTACCGGGGAAGAGGTGCGGGTCCTGCGTGATTATCGAAAGACGCTGGCGAAGCTGCTGTAGAGCCACATCCGCTATGTCGATGCCGTCAAGAGTGATGGAGCCCTGTTCTGCCTCAAGTATACGAAAGAAGGCCATGGCGAGGGTTGATTTCCCTGCACCCGTGCGACCGACAACCCCCACCCGTTCATTAGGTCCGATTTCAAAACTGATCCGATTTAGTGCAGGAGGCAGATGGGGTGCGTGCCGAATGACCAGATTGGAAATGTGAACACGACCCTCTTCTGGCCAGGCCGCAGGTGGCACGCGCCCGCCACTATAGTTCTCGCTAGGAATCTTCGTATACTCGATGACGCGACTGGTGCTAGTGAGTGCAAGCTCAAGACCGCCAAAGTTTCGAACAAATGTACAGATGTTGTCTGTGTAGCGGATCAAGAATCCTAGTGCGAAGCCTGTCATGGCGACTGTGGTACCGGGCATTGAGACGATGACCAGGCTAGCCATGGTGACGAAGGCTGACCCAATCAACGCCATGCGACATCCAAACCATGAGTTGATAAGCCAAAGGTTCAAAAGCGCTCGTGTGTTGTCGTCTACCAGGGTTGCAAACTTGGTCGTGTATCTTTCTTGCAGCAGCATAGACCGAATAGTGGGCAATCCATCCATCGTAGAGCAAAAGCCCTCCAGGACTGGACTTCGGCTTATGTTGTCAAGATGCTTTAATTTGCGAGCCACTCGAAGGAACTGGTTAGCACTGTATGCGCACAACAGAAGCATCGGAATTGACATGGGTAGTATCCATCTACTGACGGTAATGCTCACTCCAAAAATAGAAAGCAACATCAAGGCGCTTGTCAAGGCGCCGCCGATGATTTGACCAATCTGTTCATCGAGGATGGCTGTATCGCTTGTGAAACGATTCATTATCCGGCCCAGTGGATTCCGTTCGGTAAAGTCCATTGGCGCACGCAGGACGGCATTCAAAAGCATGTCGAATAGACGTTTTGATGCATTCAACGCACAACAGTACGTTAAATAGTTCTGGCCTATACCGAAGACACACGAAGTTATTGCGAGTGTGACATATACACTCAGGTACCAAACAAGGCTGGTTTCGTTCTCACGACCTGGATCGGGTGAGTTGTGGGTCGTTCGTTCGTCCTGTTGTACCCAACGGGCGATCCACCATGACTATTGTGCATCAGTCTCAATGTAATCTTTATCTGACAGCGTGACATACCTGTCCTACGAGCATACCCACGTAGCTCGCATAAGCTAGTAAGGCCAGAGGGAGATACCAAGCATGTTCTATGGACTGCAAGTACTGTATCAAGGTCTTGTGTTGTGATCCAGAGGTTTGTTCTTGCTCTTCTTCGACATATCGGTAGACTTCCGCGGCATCGGTACACTCAGTAATTGGGAATGGCTCAATGGAAGCCACCGAAAGAACAGAAGGTTTGCGAGCATGTCTTGATGTAGCCGTCTTAGTTGATGCACGACGACGTCTCGGTACCATCTCGTTTGTCGTGTAAACAGTTTCCTGTGGCTTGGTGAGGCCACAACGTTCTGTGAATCTGCATTCGTACTGGCCTCCACCGAATAGCGATACGATATAGTCTGCGTAGGGCATGTAGAGAGAAGGATGATGTGAGGCCAAGATAACAGTACGACCTTGGATGAGGGAGCCGCCTAGAACGTTCTGCGCTACATGAAGCGCTGTGTGAGCGTCAATAGCACTGAAGATATCATCCAGAACTAGAATAGACGCGGGGGAATAGAGGGCGCGCGCAAGTGTGATGCGTAAGCGTTGTCCACCGCTCAGGTTCACTCCATGCGGTCCAATCTCGGTCTGGTCGCCATCCTTCAAAGCTGCTAGATCTGTTTCGAGAGCACAAGCATGAAGTACCGTACTAAAACGCCTTGCTTGCATAGGGAAGCCAAAAGTGATGTTATCCATGATTGTACCAGCTTCAATCCAAGGAGCCTGTCCGACGTACGCGATAGACGAATTCAAAGACCAAGAGCGACCTGCGATTGTTGGCGCATGGGTGGCGACAGAGGGTTTCGTGACGCTACCAGCGACCAATTCGCACTCGCTAAGAACTGCGGCCAACAACAAGCTCTTTCCAGATCCACTGGGCCCTTCTATGACACTTATATCGCCCGGGGGAAAAGACAAGGTCACATCTCTGAGGGAAAACACATCCGGGCTTGATCCATTCCAGCAAAGAGTCGCATTCTGGAAACTAATTTCGTCGTGATCAGTCGAGGGGAAGCATTTGTCAGGTGCATAGAGGTAGTCTTCGAGACGCCTCAAACTGTTCAAGGCGCGTATCCAACCGGTTTGTAGTTGCGGAATAGCTCCTAGCGTGCTGTTGATGGAGCCCAAGATAGACAGACTTGTAAAAGCTGTTGATGCCTTCAGCTGTCCAGTAACGTATACATGTATCGAAATGACAAGCACAGAAAGCATGATTGGGGTCATGGTGCAGATTGCGCTCGAAGCCATGTTCCATCGGTTTACTGCCCATAGACTTGCCAACTCTTTCTCTCGCAACTGTGAAATATATGTCAACCAATTTTGCTCGGTTCCAGACAGTTTGATTTGACGAACTCCTCCGAGAGCGTCCGTGAGGGCAGCCACTCGAAGATCTTTTTCCTCCATAAGTCCGATCTGATCACGCGCATGTTGCTTTGCAACAAGTACGTTGCCGAAGAAGAGCAACACAACCACGGCGATGCTAGCTAGCAAACTTTCCCAGCCCATGAGCTGCTGAATGAACCATCCAGAGATGATCAACTTGATGACAGCCTCATAACCTCGATAGACGTCTCGAATGCAGTTTCCAATCTGCTGCGTGTCCAGAGTGACAAGACTGATGACGTTCACACCTGTCAGATCTGCTATTCCGGAACCGTCTTCACCGTCGTATTCTCCTAATTCCGTGGAGATACCACGGAGCATCTTATCGAAGAGAAGCATGGTGAGTTGCTTCTGCATTTTGACTCCCAAGTTTACACTTGAGACCCAAATAGTTCCTGTGTCCATCAAAGCGGTACATATGATGCTCATACCCAGACCAAGAACCCATGGAGCTGTGGTGAAAAGTTTGCTTTCCCCGCCAGAATCTCGCTCCATGGCCCTAAGAATGCCAAGAAGCATTATCTGAGGCGTAAAGCTGATGATAGATCCAAAAATTGTCATGCTCAGTTGTACAACCAGTTGTCGCCCATTGATGGAAAACAGATCTTTCCAGAGTGAGCGACTGTCGTTTCGAAGCGATCTGTAGTCCTGGAAGCGCTGCAAAAGAGGTAGCGCGCGTATCGTGTGATTGAGCTGAGGAAGGTTGTATATCTTTGGCGACTGTTCTGTCGAAAAGCTGCGTAACGCTGATAGAGACCAAGAAAAGAAGAAGATGTTAAACGCGGAGGCCGTGAATCGTCTATCGACCAAAATTCCTTTCCAGAAGACGTCCGGGCGGCGTGGCAGCAGCAAGCCAGACACACATGCTAGCACGGCTGACACAAACTCAACCGCCATGAGAATGCGCCCTTTGTTTCCTAGTGTGCTCCAATTTGGTAATCCAACATAAAGACCGAAGAGGAGAGCGCATGATACGTTGATGCAGTTCATGCTTCCACAAATTGCTTGACGAAATCGGCGTGGAGCAGATGATTCGGTGAATAACGCCACAGATTGTAGCATCAGATTGATCTAGAAGCTTGACGTCAGCCTCGTTTTGAGTATACCTACGGAAGGACTAGGGTACCCATATGCCAAATTGGAGAAATCCGCCGAGCGAGGTTCCATGGCAAGAGTCAACCACAATTAACCCAAAACAGGCTAAGCTACCAATGAAAGTATGCAGGGCAAACGCCGCTCGCGGCAGACGATCTGCGAATGATTGCAGTGATTCTTTGGAAGCTTCTCCATCTTCGTCCTGATATTGTTGCCCCCAATTGAAAGATGATTTTGAAAGATCAGAGCGCCGCAGCCAGAGAAACAGATGAGTATAGGCCGAGCTACTCAACGTAATTGCTAAAACAAATTGGGTCGCCTGGAAGATGTTGAACGCGCTCCAGATGACGACCATGGTATTGCGCCTTCTGACCAGAGATATGCGTGTGACCTTTGATGTTGACTCGGGAGAAACGAATGAGATCGAGGTTGGGTCTTATGAAGTGGAAGAGGTTGAGACAGAAATGATCATCATAGGTAATATGGCCATAGCGCTAGAGAACGAGCGATGGACTGAACCCGCCGTCGTTTGTAGCATTTTTGGGGACAACCCGGGCGCTATTGCTATTTCCGCCGTAGAACAAATCTGAGAACCATGATATTTAGTGAATCACTGGAAATTCCTGACTCACTATCCATACTTATGTCATAACAGACTAGCATACAACGCAAAAAAGATGAAAAACACAAAGAGTAGCATGAGAGAGCCAGAGTCAGCGTCGTGATACTGGCATGAATTTTGTATGCTGGGTGTGGCGGTCTGGCGAACGGATGCCCAGATCGGTCTATCGAAATTTCTGGAAAATATATATTTAGTGTAGCCCGATGCGTTATGGAGTTGCGAAAAGCGTGTTGACAGCAAGAGTAGCTCTTTCCTTCTTCTACAGGTAAAAGCCCGAACAAGCAACGAGGTCTTTGATACTAAGCCATAAGCAACAAAAAACGAAAACAAACACTAGCGAGTCGAAGAACCCCCCCAATCTCCCCAACCCCAAGTATCACAATTTTCACTGGCTGAAGGCCTCCGTACTAAGTGAAGGCTTTTTGCCGAACAACAGAGTGAGCCCCAAGCTTATCAAACTGATGTACCTCGAGACAAGCATCCCGGCACATCAATGCAGATCTTTGACCACGCGCGCGAACCTCTTCCTCATACTCGTGAAGGATGCGCTCTCTATCTGCCTCATTCGAAAGGATAGCATCGATTGCACGAAGGAGATTGTTAACATCCATCAGGGCGTGGTTGAAACCCTCTCCGCGATCTGTACATGTTAGCATTTCCCGGAGAAATTAGCAAAACGAACAGGTGATACGAACATAGAGGCATGGTATGCGCTGCATCGCCTGCCAACGTGACTCGCCCCTTGGATTTGCCGAGCGACTCTGCATGTGGCAGCCACCAAAACTCCAACGGAACGTTAATAACTGGTCCGTGACTATCAGACAGAATCTCATGGAAGATTTTCTTGAACGTAGGATGAAAATCCGTCGATTTTTGCCTCATCAAGTCAATGCGCCCGCCATCTGTTCTAGGAATATCCGCGTGTCCGGTAGGGGAAAGCCACGAGAGACATATTTGAACACGCCATACAGGGTCCACCACAGCGGAATCATTAGGGTTCGGGCGTTCCATGACGGAGAACCACATCCATGCAGGGCTTGACGGATGACATCCTTGAAAGAGGGTTTTATCCAGCGCAAGGAGCGGTTTCATCTGGGACTCATTGGCCAGTGCCTCGGTACCAAGAAAGCACGCCGGGATAGGCGTAGGCTGAGAAAGCGGCGCCCCGTACTGAAGTGAGCGCACGGTCGAATGACAGCCGTCGACTCCCACGAGAAGATCTCCACTATAACAACTTCCGTCATTGAATTGTACCTCAACACCATTCTTCTCAACTTCAAACGACGATAGCTTCTTGCCCCATAGGATTCGCTCCTCGATTCCTTCCATGAGCATGTCACGGAGTCGTCCTCGAACAACTCGCATGCGATCGCCGTACGTCGGGGGTAGAGACCACTTGGGAGTGCAAGTTTCAAGATTCATGAATGTAGAATGACTCTGGTCATGTCCCGCGGTTTGATCTATCCGGGTTGTGTGTAGGCGATTCGCAAGTTCGCTAGGAAGGAAGTCCCGCAATAGCGGCAGACTGAAGTGGATGGTGAGAGCCCATCCTTGAGCGCGACTGGATGAGGATTCGTCTCTCTCGAAAACAAGAAACGAGATTCCTTTCTAACTGTTTCATTAGAGATCGTAGAGCAATATTGAAGTGTTGAAGGTATCCCATGCCTTCTTCAGTCCCTGCGCAAGGGCAAGTCCAGCTATGCCGGCTCCAACGATGAGTACCCTTGGGTGGTCGTCCCTCATGTCCGTGAATCCTAAAGACCAAGAGGCGGTGGAGCCTGCGGATACTAAAGATCAAGAGGCGGTGGAAGAAGGGAAAGAAAAAAAAACAAATCAGTGATAGGAGAAATGATCACACCCAGTGTTCAGCGTCACGCGCAAAATCTTTGAGGGTCGAAAGAGAGAACCAAAATATCCTTGATACATGGATGCAGCGTCGGCTCGGCTGTTCAGTTAAAGAGGCCTCAGAAAGCGATGCGCATCGGTAGCGTCACTCCACTTCCAACATCTTTCCGCACCATGTATGCCTCAAAACACCAGACTGCTTTGGCATGCTGCCTCTTGTTAGTTATCGAGTCTTCAGCACAAGCTCTATTCAAGGCGCCTTTTCTGCGTATCGTAGAACTGGACTTGTGTCGTTCCTATCACCTGCAGCTTTCTCCTGGATCCCTGCTCTCGGACGACTTGAGCGAAGAAGACTGCAAAGCGATCGCCATACAAAGAGACTTGGCTATGATAAATGCATACAACGTGGCCATGTCATCAATCATTGGTATTACTACAATTTATCATTCTTTCGTACTGATCACTCAAAGCGAGAACTGACAGAGATTAGAGATTATGACCGCATTCCCTTACGCGTCGCTTTGCGCAAGATTCAGTCGACGTCGCATCTTAGCAGCCAACATTGTTGGTACAGTCACCGCCTCCACGTACACCATATGCATCTGTAGGTCATCACGACAGTCACCGGTCCCCATCAATGATCGGGTGGCGAGCTGACACAACCATGATGCAGGCTACTATCACCAGATCTTCAACATCAGGCTCATTCTGTGCCAGTCTCTGTGGCGTCTCTTTGGTGGTGGGGACAGTGTTCTGCTGAGCATTGCTAATGCCTTGATCGCTGAGAGCCTACCTGCAACACACCTGTATCACCCCCACAACGGATCATACAACGCAGTTTTTGCTAACGAACACATGCAGGAGTAAAGTGCTTTTTTTACTCAATGCCTTGCGTCTCATCGTCAATGCCATCGGTCAAATGGTCGGGGCACGCCTCATGCAGGAAAATCTGTGGGCACCTGCACTGACGGGCGTAACGATGTACTGCCTGGCCATCCCTGTGCTTTGTTGGATTGTCGACCCCCAAGACCACACGCGGCGGCTCAAGCTGTCAGATGACGCTTCTGACGAGACCACCGATCTTCTACTCGCAGGCGTCAGCGCTAGGACGAAAGAGCGCAATGGGTCGCCTATGCGGCTAAGGATGTGGACACCAATGACTAGGGCGGTCTGGCGAACCTCAGAACTGTTTCGGGAACCCGCGACGGCCATGGCACTCGCCATTGTTTTTTTGAATGAGCTGGGACACGGCGTGAATAGCATTGTGCAACAGTGGAGCAGCCGTAGCTTTGGATGGACGCTCGCACATACAAATTACTTTGTGGCCGGTCAGCGTTTGGTAGCAGCTGCGACGCTGGTTGGATTCTCATGGGCGTTTCACGGGCTGCAAAAAGTAGGTATCGCCAGCGCGAGGCTCGACATCGGTCTGGTCAATGTTTGTCAATGGCTCACGTTGGTGGGAATGTTGACCGCTGCCATGTCGTGCCTGAGTGGAGTGGAGGGAACGCGAGTGGTGGTCTTCGTATGCGCTGTACTCATCTACATGATGGGGTGGGGCATGACGGGCGCATTGCAGTCAAGCATGACTAGGTCAATTCCAAGAGCGCAGGTTACGATGCTCTACACGGGACTCAACGTGGCAGATCGGATGGCTGGTATCGTAAGTGGCCCCATGTTCGCGGGGCTAATGACAGCCGGCTTTCAGGAGGGGGGCAGATGGACTTACCTTCCGTTCTGGGTATCTGTGGGACTCTTTGTCGTGGTAGCAGTACTGACAAGGCACGTGACAAGCTGGTTGAGTAAGGGGATTAGAAATGCAGATGAACAGACTCGGGTAGCTGAATGAAGGATAGACAGCAATGGAGGCCTATGCTGGGGCTTCGTATGAAGCAAGGTATGGAAGGGGTAAGGGGATCGGGTAACTAGCTGCTTCATAGCATGGACGGCACGGCACGGACGGGTGGAGATAACGAAGACGGATTTTTCTTTTACATCTTACCGTTGATTCGTAACCTTCTCTGGTGTTCATCGAGTGGTCATCCTCTCATGCGCAGCGACTCACAGGCGACGAGCCACTCACACCTCTCGCAACACAAAAGATACAAGCGATATCATGGCTTTTGCAAATCATGAGGAAGACACAGTAAAAATGATCAGACTGGTAGCTAGCTAAGCAGAAAACAAAGCAGGACTAACATAAGTGGCAATGTCGAAAGCATCTCCTTGGTGAGCCACGCCGATCTCTCTAATAAAAGTCGTGTCGTCAGACATGTGACCAGCCTCGACTTGGTTACGAAGGAGGGCAGTAGGCTGTGCGAAGTCGGCCAAGACGTGTTTGACGATGGCGCCATCGCGGCAGGGCATTTGGTGGGCGAACCAGTAGAGCTTGCTCCTAAGTTGCAACGGCAGAATGTCATACACGACCATGCAGTAGCGCGATTGCGGGTGCGGGTCTAGCCGGTACTTGGCCTGGATGTTTGCCCACAGGGTGGCGTAATGGCTGCGCGGCGGCAGCGGCACGGCCCCGTCCATCGTGAGGTGGGGCTCTATAGTCGCAAAAGAAGTATGCGAATCAAAATAACAGCGGCTGTATAGCTTAATGCGGGGCGCTGGGTAGCGTGTCGCATCGATACAGAGCATGCGAGGCCGCAGCACGCTGGAGGCTTGCGAAGCCAGGTAGTGGCGCACCTGACGCCAGTGGGCGTGGATGTCTGTTGGCAGCAGAGTAAAGACGTCGTCCAGAAGGTCTAGTAGGCCTTGTGAGGAGAGACAGGCAGGCAGCAACCAGTATAGCTTGCCGCGTGCGCCGGAACGAGTCAAGTCGAAGCCGACAAAGGTGGATGAAGGGCTGCATAGCTCGCACGAGGAGGTTGTGGACGGTGCTAGGTCGGCAGATGGCAGTGGGTGAACGGTGTGCTCCCAGTAGGCGAGGCGCGCCGTCACAGCCACCCACACATCTGGCAGCATTTCGACGTGATAATCTTCGGCCAACGCGATCCGACGCAGCCCATTGATCGTTTCCAGTGCAGCGGCAAGGGACGCCGAACGAGTCAGCGTCCCGTTTATCGGGATCAAGTCGACCACATAGCGGACTGCGACCGACGTCCTGCCGTTCCAGCTGTAGCTTAATTCCAGTGGTGTAGCGTCGCACGTCAGCGCCGATGGATATGCAGGACGCAGCGGCAACGACGACGGCTCTCGACCTAGCCAGCCGCAGACATGGTTTCTGAAGAATGTCTCGTGGGCTTCGATGTTGTCTTGACTGTACGATCCGCTCGTTCCTAGAGCGTGTATCAGGTGCGGGCTAAGAAGGGCGGCCCATCTGAGCCGCGCCTTCTCAGACTCACCATCACCATAACGCGCGTCGCAATCGGCCATCGTTTGATCTCGTCACTGCTCGAGAGACACATGCAAGATGAGGGAGAAAGAAGAAAAAAAAGAAAAAAGAAGGTGTTACAACGGCGGTATGAACGGGCGGCTGCACCGCAGCAAAATCTCAAGGCTGTCTGAACCAAAGACGCTGGCTCTTGTTCGTTATGGGACGGACTAGGAGACGTAACCATGTTGAGAGACGCGCCATGGCGAATTTATATCTCAGCCGAACCGAGCCATCCACACTTCCTGCATCGCAACTACCTTGAACTGCATATTCGATCCAGCGCAAGATGATCGCAAGCCTTGCCATATCCAATTGCATGATCCGTCTACTTCTCTCGGAGTCACGCTACTATATTGGCCATCACATTCTAAGCATGTCGCGTCCTGTGATCCATTGCTGCTCTGCGACAATGGACGGAGATAGTGGTATAATTCATTGTGGCATGGGGACGCGCAAGACCTGGATGATAGCAAACGGCCATTAGAGAAAGTTGATTCCTCCGATCGAGAGCAAATTACCCAGTAGTTTAAGACGCTTGAGATTAAACAGCAATGGGACCGTCTCACCACAATGCCAGGGGTCCATGTACCATACATATCATCTGCCTAGAAAGTGCATCAAAACTACTGGATATGTGTGACCCGTGTCTTCGATACCTGCACTGACCGCTCTTCCGGCTCCACATCTCGACGTTAGATGTTGATGTTTTTGGTATAGCAATCTTTCCATTGTGTAGCCGGCGTATAAAATTGGGGTCAGGGAAGCAATGTGGTGTCTCACGACCTCTAACACATCATGCCAGGTGCACTGCTTCCTAGCCACTTTTCTTTACATTTCAGCATTAGGCCGAATGTGATTGCTTTCCCAAAATACCAAACGACCACGTCAGACCACGAGAAAGCACGTTCATCCATCTGCCTCGATGCCAACGAGAATTCCGCTGGTTCGTGTCTGGTGCCCGTGCCAAGGTATGAACCTTGCATCCCGAGTGCGCTCAACCATGGTACACCGCAGGGACCTATCGGTCTAAAGAATCTGCATCGATATCCGTCGGCATCTCAGGCCTCCCTGCGTCGGCAGGTCGCGCAGTGGCGAGGTTTAGATTGTAGGCTCTGCTTTCTTTTCCTCCTTCTTCTAATTATCGGCCACACCGAGTTCACTAACTTATCATTCGCCGTTAGCCCCTGACCAAGTTGGTCTTGGATCTGGTGCTTCAGACGTCATCGAAGTCATTATACGAATGACATGCACCCCTGGTCAAGACAAGATCCTGCTCTCACCTCCCACATTTGATCTGTACAAGGTTTGCGCAACCCTTCAAGGTGTCGAAGTGGAGGAGTGCATGCAGGATATAGCTCAAGATGGGACGTTTCGCATCCCAGTGGAGCAGGTTTGTCAAACATCACGCTAAACCCCATGATCCGCAGGACTGACCGCCTCTATTACAGATCTGCACCGCACTGTCGGAGGACGATCGCATCAAAGTTCTGTTACTAGCATCACCCGGAAATCCCACAGGCACGTTGATTCCAGTGGATCAGATACAGCGCATACTTGACCTGGAAGGTTAGTTGAAAGCAGCTCCTAGTTCCCACTTTGACACGCGCTGAAACGATATGAGAATTAGCCTTCAAAGGCATCGTCGTAATTGACGAAGCCTACATAGATTTTGCACCAATGGCAAAGGAGGCCTCAGCTGTTCAGCTCTTGCCAAGGTACAATAATCTAATCGTAGTTCAATCTCTGAGCAAATCTCATGGACTCGCTGGAATCAGGTAGGTCAAAAGTCTGATTATTGCCAATTTTGGTTCACCACCTTGATACAGTTCTAAGAGTCACTCAGGGTCGGTATGGCTATTGCGCATCCTGCCATCATAGAGCTTTTCTCAAAGGTGCAAATGCCATACAAGCTGTCAAGTGTAGTCTTAGATCTTGCCGAACGAGCGCTCTCAACAGAGGGACAGGCTTGTGCGATCGCACTGCAGCACCAGGTCATGACTCAACGAGAATGTCTGGTTAAAATGCTCGCGGACCCTTTACTTGCCTCCAATGGCATTGGCGCTACAATTGGAGGCCAAGCTGCAAACTTTGTGCTGATTCCAATTCTTGTTGGGGAAGAACGAGACGATATGCGAGCTCGGCAGCTGACGCAGCAACTCCGAGATCGGCACGGTATTTCTATCCGATATGTTGGTGCGCAAGCTGGTTGTAGAGGTTGTGTGAGGATTACGGTGGGTACGAAGGATGAGACGGATGCGCTACGAAAAGCCCTCCACACCTTGCTTTTGGAATAAATTAACAGACCTTTGGAAATCTTGGCTGATAGTTGCATGTATGTGCTTGGGCTAAGTGGTCTCTACAAGAAACTTGTATAATTCGCAATTTGCGCTTATTCTCTTCGAGACTAGGGTTGATAGTTCTAGTGTGGACCCTGCGCTAGGCCAGAAAGCCCATTTCCCCATCATAGCTAGCTTCTGCTGAACCCGAAATTAACTCAAGTACCCGGTTCTCCCACATATACGCTAACCATTTTGGTCGTCGAGATCCCTTGTACGATATCCGTTGTCTTGGGTTTGTACCATATCGACAATGCTGACCTACATGATATCTACATGATCATGTTATTTTCGAATTTGCTTCAACGCCTCACAAACAGGCAACGTGGTTTTCCAGCATGCCAGTCAAGATGCATCTTTGTTTGCAATCATCGAGGAACTTTCCGGAGCAGGGATTATTAAACAATCATGATAAAGACAGACCTTAATGGTTATCGGTGCTCATTGAAAGAAGCATTGTTGCAGTAGAAGGTATCATGTCGGCGCAACATGCTAGTGGTGGCATACGACAATGCAGGCTCGATGTGGATATAGCACACTACAACCAGAGTCGTTTCGGCAATAAGTCGTGTATCATCATTTTGATTTTGACGTGACCGTTCATTTTGAGTTACTCTGCGCGAGGATCTATGAACCCACTCCTATTATAAAACACTAACTGCAATCACCGTGTCACGCGACTCGTAAGCAAGAGGCGCGCTGTCTAAACCTTCAAGAGATATATTGCATACAATCCCCCATTTCAACACATCATTCGACCTCCGGAGTAGCGACGAAGAGCTAACGCAATGCAACACTTTCGAGCAACATCACTCTTTCAACCTTCCAACTTGGCACATGCCATCCGGAAGACCATGGACCCCTTCAAAGCACCCTCTTATCTCTTTGGATCAATTATGGCTTTTCCGCATACCATGGTTGCTCGAACTATCGCTGTCTTAGGAATGGATTTTGTCATGGTCGACGCATTGCATACGTAAGTAACTAACACCAGGCAACGCTCGCTCAAGTCTAACCCAAAATCAAGTCCTATCGATACCGAGAACCTAGTCCGCATCATACAGACCATCAACTTCTGTAGCGAAGGCAGGACAGTCGCCGTTGTGCGGGTCCCGTCTGCACACTCGGATCTGCTAACGCACGCCCTTGACGCAGGTATGTGTACATATGCCGTCTCGGCTGCATATCCGCCATGGGACATGCGTATACGCAGACCGACTTTTCAATCCTACATCGGTATTCCATAGTAGAAGCTAATCATCGGATCGTCGTCTCCATTGTAGGTGCAGCAGGAATTATCTTCCCACATATTGACACCGCCGAGCAAGCCGCCGAAGCTGTTTCCAAGTGTCGATACGCGACCTCTGGTGGAGACAGGTCTCTATCGCCATGCGCATTAGTCTCTGGAATTACGGATACAGCTCCACAAGGACTGACACATGATAGAGTGGCTGATAGTCACATAGCTGTCATATGCCAGATTGAGAGCCAGGTGCGTGGTTATTGTGAGAAGCTACAGCCACGCTGCTTACTGATTTGAAATAGCTTGCAATGGAAAACGCAGACGCTATCGCAGCCACTCATGGCGTAGATTGCCTCATGCTAGGCCCGGGAGACCTTCGCCTCTCGTTGGGTCTTCCTGCTCGGAAGTTCGGTCAACGCGACGACCCGAGATTTCTTGAAGCCGTCAATCGACTTGTTGAGGTGAAACATCGACACGGAAAGCCTTTGATGACCGTATCCTTCAAGATCTCGGCAGAAGAGGATTCGTGGATACAGCATTTCAACCTGTTACTAGCCACTGCAGATTTTGTAGACGTGGTCAAAGGTCATCAAACTGCTTTGGAGACGATTAAAGGTACCCTTGCGGGTCTGAATGAGAGGCTGCCGCCACCCATGGATGTTGACGAGAAGATCAAGGGACGTCGCGATAGTCACGAGGAATGAGTTTGATGCAGTCATTTGTACTCCGAGTTTCAAACTCTTAATCCTTCCTCTAGTCGGAAGTGTCTGAGAGTCTATCTATTAATGCATCTACAAACCTTGCCACCAGAACGTTTCTTCGAGGGAATACACTTCTCGTAGGAATGTTCCTCTGCTGCTTGTTCCCACGAGTATATTGTATTTTCCTTTTTCACATACCCAGCGACCTTCTGCTTCGTCCCAGAACCCCAACGCATATTTCAACTCCAGGTTTATTGCAAGGGTGGTAGTGGAGGAAAGCTTGAGAACGTGTGTTTTTTCGAACCCTTTCAGCTCTTTCACCGGGCGGCCAACACTGGATTTCTGCGGCTCGACATATACTTGCACCACTTCTGCGCCGTCAAAGTTGCCAATGTTTTCAATCTGGACTCGCGCTGTGATCACTGCTTTCTCCTGGGAGCCATGTATTTCAAGTCGAAGTTTCGAGAGGCGGAACTCGGTGTAGGATAACCCATGACCGAATGGAAAGAGTACGGGTTTTTCCAGGGTGTCGTAGTATCGGTAGCCTACGTAAACGTCCTCCGCATACAGTATACGTTTTCTCTCCGCTTGGCTGCACAGATATGTCGGATTATCGCGCAAACAGACAGGAAAAGATAGTGGTAGTTTTCCTGATGGATTGGCGTCGCCGTACAAAACATCGCTGATCGCTGTTCCCGTCTCGTTGCCTCCATACCACACATGCAATAAAGCCTTAGTGCGACTAGCCCATGGCATCGTCACAGGACTTCCTGAACTAATGCAGACGACAGCATTAGGGTTCGCATCGAGCACACTGATGATGAGGTCGTCGGTGTGCTGTGGGAGTTCGATGTCAGGTCTATCTGCGCCCTCATTCTCCCAGTCCCCCATTAGACCTGCAAGAATAACGACTTGGTCGACCTGTGACGCTAGCTCAGCAGCTGCGCGAATGGAGGCAGCAACGTCCATTTGATAACATCCGCCAAGACGTAAACCGCCGGGATGAAATGTCAATGGAGAGTTCTTGATGAGTTCTGAAGTGTGTGCTCCAGCCCAGTGGACTAGCACGTGGTATGACTCTCCTTTGGTCAGGTGAACAGTGCCTATCTTCTCCACCGTGCCCGCTCGGAAGAAGCCTTCGCCAAATTGCTGGTCTTTTGTGTTGTCTACCACGAGCTTTCCGTCTAGATACAAGTTTGCGGTGCCTTGTACGCTAACGCCAAAGTCGTAGGGCCCAGTGTCAGTCGCTACAAGGCGACCCGAAATATCCACGTGCCAGTTTTCACCATCAATACGCTTCATGTTTTCATAGTTGAAGAAGTAACCGCAAGAGTTAAGGAACTCGTAATGATCGACTGGAGTGCGGTCTGCAACGGTCGGCGGCTCGTTGTAGATGTACATGTCGAATCCAGGCTTGCCGTGACTTGTCAGGAGTTGGTGGCCCAGAAGAGGCCTTTCTTTATGATTGTAAATTCCTCGCGAAAATTGAACGCTTCCATTGCTTCTCTCACTGATAGCCTGCAGAGGGGTCACCGCATAGTAAGGTCGAAGATGAGCGATACGCCCACCTCGGTATGCTGCAATAGCAGCATTCGGGCCTATCACAGCAATCGCCTTGTCGGGATTCAGGGGAAGTATGCTTTCGTCATTTTTCATGAGTACTATCGACTCAGTTGCGGCCCGACGAAGTAGTTCGCGATCTTTCTCACGGTTCAAAGGCTTCTCCGGCGCCTGTTCCGGTATGTTGGAGCTAGCGGCTTCTTTGATCATGTTGAGAATGCGTCGCACGCAATCATCGAGATCACGAGCGCTTAGACGATTAGCCAACAGTGAGTGTAGCAGGTTCTTTCCCCTCCATTGGCTAGGTCCGGGCATCTCGAGGTCCAGGCCTGCTTGGATAGGAGTTGTGGTTGCATACAATCCGTGCCTACATATTGGAAAGTTAGTTTTGCTTATCTTCTAAAGATCTTTTGAAGGACAACTTTTGATGGAATCAGACTCGAAATGAAGAACTGGGGTAGTTCACTAACCAATCGCTCATGACCAGGCCACGAAAGCCCCATTCTTTCCTTAAGATGTCATGTAAGATTCTTTTGTCTTCTGTGATGTGGAGTCCGTTGATTTTGTTGTAGGCCGCCATGATTGCGCCAGGATCACCAATCTTGACTGTCAACATAAAAGCCATGAGATATATCTCTCTTAACGCGCGCTCAGTGACCATGCAGTTCATACTAAAACACCCCTGTTCTTGGTCGGAGCACAAAAAGTGTTTTGGTGTAGCCACTATCCCTTTTTCTTGGATTCCGATGCACATGTATCCTGCGAGGGTTCCCGCAAGGAGAGGATCCTCTCCAAACGCTTCATGCCCTCGTCCTGCAAGTGGAGACCGCGGAATATTCACGCAAGGTGCTAGGAGCACATGCGTTCCTTTTGCGATACATTCATCGGCTAACAATCCTCCTACCTCACGAAGTAGTTCCCTGTTCCACGAGGCTGCCAATGCTGGCCCAGCTGGCAGACATATTGTTGGTGTTGAGTTGAAGAAACGTGTACCGCGCACTGTGTTCGGGCCGTCACTTGTTCTTAAGGAAGGAATTCCTAGACGTGGGATGGGTACGGTGTGTGCGAAATCAAGTCCTGCAGCCTGGTAAGTCTGACATGAATGGGACTAGTAGAAGCGACGATAACTCACCAGCTGTTATATCGCATTTCTCGGCGACAGAGAGTCGAGAAAGGATCTCTTCCACGTCAATGTCAGCCATTGAATTGGTTGTTTCAGCACGATGAGAGGATGATGGTGATACTTCTTCGTGTTCAAAACCATGTACAGCCTATAATGTAAGTAGTAGACTCATGCAAGCGAAATTCAGTAGGCTTCTGTGCTAGGTTTCTAATCAATGAGGTAATATATCTACTGGAATCTCCATAGCGCGATCTTCTGCATCGATTCTGCCAAGCTCTAAACCTAGTCTGTTTTAATCACATACATCATGCATGTAGTCGCATTGCATGCTATCTAAGCGACCCCCCTATCCTGCACATGGCGTATTCTACCCATATACTAAGTTCTTGTTCGCCGAGGCAGCGGTCACGAAGAATTTTGAAGTTGGCACATAGTTCTCTTGCCACTCCACCACAAATTCTAGCCCTGTTTCTTTCGTCCACCGCTGCACCAATGGCTGAGCGGTAACAGGAAGTGCTATCTTCAGAGACGCTTGATACCACCAAGGAAATATCCCAAACGCAAGCATGACCCGGGGCACGTTCGTCCGATTCGGCATTCCTGCGTGCCACAATCTTAGGTCTCGAAGTACTAGATCTCCTGCTTTTACCGAGATCTGCACGGGCGGAAGTATCTCACGCCGTTTGCTGACAAGTTCTGGCTTGATGGTTGATAGGCCCCCTGGCGATTCGCGCGACTCAACATGATCAGCCATGCTGGTGTCTCTGTGGCTCCCAATCCATACTTCTGTGCCGCCGTTTAGAGGACCTGTGTCGACAAGATAGTAATTTGCCACCAATGCAAATGGAAACCGGAGGTGCTCATGGTCTAAATCTGCATGAACAGTTTGCCGTTCAGTTGAGGAAAGTGCTGTGTTGCCATTCGCGTAAACTACTCGCGGACTCGGTCCCAGAATTGCGGCGCCTATACTGGCTGCGAAAGGGTTCGCCCAAATAGACTGAAACATTAGATCCGGAGAAGCCGGCGGCCTTTGTGAGATGTTACGGGTAGGTTTTCCTTGATTGAAATGGGTCGATGGTTCGTTGGCCAGTTGTTCAGATCTCTCGGCCATGATGGAGTTTAGCTTTGCTACGGCAGACTTGTCCACAACGTCTTCCAACACCACGATGCCATCCCTTTGGAGAATGGATACTGCAGCGCCGACAGTTTCTGCACTTGGGACTTGGCATGCTCGTTCCCGATCTGGTACGATGATTCGCTGGATTTGATTGGTACTCATGGTGGTGACCCGTCTGGTAGGTTTATCGAAGGAAAGCCTGCCTTCTCTGTTCCGGTACTATCGTGACAGTTTAATCAGGATGTGCGAAAATGGGATGGGCAGGTGAAAGATCCTTTACGGCATAGACTGCTTTTCGCGGAGAAGGACGCATATAACTATGGACTAGCTTGAGCGTGCTAAGAAGACTGCTTTGTTGGATCTAAAACTCACTATCTGATCCTGAGGGTGCATGAAAAGTTTTAAAAACTGGGCGAGATTGTCACGTCGCATCTTTGATTATGATGACACCCCATAGTACTACTTGGATACCGAAGTGAAGGATGGCGCGCTGGGGAAAGCGAGATCGTCACCGCAATGCTTTAGTGCAGCACCAAATGCAGATTCCGCCTTCATCCATTCTTTTTCTGCGCCTCTTTCGTCCAGAAGCCAGCGGCAGCTTGCAATCAATTCTCCACCTATCTCACTCAGAGATGAGTCGCGGACTTGCGAACCGAAGAACCCGTACGTCAGTCCGTTGGCCAGCGACTGCCGCGACACCAATTGAGAGGCTGGCCGCCGGATGGCGTCGTACACCTTTAGCGCATACGGCAAGGCGGACACCGTCGTCCTCGAATCTTCCAGCAATCGAGCTAGGATATATGCATCCTCGATGCCTTGGCCCCCACCGAGACCCTGGTGTGGTGTCATGGCATGCGCAGCGTCACCGATCAGACAAACTCTCTCCATCGCAAATGCTGGGAGTGGGGCTACGACGTGGACTGCCCATCGCGATGCAACCTTTGGAATGTGCAGCAAATCGGTGAGGTCTCGCTCCCACCCGGCATAACGCTCAGCGATCTGCGACGCCGGGATCTCGGCAACCCACGGGCCGTCGAACAGGGGTGGGACACCATCGGCAGCGAATACGTTGTCGTAAGCCGTTAGTTGGATCTCGTCCCTGACAATGTTCGAGGTAACATGCCGTCCTGCTCCACACCACTGCAGGTGTGGCATGCGTCATTAGTTCGAGACACTGTCACAATTGGGACGGCGCCTTACAATTCTGAAGCCGCGTAATGCTATGCTGTTTGGACACCTTTTCTCGACCTCGGCTCGTGAACAACTCATCCTGTATGCAAACTGACCGCTGAATTGAGGTGCAGATAGGATGTGGTCTCCCAAAAACATGTGCTGTCGTACCCGTGAATGGACTCCGTCGGCTCCGATAAGCACATCGGTTTCGAACTGGGTGTTATCTTCGAAGGACAGGGTGACCTTTCCCGACTTGTCTTGGATGTAGGATCTCAATTTTTTGTTCGTTTTGATTTGGCATCGTCCAGCGTCAACATGGGTGTGGAGGATATCAAGGAGGCCATCTCGAGGAATAACTCGGGGTCCATGTGGCACTTGACAGAAATCTTCTCCCCTTGGATATCTATCGGATTTTCGGAGGACTGGACCACTGACTAGAAAGAAATTAGTTCTTAATAGATGTCGAGCGATTGCGAATTCCAAATCCTCTCGTGCGTTTGCTGCAAGACTTGCCTTCTGACCATGGAAGACATTTTAGCCCTTTAGAGGTGCACTCTGCATCAAAATTCATGTATTCCTCAAGCATGTCCCAGAATCTTTTCCACACTGCGACCCCTGCGCCAATGGCGCGGATCTCAGATTTGCTCTCGAATAAATAGACGTCGATATTTGGGCATTTTGCTAGGAATGCGGCAGCAGTCATCCCCGCTATGCCACCCCCGCTAAGACATATCTGTGAGCATCGGGTGCTAGGAATCGTCCATTGATGAGCTTACCAGATAGCAACCTGTAAAGAAGGCCTAGTTTCAGGCACTACCATCATGAACCAACAGCAGAAAAAGGCTGGGCGATTTGGTGCGAGAATGAAAGACTACAACATGAGATTGAATCATATCTATAGACATACTTATCAACGAGCGGTGTCCAATTCGGGCATAGTGAAAAGCACGTTAGCAATGCATACGTAATATTCATCAACACTGGTTGGCTGTAGCATATTGGTGGGAACTGAACTATCCAGCATCACCACGCGCGAACTTCATTGCCACATCTTTATCAAACTCCATCTACTCATCCATAATCAGAAAGTAGAAGAGACTTGCACTGGCTGTGTAAGTTGAGTCAGCTACATGGCTCAATCTCATATCGTACTTTCGTGCAAGGCGAACTGGAGTAAGTGCAGACGTGCGAATTGCGAATTGTACTGATCTTATGAACCACTCAGGCCACCTCCGCTCCATGTGCATACTCTCTGCTCGAATTGCGCATTCTAGAGCCGTTCATGTTACGATCCTGGTGTCCAGCTCGGGTAATGTTGTGCAAAGAGTGGCCCAAGAGGTTTCCAGGTGCGCAAGTGTTGAAGGTGTGAATGTTTCCAGCAAAGTCAGGTATGTCGCGTCACGGCGCAGCAACGCCTATCACGTATCGTCTTCATTCACGTCCTGTGCTCATCTTAGCTCAGAGTCCTTGGTTTGTCGACCGACACCGCAGATAATGGAGATACAGACCGCTCCTTCAAGCTTGTCTGGACAGCTCTTATGAAAAGTGAGGTCACCACGTGTAGCTATACATTGAAACACGTTGAGGCAGTCATACCACCCTCAGCTGTAATACTTGATGTAGGTTTACACACAGTTCCAAAGTTTGTTTACTCCACTGAATGTCCTGAATAAAGGGATTCCAACTATCATGGCTCGAGATCATCCGATCCGAACCTTCACCTCCACCCATTTTCCAATGGATGATGGCATTTTCGGGAGGCTTCATGTACATGTGTGGCCCAACGGAACCCCAGACGAAAAGTGCAGAGTTCATGAAGCAAAACACGCATGACTGCGACAAAGACATACTCATCCCAGGCATGCTTCCAATGACATGCCACGATCTGAATCCCCAAGACGTAGGTGACAAAGCAATCAAGATTCAGATTGCTAAAACCACCATGACGCAGTGCGTACCACGGGTGATAGAATTTGTACGCCGTTAGCTAACAGACCAGATTTGCACAGAGAGCCGACGGCCTTTTGACAGCTTGTGCTCCGGAATATGACAGTGTAGAATGTCTCGGCGCTATCTCGGATTGGATTGCATGTCAACGAGGTCGGCAAACGTTCCATCTTGGTCCGATGTTGCCACTTACTCCGGGCACTACTACCTTCTTCGCCAAAGCTATTGAAGTTGAAATCAATACATGTCCAGATGGCTCTGGTATCGTCGTCACACGTTTCTTGGATCGATGTATGTCATCTTATGGAAGGCATAGTGTCTTCTACATCAGCTTTGGCACAGAGCACTGGTACGTCTACTTTTGACCAGCAAGTTGAAAGTTGCGAGGCAAAATTGACCATGCCCCAGGCCATCCTGTCTTGATCATCTCGAAATCCTTCTAGACGCCATGGTAGCCCGTAAATATCCCTTTGTAAGTGTACCGATGCAATGGATATCTTAAATTTAACGTTTGTCTAAAACCACATCTAGCTACTGGCACATGCACATGCGGATGCGCAAACCATCTCCAAGTTGGAAAACAGATACCTTGCTAATGAGGAAGCACTCATTCTGCCATTTGTGCCGCAACAAACCGTGCTATCCCATGAGGTATGTGTACAGATATAATTCCCGTCATACGCTACCTGGATGAAGACTATACTAAGCTTTCAGGCGTGCGGATGGTTCATAACGCACGGAGGAGCAAACGGCGTCATGGAAGCGCTTACCCAAGGGATCCCAATGTGTGTATAATAAGACCCCATCGACCCATCCCGCATGTTCACCTGTCTCAGGATCGGTTGGCCCTTTGCCATTGACCAGCCTCTCAATATTACCCACATGGCACATACTATGGACGCCGGCTTTGAATTCACTCAGATGCGAGCGAACTACTGTCCCGTCAAGGCAGCCAGATCCGAGGATGTTCTACCTGACATGGATGCTTGGGAAAAGGAAGTTGGGGACGTTTTGGCAGCAGCTTTTACAGCTGTGGGCGAGAGGAAGCGGAGGAACGCTGAATTGATTGGAAAGAATCTTGGAAAAGCGTGGGCAGAGGATAGTGGTAGAGCTAGGCTGCAGCTTTCTAAGTTCCTAGATACAGTGGGTGTTTGATGTGCGAACGCTTCAGGGGGGATGTTATCACTGCATCCGCTTTTATAGCAACATATGTTGCAGAAAAGAAATGAGTAGTGTCTAAAAGGCTCGATATTGTCACCATTTATATGCAAGCATGGTTACAACACCAGCTTTTTTTTTTTTTTTTTTTGAACAGATCAATCCTGACAACTATACTTACTCTTCTAATACTCGTCGAAGAGCTGACATCACATTGTATAAACACACAAGCACTGCCTCAAAGCTTGAACGTATTTTCCGTGTTCCACGGCGAACTCAAGCACTTTATATCTATCACAGTAATATTCTCCATTACACACCCACATGCCATCTTTCGCATCTACACCACCGTACCATCCCCGCCCCCTTCTTCCAACTCGATCTTCCTCTTCTTCTTCCCATGATGTCCTCGAGCCTCCACTCTACCCTCCACCGGTAACACTCTTGTAGCAGTGAACAAATATCCCTCCGCTCCACCCTTACTCGTCATCATAGGATGCGTCCTGCCTGGAAGAACCTGCCATTGTCTCGCACGTGCCGTCTGCAGCGAGGGCGCAAGCAGCAGGGTAGGATTGACCGGGAAGTCTTCTTCTTCGTTGTTGCCACCTTCCGGTGTACTAGCAGTTGTATCGACATGCTCTTCTCCCCTGCGATTCTTGTTTCCGTTGGTCTGTGTCGTAGTTGGCGGGGGTCCAAATTCGCGCGCTATGTACGCCGCCCTCCGTTCCTTGGAGTAGAGGTCGCAGAGTTCGACAAGGGGTTCGACGTTGGGGTTGTACACGACTACCCTGCCTCCTCCCCTAACTAAGGGAACGAGTTCCTTGAGTACGGTCTTTGCATCCATGGCCGTAGCTACAACTAACCCATCGAAGCCACCCCGTCTAGTCTCATCTACGACACCCTTTACCCTCTCCCACCTCCTCCTCTTCTTGTAATATGTGCCCCGTTTCGTACTCTTCATGCCAGCCAACACCTCTTCAGAGATGACCTCAGGCTCGTCGTATGTAGGGTCGTCTTCTGGGTGGAGGAGCGCGAGCCAGGATATGGACTTTAGGTGTTTGTAGAGTGGGTGCTCGGGTGTTGGGGCGCCGTAGTCGTAGCCAAAGTATTTGAGGTAGGAAAGGTTCGGTTGATTGTTCGGGTGGAGAACAGTGAGAGTATTGGTATGCGCGGACATTTGGGGGATGTGTGGGCGGGGAGGTTTTCGGGGGCGCGCAGGAGGATCTGAAGGGTCGGCGTCAGGCATGGCGGTATCTGTGTCCTTTGTCTCTGGGGCGGGGTTCGTCGCTGTCTCTGTCGCTGCCGTACCATTCATCTCGACATCTTCGGCCTCGTCTTCCGAGTCGTCGTCTTCTTCCTCGGGGTAGAGGATGCCCATCTTCTCTGCGAGCGCTGCTGTAACGAGACCTCCTGTATCGTCTACCACGAGCCATCGCCCTCCTCCTATCTGGCTGATACCGTCTTCTCCCGTGAGAATCTGGTTGGTGGCTCCCGAGTGTACGTTCGCCCAGCTGTTGATCAAGCCCAGTAGATCTTCCCTCAACTCCATGATCTTGTATGCCTCCTTCTCCAGCACGTATTCTGTAAGCAGCCCGATATCCATGGGCAGCGCCGTAAAGCGCTTCATGTACTTCTTCGACTTTCTTAGCGTGTACTTGGCGAGCGAGAAGCTCGTCTTCTCGTCAATGGCATTGTGGGAGGCCATGATCTTGGCGATGATGTCCTTGCCGGAACCTGTCCCCGCTTTCTTCAGCTCCTCAATCTCAGCCATGGACAGCGCCTGACGCGACGCATCATCGACAGTCAGGCGGTTGTTCCGCATTATGACCTGCCCATCTTCCCCGACAATGTCGAAACCGGCAGCGCCCTCGGCATTCTCATCGCCTGTCTCGGCAGCGGGCGCATGGTCTTCGCCCAGAGCTTCAGCATGGAGTTCGGAGGCGGGTACGACGCGCAGCTCCGTCTTGGACTTGCCGTCGTCCTTGTCGAGGAGTTCGTAGGTGAGGTAGTATGGCCGGCCGAGGAGCAGGTTCGAGTTGAAGGTGCCGAACTTTCCAAGATTGATGTTACTGGGAGGCGGTCAGAAGCAGCTGCAGGGCGGGCATACGAAGGAGTATGTAGGGGGCTCACGCCAGCTATGCGACATACGTATTCGGTGTGATCTCGACTATCTTGAAAAGGCCGGAGGGCAGTCGCAAGGCGACGTGCGTGTTTGGACGGACGCAGGAATGCATGGCGAACTTGGTCGCGGCTGTCAAGTTTCACTGGGCCATGTGCGACAACGACTGTGTGTGTCGTTATGGATGTCTTGACACTAGAGTCCCAAGGTTGCTCGGTTGGCGCAAATCGCGAGGTGAGTTGAGCTAGTGAATTTGTTGCAAGGAATAATTCCGAGCCGCAACGCCACGCTTTCAGCACAGCCACAGCCACAGGCCCCAGCCACACCGTACGTCATCTTCCGCTTGTACGCGACTTCCGCATATCCAATACCCCGGCCGCGTATGCTACTCGTGTCTACTACGTCGCCTGCATTGCTTCTTCCCCAGAAGTCCTACTTTGCTATCAATTCCCTTCAACCGCGTCTTCCGCAACTCCCGCAGCCTGCGCTGCGCCAACTACCGTGCAAGCTTCACCACACAGACTGCATCGAGCCTGCGCCAGCACCACCAAACATGGTGCTTCGAAAGTCCAACGACCCCGACGACGTCGTGCCAGCGCCACTCTCCAAAGCGATACCCCCATACCCTACAACACCTTCCGACGAGCATCCGCCTGCGTTTCCTGTATCTCCAGACCATGCCGCCGACCCACCCGGTACGAGCAAGTCGCCAGCCTTCAACATCAAGACGCCAGAAGAGACCCGTCTGCCTGACGACAGACACAACAGCGATTCCGACTTTAGCGAAGACGAGTGGAACCAGTCCGACGACGACTTTGAAGATGTCAACCACAACGACGTGCCTGCCGCGTTGAAGCCGGCTGCAGGCAAGAGGCCTCCTGTGCCCTCGACCGCACACATCAGCGGCGACCTTCCAGATGCCTTGAAGCCAGGGCCACCAGCCGGAATCCCAATCAAGCGCTCGCAGGAGAACATTTCACCCATGCCCACCGGTGCCAGTGCGGCCTCATACAATGGTAGCACCGTGTCCGAGCAGTCAAACGGATCCATTCCGCTGAAGACTAACAACCCATATCTGAAGATGCAGACAACTGGGCAAAGCGGATGGGGCGATGAGAGCAGCGACGCCATCTGGGGTGATGCGCCGAGCCAGGCACACAAGTACGAGGCGCCTGTAGAGCTGCCGGCGTTCCAAACGCCAAGTACACCTTCCCATGAGATGAAGAATCTAGGACTAGATGATCATCCTCCGCCTGTTCAGTCGAAGCCTGTAGAAGAGCCACCCGTGATTGCGGTGAACTCGCCCACGCCTCGCTCGGAACACCCGGAGGCGTCTTTCGATACAAATCCATGGGAGCCCGTCTCGCACGATAGTCGTGCTGAGACTGTAGCATGGACGGCGCCGCCGCCGCCAGCAGGTTTCTCGGATACAAGCTCGCACACTGCGCCAGCACCTATTGTCCCTGAGAATACGCACGTCATAGATTCAACACCTCCTCCACCACACTACACTCCGGACGAGACACGAACCACCCTGGAAGAACCTCCGCCAGCTCTGCCACCACGTAGATCGCATGAAGATATGACGCCTGCTATGCCGCCCAGGCCCATTGATACAGGTGCGAGCTCTACAGCTGCGCCCGGCCCAGAGTCGCCAAACACTCGGATGGAAAGGCAGCGGAAAGAACACTACCAGATCAAGCACATCCGTTGGCTCGACCATAGTATTGAGGACATGCGTGTTTCGCCCATTCTGACGCAGAACCTCAACGGTCCATGTCCTTTGCTCGCTCTCGTCAATGCACTGGTCCTTTCTACCCCCGCCAGACTCGACACCGCTCTCGTCGAAACACTCCGCACACGCGAAACGGTCAGCCTAGGATTACTTCTCGATGCCGTCTTTGACGAGCTCATGTCTGGCAGACGAGGCGACGCTGCGCAAGCCTTGCCCGACGTGAGCGAGTTATACAAGTTCCTCCTCGCTCTCCACACCGGTCTCAACGTCAACCCCATGTTCGTCCCGGACTCGAACATCCCGAGTGACAACCACGCTACGCTCACGAATCGAGCTGGCGCATTCGAAAACACACAGGACATGAAGCTATACCGCACCTTCAACATACCTTTGATGCATGGGTGGCTACCAGAAGCTGGAAGTGACGCTTACGCTGCATTCAACCGCGTTGCACCTAGTTATGAGACTAGCCAGTTTGTGCAGTTCCAGGAGGAGGAGTTGAATGCGAAGTTGAGTGCTGGTGAGAGTCTGAATGAGGATGAGCAGCAAATGTTCACGGATATTCATGCTATCAAGGAGTTTTTGATGAGGTGGCCAACGCAGCTGACGGACCATGGTTTAAGAGTCATCCGTGACAATCTTCAGCCAGGCCAAGTCGCTATTTTGTTCCGGAATGACCATTTCTCCACACTGTGTAAGAATCCGCGAAACGGCGAGCTGGTTACCCTGGTTACGGATCAGGGGTACTCGACACATGATGAGATTGTGTGGGAGAGTCTGACGGATGTGAACGGTCAGGGCAGTCAGCTCTTCTCTGGAGACTTCCGAAGCGTGGATAACAGTACGGGCAACACCGGAGCAGTAGTGCAGGAACAGCAGCCGCACGACTATGACAATGGACAAGGCTGGACCACCGTACAAGGACGTCGCGGCAACAACCAACAATCCGGCGTCCCACAAGACCCCGATGCCACATCTCCGGAAGCTCTCAGCAGAGCGGAGCAAGAAGATCACGATCTCGCCCTCGCACTCCAACTGCAGGAAGAAGAAGAAGATCGCCAACGACGAGAAACGGAGCAGAGGAACCGCGACAACGCACCTCCACAGCCACCTCGTAATCAAGGAAATCCAGTCATACCTCCACGCCGAAACAACAACATTACAGGACACAGACCTGCAGGCGAACCCGCTCCTCCGCCCTTGTACGAAGAAGCTGTTCAAACTCCCCAGTACAATCCGCCAGCAGGACATCCAGCTAATCCTGCTGCACCGGTACCGGGACAGGGGGGTAGTGCGTACCAGGCGACTAGTGGGGGGTTGCCTCCACCGCCGGGTAGTGGTGGCCGTCATCATTCGGGTTACATGCCTGCTGGAGGACGCATGGGTGGGAGAGGAGGCAGTAGGAGACATTCGCAGGGACAGCAGGGTCAGGGGCAGCAGCAGGGTGAGGATAGGGATAAGTGCGTTGTTATGTAGGATTCGACGGCGCTTTCACTCGAGTTGTGGTGGGCGATTGGGAAGTGTGGGGGGTGGGAGGAGGGGAGGGTTGAGGACGAGGGGGAGGCGAGGGTTGAGCAGGAAGAGGAGGAGGAAAGGGAGAAGCAAGGTTAGAACGGTCTTGGTGACGATGATTTGCTGACTTTTTTTTCTGTCGTTAGGGATGGAGATGATTCGATTTGTGGGTGGTGTACCGTTAGTCAGTGGGTGATGGGGATGCGGATGAGGATGGAAGAATGGCGTTTGGGCGGAGTACGGATATACCCGTTTTCTTTTCCTTTATGATGCTGGATGGTTGGTGGTGGTGTTGTTGTATTGCTAGAATTGAGTCGGTAGTATTGATGATCAGGATGTTATGACTTGTTGCAATTTCTTCTACATGCGTACCTCACTAGGTCCTTAGGGTTGACAAGAATGATTTACTATTTTCTTTGACATCAGGGGGATAGCAGGTGGTTTCTAGGAGCGTGTAAAATTGAGATTCGGTATTGGTGAGCATGGAGGCTTGGCGGACGTGTTCTAAAGTTAATGGATGCAGAAGTTCTCCTCCCGAGAAATGTTCAATTGCAGTGCAGCAGGCAATGTTAGCCTCAGGCAATATTAGCCTCAGGCAGGGTCCAAAAGGACCTGTAAACAGGCAGTCGGCGCACTATTTGCCTTTACGACATGCATGCAACAATTACTTTTCCTTCCGTTATCCTAAAGAGGCAATAGAAACAAGGCAATGGTGCGCCGACACCATTGTTGCACTGCAATCTTTAGCGTGGAGAAGGAGACCTCAGCCTTGCTGTCGGCATGCACCACGCAGGGGTAGGGGACGCTAATAGAAATTAAGTCGAGGAGGACCTCTCTCCTTGCACTGCAATCTTTAGCGCGGAAGAGAAGGCCTCAGCCTCGCGTAAGATAAGACTGGGCGATCTGAGATTCGCTCATAGCTGGATTGCAATCTTGACCAATATTGACATGCATATCCAAGAACGCAGTCCGAACAATCCCCTCCGTGTCAGTCCTGCCTACTATCTGTACACCAACTCCCACAACTTACTTTTCTCACCCCATCTCCCAAAAGAACAAATCAGCCTCCTGCTCCCCTATGCGTACGCAGTAATTCCAACTGCCTCTTCTTCTCCCTACCCTCCATAGCCCTGAGTTCCGCATCCCACTCATTTTCCTCTTCCTCTTTCCTATTCCTCTCACCCACTCTACTCAACGATCGTTGCGTACATATCTGTTGATTTCCCCTAGCCCGCATAGCACTCTCCTCCAACAACTTCGCTTTCCTGACTACCACCTGTGAATGACCACCACCACCGCCCATCTCGCTCTCCTCTTCCACCTCGCCATCCCGACGCAGTTTTGAAGCCTGTCGTTCGTACGATGTTGCGGCGTGTCTGTTGTATCTCACCGGTGGGTGTGGGATTGGCTTGGGTGGTAGAATGAGTAGAGGAGAGGGTCGAGGCGGGCGACGGGGCGGCGAGAGATGTTGTTTGGCCAAAGCGCTTTGGAGAGAGGATCGTTTGATGGGTGCGTGGGTGGGTGAAGATGAGGAGCGGAGGGGGTGGGATGACCGGTCTGCATGCTCGGGTGTTGGTGTTGTTGTTTGTTCATCGTCGTCATCATTATACTCTTCTCCGTGGTAGTCATCGTCGTACATGTGGTCTTCGTACTGGACGTCGTGAACCAGGTTTTCTCGGTCGTTGGAATTGGAGTTGTAGATGGGGTTGTCGTGCTCCTCGTGGCTATCCCGTTCGATCTCCACGGCAGTATTACAACGCCAACTCTTTGTACTACTCCCCGTAGCCCCTCTGCTCCTTCTCCCCTGCTCCCCTCCCTCTTGCTCTGCTTCGCACTCTCCGCCTCCCCGTAAAGCAGGATGCATACATCCATTAATCACGTATCCGTTATCTTTTGCATCGACCGCCGATACATCATCCTTGACATCAACCGCCAGACCAACGTCTTCTTCTTCGCGTACAGTTTCTTGTTCAGAAATCTCCCTACAATTCGTCAATGCCGCGTTACTCTCACCAACACCAAGTCGCATCTCCGCCCTCTTCCTCTCCATCTTCTTCAGTTCATCGGCCCAACTACTCAGAGCCTGCATACTGGGGCCTCGGCGACGGGAGCCACGTTCCTGCGGGCTGATCAAGGGACTTTGCCTGTTGTTAGAAGAGGGAGTATAGTCAAAAGTGTCGATCCTGAGGCTATGGCGCGACCTATTCGTCGTGTTGCTGCGACGGAGGCTGTGAACACTGTGTGCATAGTTGGGCGAGAATCTGGATTTGCAAGTCTTCGCGGGATACGAGTCGGCATGGCTATGGGTTTGCGGATCAGAAGAAGCTGCGCCGGTGAGGAGGTTGGAAAGCGTAAAAGTCCTGTTGCGAAGCGGTAGCGTATTGTGGCCGTATGTGGGCTTAATGGGGCTGCTAGATGACCGCTGAGCGAGCGGAATATTCAGTTGCGATTCCCTGCTACTGCTGTACGCCGTCGAGCTGTTTGTCAGTGTCAAATCCAACGTCGACCCACTCCATCGTTCTTCGACAGTCTCCGCGCTATCCCTAGCACTCAGACTCCTAACAAAGTTGCTATAATCATAGCCTTCGTCGTCGCTATCTTCACCATCCAGCTCCCTGCGTCTCTCCATCTCTCCCTCAATATCGCAGACAACCTTTGTCGCCCACGCCAGTCTGACACCTCCCTCTCCGACTGCAACGTCCCTCCCCTTCCTCCTCTCCCGATTCATCCTGAGCAAATCGCGTCTCGCTTCCAGGATAGTGGTGAACTGTCCAGTCTGCTCATCATACCCCAACCAAGCATCTTTATCTCCCAGCATCTCCCCACTCGTGATATTGTACTGTCGCGCACCCGCCGCCTCGTCATCCGCATACGCCTCAAGCTTACTCGGCAATAGTGCATCGATGTACTCCGCCAACGAACCAGGCACCTGGTAACTCTCCAACGTGAGTTCAGCAGCTAGCAACGTATCCCTCGGCCTCACCATGGACGGGTAGATGACGTCGTTTTCAGCGCTGAAAGAGCGACGTAGTGCATGTCTGCTTGCACACAACTGAAGAGCCATCTTATTCACATCGCTCTTGGCGTTTTCGTATACGGCTTTAGTAGCGGGATCAGTCGGTGTGCCTGGTTCCCACATCTCGACCGGTACAGCCGTGACAGGTGTCGTTGCAGTCGGCGTCCCAGTCGCTGACGTCTTGGGCGTGAGCGAAGCCCAGTGCCCACCTTCAGCGAAGGCATTCTTGATGGGGCCGGCTGTCGCAGAAAGAGGTGTTGCGGGGCCTGCAGATACGACATCCCAGCGTGGTCGCGGTGTATTTGGGGACCCAGTCTCGATGCGTGGCAGATTTGCTGGGCGGAGCGGATGTGCGCCCGTCGGTGCAGTGAAGGATGATGAGCTGTAAAGTAGTACATGGCGTCCTCGGGGAGCGGCGATGGAGTGAATAGGTCTAGGTGGCGGACGCCAACCTATGACCTTCATGTAGTCCTCTTGGTTCCTACGCCATATGCATTTCACAACTTGATGCCATTTGGCTGAGGAGAAGTGGTCGGTTGTCCAGTTCCTGACTTCTTCCCAGAACTTGGGGTGTTGCTCTCTAGTCAGACCTTTTAAGCCAGCGGCTTCGTGTCGTGCTATGGGCTTGCCGGTGATAGGCGAGATCACGCTGTCCAAAGTGGTAGTTGTGACGCCTGGCATGATGAAGTTACCGCATGGCGGGTGTGGTTGTGGTGGGCGCAGTCGAGGCGAGACTGGTTGAGGCTGAGCGAGAAGATTTAGAGTCATGCGCGTCGTATGAGGGCAGACCAGTGTCCTGGAGAGAATGTGATGGCGAAATAAGATATTACGGCCGGCGTTTGTTGCGTGGCGCAACAGTCACTCGCGAGGACCGGCAAGCAAACGCTCGCAGGCTGGACTCGAGGTAAGACATACTTGGTGAAGAGAAACAATCGTGGACATGACGCAGAGAGCACCCGTGATAAGAGAAACATAGTTCCAGGATGACGAGGTGAAAGCGAGACACGATATGAGATACTGGTGATTTCACTCGGTTGAAAGTATCGTTCCGTCCAGGTCCCCTAGACTAGATGAAGTTGTGGACAGATCGTCACTGTGACATCGCAACAGCCCGCATATCATGCTAGAGAATTCAAGTCTCCAGCTCCTTGGTACAAACGCCCACACGAGTATGACATTGAAAACAAGACGGATATGAAAATATATAATTGACCCAGAAAGGCTATCCAGGTGGTATCAACCTTTTAAACTCCGCTCATGGGGATGCGACATCTAGTCTAAGAAGGTAAAAAGATTTGTATGTACAACATTGAGAGCACGGTCGGCTTCGCGCTCTTCAATGACACAGGAGATGTTGATCTCGCTAGCACCTGGGCAAAATTAGCAATCGCACAAGTATAGTTGTTGACAGCGCGACATACCCTGCGAAATCATCTCGATGTTGATGTTGTTTTGGCCCAACACGCTGAAGAATCTGCCAGAGATACCAATCATGTTCTTGAGCTGTTTTCCCACCAAGCTCACGATAGCCTGAAGACATATAGTCAGTATACATCTCACAAGCATTTCATGCAACCACAACTTACCATATCAGGCACAATGTCAATCGTACCGAGCTGTCCAAGGTCGTTGACAGCGCCCTGAAGATCCTTGCTCTGGATCTTGTACTCGTCCTCACCGCCACCACTCAACAGCGCAGATTCAGAGTGCAGCGCCATGGATACATGAACCTCAGAGGAGGAGATGAGGTCGACTGACAAATGCCAGCGGTCGAGGATACTGAAGATGTTCATCAGGAATCCATGAGCGCGCGTACGCTTGTTACTGTGGACGTTCAAGACGACGATGTTGTGCTTTATAGTAACAGCCGTAGGCCTCTTTGGGCCCTCGAGCTGCGTAAGCAGACTGGCGGACCTTGTACGGAAGAGCTTTCCGTCGCGGAGAGGCGCGCGGTCGTCAATGGAACCGGGGTTGTCGGGGAAGATGACGGTGCCGGCATTGCGTGGGTTCATGACATTTTTGATGCGGATAGGAATGCGGGCGCGAATTACCTGCTCCATGGTGAAGGGATGGATAACCTCGGAGCCGTAGAAGGTCAGCTCAGCGGCCTCGGAGGGCGTGACGGTGGGAAGCAGAGCGGCGGTAGGGACCTTGCGTGGGTCGGCAGTGAAGATGCCATCGACCTCCTTCCAGACCTGGAGCTCCTTGGCCCGGGTACCAACAGCTACCAGAGCAGCACAGAGATCGGTGTATCCACGGCCAATGGAGTTGAGCAGTCCGCCGGGCACGTTGCCAAAGTAGCCGGTGATGACGGGGACCTTGTCGCCGCATGCTGCTACTTCCTTGCCCAGATCCTCGGCCAGGTCCTTGTAGAACATGTCGTACAGGCCGCCCTTGACAGGCGCATTGAACTTGACCACATCGCTCAGGTCGACGAACTGCGCCGGCGTGCCGCGATCGTTCAGGATGGCAGTCATGTACCGACAGCTCAGCTTCTCGCCTTTGCTGATGATCTTGTCCTCGGCGCGGTTCGTCACCTCCTCCAGGTGCTGGGCCGACTCGAGAATCTTGACCAGACTCTCGCACTCGGCATTCACGTCGTCGATGTAGGCAGCCAGGATCTCGGGGTTCTTCAGGATGTCCCTGCCGGCCTGGATGTGGTCGGTGCGGATGGCCTCGACGATGTCATCGTAACCGCGGTGGTTGGGTTGTTCGGCAGCGCGAGCGGCGCGGAGGAGGCGGTTAGTGGTTCCTTCGAGCTTCGTGTTGGAGCTGCGTGCGGAGCAGACTATAGCCGCGCGGTTCGTCTCAAGGCCAGCTCTGTTGTCGTGTCAGTGTCTGTCGGGTAGGAAATATTACTCCAGATAAATAGGCAGACATACTCGACGATGCCCGCTATGTTCTCCGCGAACTTGCCCACACTCGTACCCCCGAACTTGAGCACCACCCAGCCGCCCGGCAGGTGCTTCTCTTCCGTGTGCGCTATCCGCTCCGACTCGTGTGTGGTTCCGTTTGTGTATGCAGACATGTTGGGCGAGGGTGCTTGTGCTTGTGGCGATGCAATTGGAAATGGGTCGTCTTCTGCTGGTTGGTGTAGGGTGGGAAGGGGTGCAAGACGTGGTATCTATATGCAATGACGTGTGTAGAGCAAAGTATGGAGTAGTGGAGAGCAAGTGAGGGAATTCTCAATGTCTTTTAGTGGGGCCTGAGTCAGAAAGTTGATGTTCCCGCCGCAATCGGCTGCACCGCACGCCCGCGAACCACGACAACACAAACCTTGAACCGGCAGAAACAAAACTCTACGGCACGGGTCGGCGCATGCATTCTTCGTCTCGGTAACCAATGATGCGTTTGCAGCCAAATTACTCCGCCCTGCACCGCACTCGTCGCCATCCGCCCAAGAACACCACGTCTGCTGGCCCTCTGTGACACTTGACAGCTGTCATCGCATCTCGGCGCCTTGATGAATTGCCCTTGTCCGCGCCCGGTAGTCGCGAGTCCGGGCCATCGGCAGTTGGTTTGCTGCCTGGCTTCCCTATCTCGTGCATCCGCCGTGCAACACCACTGCAACTACAGCAGTCTCTAGTTGTCTCTAGCCCGCAGCACATGACCTGACAGTGACTATACCCACGTTTCGCGAGCACATGTTGACTACGCGGATCCTCAACAACGAGATGCGGACCCTCACGAACCCACGAGAAAGACACGGAACCACACGCGGAACACCATCTACGACATGATGCGGAACCTCACCACCCACACGCGGAACCCATCAATGAGACGCGCATCCCCGTTGACAACAAACCGCAACTAGTATCCCACGTCCATGGGTTTCTCCTAATCTACCAATACCCAATCCTAGCCCGAGATTCCAGCGAATCTAGACCCAAGATACCCCTCTACAGCAGAACAATCTCCGTAAAACCTACGAGATACTTCTCAAAGTAACGAGTGCATGGGCATGTCGATCCTCTAGCTTCTCCATTCTGCAGCTAGCTCGTTCCGATAGGTTCGGGCATGGCTCGCAATATGCTGGCGACCTCTTACACAATGGACTACAAGACCTATACAGACTACTAACTCTCCGAGAGTACATACAGGCGCAAGCTACGTATGGCGGAGAAAAGCACCGAGACCTGGAGTCGCCGTGTGGGTAATACGCTAGCACGCATGAGCGATAGAGAGCACCCGCGACATTACTAGGCATTATCCACGCATCAAACTCCTAGTTGATCCGGGCCCTATAATAGACGGTGGATGCGGTACCGAAGTGTGATATTTGTTGTTGCCGTCGGAGCGCCAATCTGATGTATTGAGTACATGCGTATTGTTGTCTCCTCGCCCAGTCTTTTTCAGGATCAGGAGCGACACTTCCCACGCGCTCTTGATTCAATCCGACCAGCGGCTCCAGTACAGTTCCTCGATTCTAGACGCTGCCAGTTCGATCTAATAAGTCTACCGAGTGAAGGCGCTACCTAACCTGATAACACGCAGTCAAACCACTACGCCCTAGCCGTGTTCCTCAACGTCTTCTGTATGCAAGCACAGAGTTCTGGTATCCTGAATGGCTTACTAATCACATCATCCATTCCGGCTTTGAGTGCCACCTCGACCTGCTCACTCCGCACATTAGCCGTCACTGCTATGACGGGCACGTGTGCTCTTACGACCCCCTCCTTCTGCAACTCCCTGATATTCCTAACACACGTCAACCCATCCATCACAGGCATCTCCCAGTCCATTAGAATGAGCGCGAGAGCTTTCCCAGAGCCATCCGATATACAGTACTTTGTCGTACGCAAATAGTCCAGCGCTTCTCCTCCGTGGTTTGCCACAGCGACTTGCATTCCCGTGTTTCGCAGCTGCTTGGCGAGGACGCGCTGGTTCACCAGGTTGTCTTCGACGATGAGGACGTGGAGGTCCTTGTGCGGTATGTCGTTTGCAAGAACGGCCGGGTCGAGCGGTTCGTCCGTCTCGTTGCGAGTTCGACTTGAAAGCAACGTTTTCTGGGCACGTATGCTCAAGCTGACGGCGGCATCGCTCTGCGTGCGGTTGAAGTCGGGACGCAAGGCACTCCTGCGGCTCTTGACGTAAAAGGAGAAGGTGCTGCCGACGCCCGCTTTGGATGCGAAGCCAATGGCACCGCCGTGCATCTCGGTGAGGCGTCGTGAGATGAAGAGGCCGAGGCCGGAACCACCTGGTGCTTGTTAGTGAAGATAACAGTTTCTCGTCACGGTTAGGCATTACCATAGTCGATGTGTGTTCGTGGAGAGGTCTGGGAAAAGCGAGCAAAGAGAAGCTCGTGTTCTTCGTCAGTCAAGCCACGACCCGTGTCCTGCACGGAGAAGATGACATAGACCTTTTATGTCAGCAACAGCCCTAGCACATGTTTGCTCAATGGATGACTCACGATTTCGCCCTTTTCCCAATCCGCCTGTAATGTCGCTGCCTCGGAAGCGTCCGAGGTGCGCGAGAATGGCACACTGAAGCTGTGGGTGGGCTGCTCAAGAGAGATGCCCAGGCTCACGGAGATTTCACGTATTTCCTCCAGCCGCGTGAACTTGATAGCATTCGTAATGAGGTTCTGTTGTCATCAGCCATTGCACTTTTTTAGATTTCGCGTCACTTACAATGAGGATTTGCAACACCCTCGTCGGGTCAAGCGATACATGGTCGATCTGGATCTTCTTGCACGATTCTTCAAGCTGGAATCGCAGGTCTACGCCTGCGGACTTGGCCTCGCCTTCGAACATCTTGACCGCGTCTCTTGCGATGGAGTCGAACTTGACGTCGACCGGGGTCATGACGAATAATCCAGAGTCTAGTTTAGACATGGTGAGCACATCGTCCACAATGGTCTTCATGTGCTTCGAGCACTGAACAATAGTCTCGGCAGCGTCCACGGTAGTCTCTAGTATGCTTTGGTACACCTTCTGGTAGTCTGTCGATTTTTCGAAGCTCTTGTGGGCTGCGATGATGCTATCCGCACATTGAACGATTGCAGAAAGCGGATTCCGCATCTCGTGGGACGTCGTGTCGATGAAGTTCTCCAGGCTACGCTTCGACTCTCGAGCTCTTGTTGCCTGCGTAGCTTGCAGCTTCTCGCCCCATTTTTGCTGACTGATGTCGGTACAGCAGCCGATAATCTCAATCACTTCTCCTTCGTCGTTGAGCTCGGGGAATATCGACGTGATGACCCACATTGGCTCTTTCTCGGGGTACGTATCATCGAAATTCTGATTGGGTGCGTTCCATCTCTTCTTGAGACGCAACTCAAATGACCTATTGGATGTAAGTTTAAAATTATATACAGCGAGATGGACATGACTGACTGATGCTGCTTGGTCTTTATCAATTCCTCAAACTTCGATTTACCCATTTCAATGAATTCGTCATCAATGATCTTTCCCCATGCATCGGCAAGATCAATCGAGGGGTCTACCGGGCCTAGCATCTCGAACCAAGCTTCATTCCTGTACGAGTAGACGCCATCCATGCCTATCAAAAAGATGCCAATATCGGCACGTTCCGCAAAGCGTTTGAACTTGGAGAAATTTCGCTCAGACTCTTGCTGAGACAGTGTCAGTTGGTGTTTGAGTTGGAATTTCATCGCTTCAGCATTAGCAATAGTCCGCTCTCGGCGCCCAATGTCCTCTTCATGAAGTAGAATGGACGTCAAACATGTAGATAAAAGTCGACTTGCGACTAGAATGAACTGAAGATAGTCTTCGTCAAACGGACGGCGAGGGTTGATTCCAATGACCATAAAGCCAAGGATGTTGTCTTTGGAAGAGGTCGGATTCAAGGGGCAAATGGCCGCCGCTCGACAGGGATCACCGAAGCCCTGCCAGTCGACATCCTTCACCAAATCTGCAGCCACGGGATCCTGATCGAACCGAATTATGATCGGCTTTCGGGCTGTGAGTGCCTGGCGAAAGTACGGCGTAAAGCCATGGTCTTGTTGAAAGTCGAGGTTATCGGGACCCGCTGGTGAACCTTTCGGCAGACCGAAAGAGCCGCGCAGCTTGCAGTGTTGCTGGTTGGTATCAGAAAACCGCGTCCTGCTTGATTCTGACCCGTGCCCGTCGGCTTCGGCTGAGTATAGCAAAGCAAAAGGAACGTCTTTGTCGTTGCGAGATAGGACTTCGGTCGCAAGGACCCAGTAAGTGTCTGTGTTGCGTGCTCTTGGTATCTCCTCGCTTAGCTCCAATAGTGTGCGTGAACGTCTTTGCGTGATGACTTGTTTGGTCTATGCGCTTGTCAGTAGCTTTCACGGCAGCTCTACAGTATGGGCAAATTATTTCCAAAAGTCAAAAGCCTGCGTTTCCGTAGTCTCTCAAGTCTCGTGAGCTTTTCGTCACCGTGTAGGACCGAATCTGACTGTAGAAGACGAAGCGACAAGAGAAACGAATGAGAATACAACAAGCAACACTTACCGTCTCTACCAAAGGCTCATAATGTCCAACTGTGACACCCTCGGAATCGAATATAGGTATGAACTTTAGCGAAAAGTATGTTTCTTCCATGAAGCCGTTGCGTACCATATGTATGACTGTGTTAGTCTTCTCTACCGTCTCCCCCGCCAGATTCTTATCTATAATAGGCTCAAAATATTCGGCCCAGACGGAAGCAAGAGCGACACGAGCACTCATTCCCATGCAAGGATGAAAGCCACCCAAGAGCTCTATCTCTGCTTCGTTGTAGATCATAATCAGATCCGGTCCGTAAAAAACCACCGCTGGCCTTGGATCCTGCATGACAAGGTTGGCAATGCTTCGTAGTTGAGATGACCAGGACGACATCGGCCCAAGAGGCGTAGAAGCCCAATCAATACTGCGCGCCCATGCCGCATGTGGTGTCAATCGCAGAGGAGGAAGTTCATCAGTCCAATCGAAGTTTGGTGCTTTTGGTTTGGACGTCTTCCGACTTAGAGGCATCATTTCGGAGCCTTCGCCCCCCGCGCATATAGTAGCTGAAATACCGCTAATGACGTTCCACCGGTCAGCCACGTGAACCCTCGTCCAATTGAATCCGTGGTAGAGAAAAGGTTTACTCGTCGTGTCCTGTTCCAGGGACCAGCTTCGAAACTCGGTGGAAGGAGCATAACCTTTCTGGTTGCCACCAGACGCGCCGCCATCGCGGGTTAATTGTTGCAACAGGCCTCCAGGGTCGGTTGCAGCCATGGCCGGATTCCAGTATTCCAGAAGACATCCATTCTCAGTGGCTAGGCTATCTGGTGAAGTGTCGGTAATGAAGGTTGGTCGGGGGTCTCGATGTAGCAAGTCCAGCATGCCGACACGATGCAGGGGCGACGTGCCATTCTGAGACGATGGTTCGAGGGGCCGCTTGTCGAGTGAAGGCGATGCCGTCATGATTGGGCTGATCCTAGCGCTGCATATGGCCGTCTGCCCTCCTCTTGCACAGTCACTATAGATGATGATGCGGTGCTAAATGTTGCTCTTATCGCAGCCATGTGGAAGCGCTGTCATGTGTTCTGGGTGGGCTTGGAAAAGTGGAATGGATCTAGAAGCCTAGGCCGGCTACGTGGATCAGCCGCATGTCGCTAGCCGGATTTAGCGCCGATCCCTCGTGATAGCTTGAGGACGCGTCCATCTTTTGAAACGATGATACATCTCCATCACTTACAACTGCCAAATCATCTCTTACCACTCGCGGTTTTTGCCACAGGCAAAATGCGAATAAGACAGTAGGCCATGGATGACAGCTCACCGCTTGCGTACATTATCGTCCAATGACGCCCTTTTTCCGCCAGACGGCCCCGCTCCAGCACCGTGTCACGCCTTCGCAGATTGCAGGTTACCTCGAGGTCAACTTTAAGATCTGACATAAGCGCTTTTTACATCACAACACCCCCATGGCAAGCTTGTTCTCAAAGTGGGCTATGAGCTTCCCTACGACAATCGCATCTTTAACAGACTTCATGTACCTTGACTTCTGAAGCTCACACATCCAAATTAATATACCAGGCCTTTCACCGATGATCAATCCTGCACAAGGCTTCCCATTGATGCCGCAACAACCATGATCCAGGAGGCGCACCCACTGGGTGTTCTGTGATGCCTGTTGGTAAACCAATTTGGACAGGAGGCTTATCGGTTCTGCAGTTGGGCTTCTAGCGTAGTTCAGCCTTGTTGACTGGCTATTTCCTTAAGAGATGGAGCGTCCCTACTTAAATACCTCAGCCTTGCATGCTTCTATACTCCACGGATCATAGCCTCTTGTGGCGATAGTCAGAACACGAGATGCCTATCATAGGCCCTACAAACGTAACCGCCATCGGTACCTCGACCTACTTGCCGACATGTGCGGCATCGGCGACTGTAACTGTACAACATCTCACAGTGAATGGGACGCCCGTCAAACGCGCCTTACAATGGTCTCACAGTGAGGTCTTTGTCACACCCTACGGGACTTCACTTGCTATAGGATCAGGGAGGGTAGCAGACCTTACATCTGTATTTACCCCAAGCCCGTCATGTGTTGACAGATGGTTGTTAGCGCCAACGCCGTCTTGCGGTATAGATGACACGGCCATTGGCCTTGATACTGTCTGGTCCGTGAATCCTACACGATCGATCGTCTCCGATGACCAGTACAGCAACTGCCAGCTCTACGGAACGGCTACTTATAGTCCTGGGATATGTCCTAGCGGTCAGACAATTGCAGAGGTAACTGCGTACGCAAGTAGTGCATCGAATGGAACCAGATTATTCTGGCAAGCGAGCTGTTGCAAAAGGTTTGACACTATTGCTCTCTGCCTGTCAATATCTGTTTAACTGACATGGGACAAATAGCGATATGACCTTTGGCCCGGAGTACCCAGATCTTTGCCTGAGCCGCTTTTCGACCCCCGTCAGTGCTTACGCTGCGATCATAACGGAACCCGCCTTTGAAGGCCAGGATATCACTCCGGTCTGGGAATATACATCTAACTACGGTTCTGATGGGACAACTGTGATTTCCAGTATCACAACGATTGTAACAGGCCTAGCGGTTGCTGATCCTGTCGTAGTCGCCTGGCAGATTGACGACGTCGGAACCTTCCCGAGTGAATACGTCAAGTCGTTAGTTGCGAGGTATAGCATACCTGCGCCAGCCAGTACGTCTACACCAACAAACAATGCTCTAGAGCCAACGGCCGCACCCGCATCCGATGGTCTTAGCACTGGCACACAAGTAGGAATTGGGGTAGGGGTAGCACTTGCTGCTGCTCTTGCTGGAGGCCTGTTGATCTTCTGGTGTCTGAGACGTCGTCGGAAAGCTAGTGCGACCGAGGAGCCGGATGTCGTGATACCAGAGATGGAGGATCAAGACCACACCCATACCGAGCGCAAGTGGTACTTTGGCGGGCGATGGAGGAGTGAGATTGATACTCGAGCGACTCAAAACGAACTTGACTCGAAGGCGGTGCATGTTGTCCCTGGACCACCGGCTGAACTGGAAGCACACGAGCCTGCGGTTGAAGGTGCCAAGATTGCAGGAAACGATGACGGCAGGGTATAACTGTATACAATACGCGACAGAAGCAGACCTAGAGCAGATCTTTTTGGCTTTATCCACTTCCAGGAAACCGGGACACGGCAACAAAGATTACATGATGAGTCCTTTTCTTTTGGCTCGATATGCTGCGCGGTCATTACTGCACAAGCGCAGTAGAGCCTTTCTCTCACGTCCTCAGTCGACCGGTATGGTCTCTCATATGCTTTGGACGCGATATCGCGACTACTGCCACAGCAGCTTTTAGGTCTCCTTCATGGCTTAATGGGGTTCCGATATCAATGTTCAGTCTTTGAGGAAGAGAATACACTAATATCCGCCTTGGTGCACCTAATCTCCGTTTCGGTCTCGCGAATCACGATGAAACAAGCTTCTATGAGCAGGGAGCGTTTCATAAATCCTTCATCTTCAAGCCGCCCGCACTAGCCTTGAACAAGCAGAAGGCGGGTCTAACTAAGGCTCGGTGTGGCTTAGCGTCTCCGTCGCGAACGTTTCACACCGGACTTTCCATCACCAAACGGCTGTCATGCCATCTGGCGTCCTGTCAAAACCGTTCATGCCTGCAGATACCGCTTGCGCGATACTCAATGTAGTTGCGCGCGTTTCCTGGATATTAGCCATGCGATGCGTTCGCGCTGTCTAGAAGCCAAACTAGGCTTTGGAGGAATATGCGCCGAGTCAAGTCGAATTCTTATATTGTCTGCTCGTCGTGCTTTTCAGTTTTTGTTGTTCCATCGCTCACTACTGTCATTCATTCTTCGTGTTCGTAGTATCTTCCTTCATTTTCATCAACTTACAGCTGGTCTCTGTTCCTTACCTTCCAAACACATACTTCAAGATGTTTGCCAAAACTACTCTCGTGAGCGCGTTGCTCAGCGCTGCATCTGCTGGTAAGCTTTTTTCTATCTTTCCTACGAGAGCAGCTACTGATCATTACTCCAGAAATCATCTGGGATGGCCGCTTCAACGACATGACCTCCTCTTCCGAGCTCTCCGACTGGTCCTTCTCCAACCCCGTCGGCAGCTACCAATACTACATCCACGGCTCCGGACCCGTCACCGACTACGTAAACCTCGATGCCACCTACAAGAACCCCGCCGACACAGCGTCGAAGCAAGGTGTTAAGATCACCATCGACGAGACCGCGAAGTGGAACGGCCAGACCATGCTGCGCACTGAACTCATCCCCCAGACCAAGGCTGCCATCAACAAGGGCAAGGTCTACTACCACTTCTCCGTCAAGACCACGGCTGAGAACGCCCCTACTGCCACCAACGAGCACCAGGTTGCTTTCTTTGAGAGCCACTTCACCGAGCTGAAGTATGGTGCGTCTGGATCTTCCAACACCAACCTGCAATGGCACGTTGGTGGCGTCTCCAAGTGGGACGTTGAGCTCGTCGCCGACGAGTGGCACAACGTTGCTTACGAAATCGACTTCGATGCTGGTTCCGTCTCGTTCTGGCACTCCACCGGTGCTGATGAGTTGAAGCAGACCGCTGGTCCGTTCGACGCGAGCACCCAATCCAACGGTGCTGATTGGCATCTTGGTGTCCTAAGGCTTCCAGGTAACGCCGACAAGGACGGTGCTGAGGATTGGTTCTTCAGCGGTGTATACATTGAGGATGGTGAGCTCACTACCAAGGTTGGCAGTGGAGCTGCCGGCGCAGCCCCGGAGAAGCCTGCTGCCAGTGCCGCCGCACCTTCCAAGGTCGCGTCCTCTGCTGCCCCTGCTGCTACTTCTTCCAAGGCTGCTGTTGCTCCAGTCTCTTCCAGCGCCGCCGCTGTTGAGACTCCCGTCGCTTCTTCCACTGCTGCTCCCGTCGAGACTCCGGCTGCTTCCTCTTCCGCCGCCGCTATCTCTAGCGCCGCTCCCGTTGAGACTCCCGCTGCTTCTTCGACCTCTGCTGCCGCTCCCGTCGCTACTCCTACTACTGGAGCTGGTTCTGACGCAAAGCTTCCTGAGGAGTTCACCATCAGCCAGTTCGTCGCTTGGCTCAAGGCCAAGACTGGCAAGAACTAAGCAGACGCCATGTGCACGCTCCGCTTTGAGTAGTCAGACAATTGGCACTTTACACATTCTTGTAGATATCTTTCTTCTTCGCTAGCTATTGCAATACATTGTTCGCAATTCCTATCTCGTACTCTGCTGCTGAAGATGATGGTTATCGATGCCCGAGCTTTTGGGCTCGTCCCCACTCCAAGGTTCGTTGAAAAGAGCCTTGATAAACCATTATCCAAGCTTACTTCTACTAATAGAAACCTTTGGTCACTTTGGTTCTCTTCTTTCCCTTCCGATGTACTATTTTATTGTCCTTGGCGGATACAGTCTCCCAATGCGGATGCGACCGTACCTAAACCCATCGCAAAGACAACACCAAGGCCTACACCTCCCTATATGATACCTCAAGATACGGAGAGGCCGAAACCACGCCGTATATCTTGTTGAAGGATAGAAGACAAAGCCTAGACTCCAGCTTATGCGGAATGCTTTGACCCGCGCAATGCGATATCCATGTAGAATTTTTCCGAACTGTGCATATCTGCAGGAGGCTGACAAGAATTCGTAAGATGGCGGTTTCAAGGCGTTGATTCCGTCCGAAGAGCGGTGGGGAAAAGATTAGTGATTGTAGCCCTCGACTGTTGAGACTGTGCCGGCAGGTGCTACTGAGAGGCTTCCAAGGTCTTGTCGCATTGCAAGCATCGGATTGGTGTAAAAGATTTAGCCGTGGTAATATGCGGCCAACTCTTTCCCTTGTGAGCGGTCTGCATTTGGTTCTGGGATTGTGTCTAGATATAGACACTGACGGTCTGCTAGGCCTCGAACGATGTTCGGCGCTCCCAAGGTCACTTGGTGAAAGAAGACGAATCTCGGTGACATGTTATCCCGAGGTATCCATCAGTTCTTCTCTTGGTAACGACCCATCGGGTTTTACAGTTCGAGACAAGAATCTGCGAAGTAAGCACCGATCTCCCGGGTTGATGCTGGGGTACTTGATGAGACACGCACCGTGCGAGGCGGCGCACTAGATGACTAAGAAGGTCCGATTGATCCAGTAACAGCCAAGTCCGGGGAAGCAGTGATGCAAAAGATCTGTGGTAGATTTATCTCTGCAACAGCACAGCATCGGGATTTACCATCTTCCTACCTGAGACTGAAAGTGACCTACGGTCAAATATGACATCATCCGCGACCGTTACCTGTGAGGCGTTTGCCGAAAGCATGCTAAACATAGTGTTACCAAACGCGGTCAAACCTTGCCGTCGGCCAAATCTTAAAAACCCCAGATCCCAGTACCGTCAGCCTTAGCACTCGCGACACAGAGCCTCACCTCACAAATCTTAAAAGGGAATTATATTCCTAGAATAAGACCGTATCCGCATACGTAAGGCAGGGTACCCAGAGACCATCTACAAGGAAATCAGCGAATGGAAGGTGTTCGATCGAGAAATCCACGCTATGGACCCAAGTACGGATATAATGTAAGCATGTTCAGAGGGCCTGTGACGGTCATCTGCTGCGTAGTCCAGACTCTCGGACCCTACACTCAACACTACAGAGATTCACCGTCCGGGGTAACACAGGAAATTCCAAGACTTGACCTCCGGTCAATGTCAGAACTGCAAACTTCCGAACCGTATCAGACCTGCAGCTTCAGAGCAGCCGCCAGCATCCGAGACCAGAGCAATGATGGTAGAGATGTGTATATAAGGCTAGCAGACAGATGCCTTCGAGATGGATCAACCACGAAGGCACCATCTTTTTCAAACTCTTCGCACCCTGAAATCTTCCCGGCTACTTCTATCCGTGATATTCAGTATACAAGAGTATCTTTCCAAATCATTTGAAGTGACCATCATCGTCCTCTTTTTCTCTTCTCGTATACATTACGAAATATTCACAATGTCTGCCCGCGCCATGATACGGCGACCAGCAACGGTCCGCACCCTCTCCCACGCATCCACACGCACTGTAGCACTCCGCCGCCTAGCGACAATGGCCGACACTAAGATTGGAACTATGCCCCCGGGTCACAAAGCCACAGTCGGCCACCTCCAGACCTTCGAACTACCTGAATCACTAAGCGGAAGTGCCTCCGACAAAGCGCTAGGCAAGAGCATGATCGACGCATGGAAACGCGACGGCATCCTGCAAATCTCCATGGACCCTATCAATCGTAAGCTCGCCGACGCTGCTTTCCTGACGAGCAAGAAATTCTTTGCTCTCGACCACAAGAAGAAGGCTGCTTGTCTCGATGATCAGAGTTTTGCAGGCTACATCGCTTCTGGTGAGGAGATTACGGATAATATCGCTGACTACAGCGAGATCTTCACTGTCACAAAAGATCTCGCACTGTCTGATCCCCGGGTTCAACAAAAGTGGCCATGCCATGGACCGTGCCCCTGGCCGTTCACGCAGATGAAGACTATCATGCAAGCGTACATGGATTACCTCGGCGAGAGTGGTGAGAAGATGTTGCAACTCATTGCTTGGGGCCTTGGTCTCAAGGACGGAAATGCTTTGACAAAATACACGCAAGATGGCTGGCACCACATGCGCGTCCTGCGCTTCCCTCAGGATACTAAAGTCAACGGCAAGGGTAAGGCAGGTCGTGGAATCGGGTCGCACACTGACTACGGTCTTCTTGTCATTGCCGCGCAGGACGATGTAGGCGGTCTATTTATCCGCCCTCCCATCGAAGGCGAGACGTACGCAAACTGGAAAGAGACAGCCGCTGGAAAGAACGAGGATGCCGATGGCTGGGTCTACGTCCCACCTGTTCCTGATGTCTTCACTGTTTTCCCAGGCGATATGATGCAGTATATCACCAACTCTTTCTTACCCTCTACTCCCCACAAAGTTGGCCTCAATACACGCGAGCGTTTCGCTTTCGCCTACTTCCACGAGCCCAACTTCTCGGCTGTTATGAAGCCTTTGCCTGGATTCGAGGCGGGCCAAGAGCCTACTGAGGGTATTCACTACGGCACCCATTTCACCAACATGTTCATGCGCAACTACCCGGAGAGAATCACCGCTGATCGAATGAGGGCCGAGGGCAGGATGGCATTGTTGGACTCGCCCAACCTGAGGTGGAAAGACACACCCGCCAGTGGCCCGCAGGATGTGAATGTGGATAACACTTTCCCCGCGGTCGAGTCCATGAGCGAGAAGAGAACATCCGCATGACGATCATCTATGGAAGCTTTCTCTTTTCCTCGAGCATTTTACTTTTAGCGCTTCAATTAGCATAAAGGCGTTATAGATTTGTTGTATGGCTGTTTCCAGAACTCAATATTCACTATTTTTGTCTTGAATGATCCTGTCAAATGTCGTAGTGAACGAATACATCTTCGCCATCTGAACTGACATGCTATGAGTTTGCATCGCGCAATGTCGAGTATGCCTCGATCCAGTAGGCAAAGAGAAAATCATTTAACCCCCTCTTGGCACAATGTAAAACTTGCCTGGTGTAGTAGCCGAAGCACTGAACTCTCCTAGTAGATGGCCGACTATGGACAGGTTTGCTGGATCTGAGATCGCACCAGCCGAATTGATTCGATTGGGGGAAGATATCTGAGGTGTATGCTCATAGTGCTTTTCCAGTATGGACTAACAGCCTCTGGGCCCCTCCAAGTTAGGAAGGTTTCTTCCAAGGATCTGATCTCGGGAGATTTCAGAGGTTCGTAGTATCCTGTAGTATTTCATGCATCGATTGCGTAAGATTGGTCGCGCGTGACGTCGAAGATGATTACTACATTCTTTTTGAAAGGTGTCTATTAAGTCGGATGACTTTATTCTCACGAGTGGGAAGGTTACCTCCCGGAGTGTCGATTTATTTCTGCTAGAGATTATCTGGTCTCTTTTTGAACGGGAAAGCCACGAACATTAGAGCCGTTGTCGATATCTTTATCAATATCGGCCCTGTTTGACAAGCATTATTTTCGTTCACATCATAAGAGAGGCACTAAGAATACCAAGATTGAAAATGACCGAGATCGAAACACTATCAGATTGATACTCCTTTGCTACAAAGACAACAACATTAATGAAAATCTCCCAAGAACGACGACCACGTGAATAAGCGCTTCCTAGGTGGGTCGGCTCAAGTCTCCATAGAGGAGGTCGAATCGGAAATCCATGAGTTTAGTGAATGTTATGATAGTCATGCGCCTACGTCATGGTAGTTGTGCGATGCGTGAATGACCAAAGCAACCCTTTATCCTTTGTCCAAATCTCTCCCTGTTACATCTTCACACTGGTAAACTTGTTTAACCTGCCCAGTTGAATTTACTCATTGTCCCATCGTGTTCTTCTTTCCAAGCCCTCCATTTCGGTCGCAACCATGTTGAGCACAGTAGCTGCCAAAAGGAACAGGCCGCGCGCCAGCGCCAACACCGCTATCTCCACAATGGACATTCAGCAGCACTTCGCAAAGCCTAGGGCAGATCGAGAGAACATCGCACACCGCCAGCGATCATCTGAACAAGCGCACGTCAGACGCTTCCAGAAAAGGCTCGCTTATCAGGATAGAACCAGACGCATCGAGAACCAACTTCCGAACCACTGGACTGGGGGAGACAAGGTTAGGATCAAGATAAGCATGGAAGAAGATTCGATGTCTGACAAAACACAGAAGCAGGTGGCTGCCCGTATCACCGTCGCAAATAAGAAGGTCCAACGAACAGTGTTGGTCGCAAACGCGGAAGACAGCTCGGATGTCACAACCAAAATGACTTCCAACTCGTCCAGCAATCGCGACAAGTCGAGCCCTGCGCCCAACAGCGACAGGTGCAGCTCAAGACCGGAGACCGACCAGACCTCGCGCTATGAAAGCGACGGTGGCAAGACAGCACTGAAGCTCAGCAAGGTCTTGATGCTGCTGAATGGCGAGCATGTGAAGCTACAAGAGGAACTTGGCAGTGTGAAGCAACAGTTGATCGAGGAGCACTCTCGATACGAGGCACTCGAGCAGAAATACACCGAGCAGCGCAGTCAGCGCGTGAACGACAAGCGCTTGGTGGACCACTGGGCCCAGGAAGCTGCTGATGCGAGATTTGACTGCGCAGAAGTTCAAGGCGCAAAGAAAATCCTAGAAGATCGTCTCGCCGACGCCAAAGAACAGCATCGAATCGATCTCGAAGCAAAAGACCTTAAGATCGAGACGTTAGAAGCTATGTATGACCTCAATGTCGCGGCCAAGGACGTGGAAATCGAAAAGTGGCATCAAGCCTGTATGCAGAAAGATTCCACGTTCCGGAAAATGGTGACAAAGCTAGTTAGCGAGCGCGACGAAACTCGAGCCAAGGCCATCCGTGAAAAGAAAAAGATCTGGGCAACCAGTAGAAACAAGACTGATGATCTGAAAGAGAAGCTTGAGGCATGGAAGACGAAATACGATCGGATGTCCGCGGATTCTGATGATGCTACTACCAAGAACAAAGAGACTATCGCCAATCTTGTCACTCGGAACCGGCAATTGGAGTTGGAGCATGGAACCATGGGTCGCATTCTACAACAAACTTGCACGAAAGGGTCCGAGCTACACCAGCTCAACCAAATCATCGAGGCGAGTACCGCGAGTAGAGAAGAGGCCAAGAAGCTCCGAACGATGGTGAAGCGACTGGAACAGCACAATGAGAATCTTCTCGATACGCAGCAGAATATCCAGAATGAGTGCAAACGTCACCGAGAATCCGAGCAGGATATGCGAGCTGCGTCAAAACGCGCCTGTGATACTATCCAGCTCTTAGAAGATAAGCTGGCACTCACTAAGATTCAGCTTCGCGATGCGGCAAATCAGCTCGAGAAGATACAGCAAGGCGCTGTTCCAGCAGGCACGCATTGCGCGGCGCTTGATGCACTTGAGCAAGAGAATGAACACCTGCGAGAGTCACTTCAAACCGAGCGAAACGACAAAGCTGAGATGCAAGGCAAGCTAGATAAGCTTGACAATGAGAATCTCAGCCTGTCTATCGAGTACGATTCCATTGACGCCGAGCTGATCCAGAGTAAAAAGTCCAGCAGTACGCTTCGTGATAGCATGGAGGCAGCGATGCACGAGCTGAACATGCTCCGAAAAGTGGTTCAGGGCCAGCAAGGTGTTCTCGGTGAAAAAGATCATAGTGAACTGCTGAGACTAGTGAGCAGAACCACGGAAGAAAACAGGAGCCTCGTTGAAGCGAACGCCAGGATGGAGACAAAGGTGCAGGAGGTTGAATGGTATGGCGCGACCATTGAAGACAAGTCTGAGAGCGAGGTAATGAAGGCTAGAGACATGAGCGACTACTGGTGGCATCTCTATCACAACGAGGCTGTCCCGACTACAGAACGCTTACACGCCGAGATTGCCGCCCTCAAAGCAGAGAAGAGTGAGCAGCACTTTGTCGAGCCAGCTCCACCTATGAATCCAGTCGTTTTCGACCGGAAGATGTTGCCGTGCGCTGCCATGCACGGTCTTGCAGGCGTTCCGGCTCATTTGATCACTTCGGCTGTGTTCGATGCTGAGGGCGTTACACATCTCTCTGCGACTACGGAAGCTTTGCAAACGCTACGACCTCAGGGTTGGAAACCGGTAGTCGTTGCGGGTAAAGTCTGGCTATCGAAGATGGTGAAGCCATTGTTGGAGGATGATGCCGTGACGCAGATCCAGATTGACCATCATAACGGAGATCTGGGTAGCACAGGTCCTGGACAATCCTTGATGAGCGACACGTACAGGTCACACAACACTCAGATTCCTACCAACTTCATGGCACACAGCGTCCTGTCGGCGCATCGTTTGAATCTGCTGGCATTGTTTCTGACCAACACTTCAAGCGAACGAGCGCAAGATCTTGTCATTCCGAAGTGCGGCGACCAAGTTGCTGCTAGACGCGAAGCAACGCGGCCGCCTATTAAGCAAGCGCTGAAATCAAAGCCTCAAGCTACCTACCGGACTGCGCAGGCTTCCACCATGGAAGAACTACGAGTTCCTGAGTGGCGAGCATCGTGGCTGAAAATCGATAGCAGGATGACACGTGAAGCGTGGGAAGATGAAGACCTTGATGACGATTTAAAAGTCAACTGGGTCAGACTCTATGTCACGAAGAAAGACAACTAAACCACAGGAGACGCGGCTTGTTACACCTGATAGAAATTCTTCATTGTTTGGACGCGACGAAGATAGATGGAGTAACTAGTGGGCGGCAATGCGGCACGATGAAGTAATCTGGACCGTAGCGTAAGGCAGCGACTGCTCGTCAGCAGTATATCAAACATATGTACAAGTCAACAGATGTGAATGAGTAGAGGTACACAGAGATGCGCGAGATTTGGGAGACACATATGGTAGAATGGGATTGCGAATGGCTAGGGAAAGATGACGGGCAAGGTGGCATCCACTGGAGACGTTTCTGCCCGCCCATGTTCGCGCTACAGTAGATTCTTTGGGCAGGACCTGACGATTCGGGGATTACACACATGTTGACCGGCGTTGGACATGTCAACGCTGTTCCGTCTTCGAGAGTGATCATTACTGTCTACCACGCAAAATCATCAATATGGACTAGCCGTATGTACTGGTGCTGTGCACGAATGATCGCTCTGCCATACGAGCCTGCCACAGCCTTCATCCGCGACCCCACACATCCGGTCGACAAAATTCTCACATATATGCTGATGCCATATATTGCAACGACGCGGTGGCAGCCATGTCTGATTTTGGAGGCAACATCCAAGATCTTTCCATTGACTAAGCGTTATGTAGCCTCGCTCGAGCCAATCGGCACGTGCCGTGATATACGATCTTGTCGGTCTCTCTCACCAAGAGGCCCCACCGCCGCTTCTGCGACTAGATCACGGAGGTGCGAAAGCAAACGGGCACATATAAAACGCGATGTTCAGCGCGTCCTTTATTCTAATATTCTCCGGGTAGGTGAATGTTACCTTGCTAAGAGCGCGGATTCTTGAAGTGACGATGTTGATCTCACTTTCAACAAGCGTATCGGTCACTGAGGTGCGATTGTACACAGCATGTCCAGATTCATACACGAGTATGCTACCATGCTCGATTTTCTTTCCTTCTTTTTGGTTTGGGACGCTATCCGGAGGTATGCTGCGCCGCTGTATCGTCGCCCATTCACCTAACTTCACCCACCCACCCGCATCGCCGCGATTAGGGCAACGGAAATCCGAAGTCACGATGACGTAACCTGTTGGAATACCCATGGTCTAGCGTACGCTTTAGCATTGTCGCGTTATTGAGCCTCTTCCAGGCCAGTCAGGTCCGCCTGCGCCACAAAGTGAAGGTGACCTGAAACACGATTTCCATACCCAACCACCTTTTACATGCAAACCAAGGATACGCCATGGCAATAGATCAGGAATTTGGAGAGGCTGGGCCAATTGCGTCCCGCCGCTGCCTTTCGCGCTGCCAAATTTGCTAGTATCGTACCTACGACCGCCACAAGCACTGCCCAAGGTTGAGGAAAAGGTGAGCGATTTAACATGTTTTATACCCCAATAACTGCTAACCAGCCTCGTGATGGCTTAGATAATGCCCAGCGTCCTTCTTCCAGAGCTCCCCTGGTAGCTACCGACTGCAGTATCTATCCCTTTTCCCTAGCAACCCACGCCACTTTCTGATCATATTCAGACAGCCCTACGACTCCTTTGATACGATATCGCCTAACAAGCATCTCGAATTATGTCCTCCAGCCAGACTTCTGAGCACGCCTTCGATATGTTCACCGACAGCACCTACTTCGACGAGGACACCCTCCTCTCTGCCGACGTCCCCCTCCCTTCGATTGAGTGCACCGAAGACCTCTCAGCTGACCTCTTCGACTCGGCTTTTGAAATCGGTTTCGACAATGAAAGCCTCCACTCTGATATGTCTGTTTGGCCTGTCGATGGTCTATTGGAGTGTAGTGACGACCTCACCTCCTCACCCTCTAGGGTCGCTGACTTGGTACCGAATTCCTCCTCTCCCACCTCTTCAGGCACCATTGAGAATCTGTGGAGGCCCTTGATAGTATCAGATACTATCAATGTTGCATTTCCGGATACTCCAACTCCCTCCCGTGCTCCCGCCAAGCATCGTGCGCCTAAGGCGAAGACCTCGATGGCCGTCAAGACAACACAGAAGCCTAGTGTTACCAAAGCTAAGAAGATCACAAAGCCTGGGAAAGCTCACAAACGCACCGTTTCAGCGCCCTCCAGTGAACCTCGTAGTGTGCAAACACTCTACACCCTACCCTGGTCACATCTTTCCCAAGAAGAGAAAGGCCTTCTCCTCCTCCCTCTTCTTCAAGGAATCGACCCAAACACGGGTGAGAAGATCGGTGAAGCTGGTAGCCTCCTTCCTCCGCCCTCTTTCGAGATGGTCACGGACGATGTCTTCGGCACCGGCGATGATGGCACCAATTTCATGGACAACCCTTCTCCGCTGTCGACTTCAAGTTCAGCTGCAACCACCACAGTCGACCTCACTGGCGACGATCTCGACCTCTCCGACAAAGATATCGCTATGTTCCGCGCCTGCCAAGCTTTTAACATCCAGCACGAAGCGCAGAAGAAGATCGCCCTCCCCACCCTTTCAGACTTCAACTTCGACATGCCTGACTTCGAGTTCGACGAAACCAACTGGGACATCTTCGATAACTTTATGGCTGCTACCCAGGGAATTGGTGGCCCCACTAGTAGTGATGTCATTGGCAACTCAATCCGGAAGGTTACGACTGTCAATGACGACGGCAATACCGGCCGGGCCTCAAACCTACCTGAGATGACGAGCACTGGGCTTGGTCAGATGCCGGTTCCTTCTGGTGACTATGGACGGAAGCGCCAGCAAGAAGCTCTTGGACGCAACGCCATGCTTCGCGCTGCTGGTCGTCGTCGCTAGAGTTTTGGATGCTGTGGTAGTATCCCTTTTCATTGTTCTGTTTGGTTGACGGCGCGATTTTGAGAAGCTGATCAGGTCGAGGTGATTGATATGACGTCTAGTTAGCTACTATGGGTGTGGGCGCAACGGACGAAGGAAGATACGGATATGGAATGCTCACATTAATTCATCGTTCAGCAACGGATGAGCTTGAGTAAAGACATTGATAGAACAATATATAGAAATACTCCATTCTGTCTCGTGCGGTGTTACATCGTCTCCTGGGATATGACATTCAGATTTTTGATTCACCGTTTCGCCCATGCTTTTCAAACAGCTCATAAGCACCCTCTTCCCACTTCATCGTCAAGGCGGCACACTTACGATCACCCGGTGGCACTACCTGCCCACCGTAGATTCCACAAAGCCCCGTCTTACGATCGATCCACCAGATCAAGTTAGGATATCCGCCCCAATGCATAGTGCCTGCTTTCCTACCGTCGGGTGCATCGGATGTAATGATTATGCCGCCAAGACCGTAGTCTTTCGTCAAATGCTTTGGGGTGTTACCCATCGCATTATTCGCCTTGGAGTCGTTTATCAGAAGAGTCTTCTAGAGGTGAACCAGCAGGATAGAGGAGGTGGGTAAGAGAGACATACCATGTCGTCCTGCACAACAGCATTCAGCATTTCCCGACTCCCCTCGCCCAATTGCGGCTTGAAAAACTCTTCTAAACTCGCTTTACTCAGGATCTTCCCCTCTCCACCCTCGTCGCAAGCCAACACGCCCTTCAATACCTTGATATATTCTCCCACGCAAGTGAAACTGCCCTGGCCACCCATGCAATCAACGACTTCCTTACCCTCTCCGTCTAGATATGGCATCGGCGAATCACTATGCTTCATCTTTCCCTCTTCGGTCCTCTCACTCATGTCTGCCATTCTAGCTTGCAGATCTGGGCGCGTGAAAGGGAAGAATGTAACATCAGTAATATCAAGTGGCCCCCACAAGTTCTTCTTCATGTACTCTTCGAGTGTAAGACCGGATATGCGCTCGACGGCTAGACCCACGTAGTCAATACCAGGGCCGTATGTCCAACTGGTACCGGGCTCGAACATGAGCGGGCAGGTGAACCGCTCGAGTAACTTCCCACTGCCACTAGGACGCTTTTTATGGTACTTCGACCACGCCGTCGCTAACGGGTGGCCCATACCCTCGTACACCAGACCGCTTGAATGCGTCAAAAGGTTTCGTAGCGTAATCGGTTTCTTGTGCTTCTCTTCAATTGGAGCACCCTCGTCAGTAAAGCCGGTCAGTACTTTGAACTCTTCTAGTTCGGGGATGATGCGGTAGATAGGCTCATCCAAAGTCACCTTCCCGCGCTCAACGAGTTGCATAGCACTGATGGAGGTCATGAGTTTGGTGCAGGATGCTACCCACATCATGGTATTGAGATTGAAAGGTTTAGCGCGAGAAGAGTCCATGGACGTGGCGCCGAAGGCTTTAGAGTAGGTAAATGAGCCTATTGCTTGTTAAAAGGTGGTGAACAAGGACTATTAAGACAAAAGAGCGATTACCATCGCGACTTGTAGCTGCTACAGCACAGCCAGGAATTTCTTGCGCAGCGACGGCGTCTTGGATGGCGATTTCGAAGTCTACCATTTTTGCAACGGATATGGCGTTCAGACTGTTTTCTTTTGGGAGATCAATTGATCGGAAGCAGACCTCTGATGTTTCCTTTGGTATATAAGTGCGAAACGATACGCTAGTATTGGGACAAGCCCGAAAGACGTAGCCGATGTCAGAAAGTCAGGGATCACTATGTCAGAATTCCCACTTCAGACCTAGCACAACCGACACGGATGGAAGAAGCGGCACACTGGCATAGATAAGCTTTTATAGTAGCAGTGCCGCCTGGTATGCGCTGTCGGATTTTCGTCCGTTGTACACTACGATGGTGTACCTCGGTTCACTACGGGCGGGGCTTGAATGTTCTAGCCGTTAGTCGCGACGTCGACAAGGCGGCACGGGCTCATCAACGAGGCAGCAACAAAGAAAGCATGAGAATGATGCAATGCCATCTCTTTTGCTTTTGGGTTTTCTCTTTCTGCCAAGCCACAAATCGCAGCTGCCGCATCACGCGCAACATTTGGGCGATGTACCGCCCATGTCAACACTGGTTGACTTTCGCGACATCGCATATTCTTTACGACAGACACATCAAGTGTGGAGCGCACCCGCCAATCTAACCTCGAACTTATACTCCTTAGGCTCGCAAAACACCATTCGATTTCCCGATATCATTCTTAGCGCTTCCAGAATCTCAGTCGTACCTGCGTTAATGATCAGCATCGGGCCTTCATGCGCAAGTGCTCAGTAATCTTCGCCAACGTACTCCTTGATAACACGAACTTTATCTGAAGTCTTGAATGCCCACAGCATGATCATGAACTCGTCTGGCAAGTTGTGAAGTTCCTTGTCCATCTTGTAGCTATCTTCGTTCCGGATGACCTCCGCCATTCCTCGTATCTGTGTTTCTGCGTCTTCTACCTCAGGCTCGGGATGGAGGTCAAAGTGCGTTGTCCATGGACCGGGATCGAATTCCTCCACAGCTTCGGCCAGCATACGGTAATCGAGCATGGTAAGGTTCTGCATCGGTTGAATGTCTAGAAGTTGTTAGTAAGAGATTGACCAGTTGCAGTCATGACACCCACTACCAAGATGACAGTCCCACGTATGACCATCGTATTCTCCACAGTCCATACATGGAAGATTGTTCAAAACTTCCATATAAGTGCGCAATGACTCCGAATCTGCCTCGGTCGCTTGCGCTCTCGATTCTTCTTTTGCGCCACATACGTCTGGAGAAACCATATTGAGCTGGTCAAGTTCTAGCTGAGAGCTGGGCTTGTTTTCAGACAATTGGCCATGTTCGTTCTCAATAGAAGCTGGTCTGTCAGGCGGTTCCTTGAGACTATCTTCTGTTGCGAATGATTCCCCAAGCTGCACGACTCTAGTGCGAGAAGGTGGCGAACCTGGTTGAGGCGAGATCGAGCTTCTCATGCTATTCAAAAAAGGGGCATGCAATCTTCTGGAGGGTGTCGTTGGCAAGACATTGTGAGGATTGTCAGGGCTTGTTTGTACTTGACTGTCGCCAGCGTTTTCGGTAGTAGCAGAAGGCTCGGTCGTAACAGCTACCGGACTAGAGAAACTTTTAGCAGGAGCAGGATTGGCAGTAGTGACAGACGTGGTCGTCGCGCCACATGGCGATGCAGCGTTCTTGTTGAGTTCTGGCGGCAATCTTGGAGCTGCCACGACTGGAAATGTATACCCTGGTTGGGTCCCGCTCACAGCATATGGAGATTGGTATAGTGTATTTGAAGTAGCGATAGCCTTTAGATTACGAGAAGATGAATGCACCCAGTTATGCTGTGTAATACCTTGTTCTAGTGTCGACGATGTTGGTGACGTGGACGGCTGTAAACCCCACTCCAATGCAGCGCGAGGTATTGATGGCACGTACCTACCGGCAGACAGAGCGGGTGATATGGACGATGATACCAGTGGAGAGTTACCCTGAAGAGTGACTTGGTGGCGGTTCACTGTAGAGCTGGAAAGGCTCGAAACTGCAACTTCACGGGACAACGCGCGCGCTGCGGAAGACTGTGTCAGATGCTCCGTGGTAGCATTCAGTGGGTGTCTGAGAGGCGCAGTTCTGGCCGCAGGCGTCGCTCGTGCTTCTTGTGATATGTCCTTACTTCGGGCTCTCGTGATTCGACCTACAGGAGGCTTTGGTGTAGCTCGTACCGGATTTTGAGGTTGTGGCGAAACCAAGGTTTCTGGGTGTGGTGTCACAGGCGAAGCAATCGGTTGATCTGGCAGTTGGCTCGCTGTATCGGGGATATCTGATCGCTGTGCTCTATACTTAGCTTCCCAGTACTGTCTCAATCTTGGCTTGGTACTGATAGGGTACAGCGGAACCTGTCCTCGCGATGATATTGGTACACCAAGCAACAACCGTAGTTCATAGATGGTCTGAAGGTGCTGTGATGGAGTGCCTGATAAAGCCATTCGAATATTGGGATCATTGGCTCCCCTTATCCATCGAATGAAGATCTCGTCGAATCCTTCGCTCGTGGATTCGGCAGCGCAAAGCACATCCTCCGGTGTAGTAAAGCCGCGAGCATAGGCGCGCCGGTCATCGTCGGTAGACTGAAATCTCCAGTATCCGCCTGCTAAATGTGACGTCTTTAACTGTCGTACGAAATGATCGAAACCACCGCTCGGAGTTGTCGCAATACCAATATACGCCGTTTCGTAAGGCATGGATATTGTCGTATCGGTATTGTCCTGTTGACGCGGCAGGAAATCGTCGCAATGATTAATGATAGTCTACCGTCGTGGTTGGAATAAAGTTGCTGGGGTTGGTGTGGGTGGAAAGCAGAAAGACGTTGTTGTCAAGGTAAACACTGAGACTGCGCCAGAGTTCAGAAGGCATACGCTGGAGAAGAATTTGGAAAGCGAAAGAGCGAGCGCGACTATTTCTAGTACAGATTGTGTTTTCATATATATAGTACTGCGTGACATGTATCATCGACAATGAGATTGAGTTTTTGCCGCGTGTTTACCGTTCATGCTGTGGTGCACGTGCGAGGCAGTTGCCTGGTGAGGGTGACCAGACATCACCACACAGCCATATGATTATGGATATTTGTAAGAGAGTTTGTACACGAAGCCTGTTGATACTAGAACGTAATTGAAGGAAGAATCCACCCGTTCTCTGTAATGCTCCATTGATTGGGACTGCCTTGAAAGCTGTCCAGAGTTCCGTTGCACAGGCATCGCTGAGGCCACGACGGAGCCAGCTATTTTACGACCTGGAGGTGATGGAACATAAACAGCGAGACTATAGTGATCCATCGCGCAGGCGCGTTAGATGGAGAACGAAAGCAAGAGGTGAGATGAGATGAAGAGACGATGTTCTTTATCAATGATGTGTGGTTATGACATCATGACGTCTACCTTATCGTTCTTTCCTCTCCAACTCCTTCTTGTGGATTCCTTTCATCTAGTCTCAAACCTTGGTTTTTCATGCGTCACACAATCGCGTGATGGCAAAAGATGCTCTGTTTCTTCATCAATCTGACTACAGCCACTGAGCGTCACACAAGCAACATTGATCGCGCATCATCTGTACCTTCACCTCGCGTCATCATCTGCCGACTGCCGCGCCCATCGATCAACGGTTACTTTGCAGCCAGATCTACAGTTTCCATCTGCCAAACCAATCCAGAATGATAGGTGTTGCTTCCGCCTCCTTACAAGTCAGCACGCCCTCATCATCGCCCGTGTCGCCGTTGGGGAATGAGCTGGGCCAATCATGACCTAAATTCTCGTACTTGTAATGCACGACCACATCATCCCAACTATAGCGCGTAACCATTTTTCCCTCGTCCTTCTCACACAGATAACTCGTCTTGTTTGCGCTGACATCAAATCCATCGCGCCTAGCCCAGTCATCAACCCAAGTCGTCACATCGGTCGAATTAGCGTTCCCGCGCGTGTTGATGCCACCTGCGTACGGAATTGTCTTATCCTCCAACCCGTGAAATTCCATAACCGGCACGCGCCGACTAGGCTCGCAGGGTGGGGGGTTTTGGTCTGCATCCAGGTAGAACGCACCAGACACGGGTGCAAATGCAGCGATACGTTTCGTGGCTTCTGCATCGCAAGCCAATACGCCGGTAAAACCTCCGCCGTTCGATTTTCCGGTCGCGTAAATACGGGATGAATCGATACAATAAGCGGACTGTAGGTGATCGAGAAGTTCAAGTGTGAACGTTACGTCGTTGATTGAGGCTGGGGAGTCGGGATCGCCCTGGTATTGCTGCGTGCCTTTCGCGTTCTGGGGATGTATTAGCTTGTCATCTCAACAATTTGCAGCTCGTCGGCCAGGTTTCGAAGAGATGATCCACATACAGGTACGCCTTCTGGGTATACGACGATCCCATCGAAACCGTAGCTTGCGTTCGAGAACTGGCTCAGGGCTTCCTGGTATTCTGCGTCTTTGCCACGGCCATGGAAGGATAGGATGAGTGGGACTTGGGTGTCGCTGTCGTATGCGGGCGGAACATGTAAGCGGTACCTGCGAGGCGAGACACCGCTCGTGCTATTCAATGTCAAGTCGACGGATTGATCGAGTTTGACACCTGATGGAAGTGGCTTTTGGCAGCCATTGTCAGAATTGAACTTTGAGTCAAGTGCAGCGGCTGCTGCGGACAGCGCCGCAAGAACAGATAAAGTTGCCTTCATTCTGGTGGCTCGATGCTTTAGGGCATTGCGCAGACTTCACTTCGCACATTTATACATTTTCGACGATGTTCAGGCGCGCCGCAACGTCACATGCGCAGGTAGTGGATAGTCCTTTCCTTACTTGGGTAAAGGGCCGTTGATCATGGCGTACGGCCCGCATCACTAGTCTGCAAGCTTCGTGTACAGTGCCGATCCGAAGTCTAGTCAGATCTCTGAAATAGCAAATTGCCTCGATATATCTCTTTTGACAATCTTCTTTAATTTGATGGTTTCCTTTGTCTCACACCATCAGCCGATATGCTATCTCGTCCACGACAGTACCTTGGATTTCAATCATGTGAGGCTCTTTCCTATATTGTTTCCCATGCCAAGTGCTGCGAACAATCTGCCATTCCGTCGCCGTCGTCATCGACAATACCTTCTAACCTCTCTGCCTACGTGGGCAATCACGGTTGGCCATAGCCCCATGAGACCAGAATGTTTCATAGGATGATTCTGGACCATATACAACATGACATTACTTACAAAGTGCAACTTCAGGCGTGCGACTTCATGAGTTGATAGCCACTCTTCATATCGTTACTACGCCTTTATCCTTTTAAACTCACCCCGGTGGCCGATTCCCGACATCCTTCCCCCATCATAAGCGAGGCCTTCAGTCCAGACCTCTTCAAGCTCTCCACCGTGTTTTGCGTACCCTATCGCCTGAAATAAGCTCCGCAGCTCTCCATCAGGATGCCAATCACCGACTACCCACTGGAGTCGACGACAGGACCTGGAATCTGTATGTCGTCCCGGCTCTGCGTATTTGATACCCCAGGCTAGAGACTCCGGACTATATAGCATCTTGTCGTCTTCGCCCTCTATTTTAGACCAGTAATCAATATCGTTGCCTATGAAACCTTTACCGGACCATTTTAAAGGGGACCATATAGCAGCTTCCTTGAGTGCCGGCATATTTATTGCTGCCTTGGCAAAGGATTCAAGAAGTGGGGTGAGATTAGCAGTAGGGGCGACGCGAAACTGCTTATTGAATGCCGTACGCGGATCAGGAGCGTCGAGGAAGTCGTAATCCATATCTTCATCGAGCTCTGTGGGTGCATAAGGAGGATAGGAGGCACTGGTCACCGGATATCCACGTGAAACATGGCCTTGCCCTGCCGGCCCTGAGAAGTACCAGGTTCCATCAGGGCGTGCGTTGTGAAACATGATGTCAAGTATTTCCAAGTGTGGCCAAGAGACATGTAACTCTGTCAAGCTTTCTGACGGTGCCAAAAGAAGAGACTCGTCGATCATCGCTCGTAGTTGCAGGTGGCGAAGATTGTTGCATAGCATACCAAGACTCGAAGTGAATGGATCGTATGTCAAGTGACCGACTAGATCAGGCAATGGTTTGCCATGATGTATATCAGTTGCACGAAGCAAAGGGCTCAGGAAATCAAGCGAGGCATGCCTTAGCGTTTTTGGTATCTTATCGAGACTGCGGATGATAGCATCTGCAAAGTCGTGTCGAGCATCTCGACGAGGTCCTGCCCAGTCGTGCTCATAGTGCTCGATGCATGTATTCATCTCTGGATCGAACGATTCGCACCATTCGTATCCTCCAGTTCGGAAGCTCAGATATTCAAGATTAGGCATTCTGATCGCTAGATCAATGAGAACGCGCAAGTCGAGCTTGAACTCTTGTTTACCAGATCTGTCCATATGGAGATAAGGAGCGAATGATTCGTTGCCGTAGTTATTGTAGATTTTGAACGACCGGATAGACGCGACTGGAGATAGCTCGGCTTCCAGTAGCCGAACACGCCAGCTAGTTCGATAGCGATGGGGACATGCGTTTTTGGCACGTACTGTTCTGATTGGACTGTAAAGTGACAGACGATATCTGCCTGGGGCATGCTTTTCACCGGCTTGCTTCTCGACTAGTTGAAGAATGTGGAAGAGGAACTGTATCTGTTGTGTAAAAGACTCATCCCTCTCATACACCTCATGAGCAGGCTCTCGACACAGGACTTGGTCGTCGTCGCTACTGTCATCTTCATTGTCGCGTGGACCACACAGCGTTGGGAAGGTTGGCCGGAATATCACTTCCTTCAGGTAGAGAAGCCGATGACTAGAGAAGCGCGCAAGGAAGTCGACCGAGTTGTTTTCGTTGATAGTGAATTTGGAAAAAGCTCCGCAGTGCCTCTCAGCAGCAAAGCGAAACTTACCAGTTAGGGTAAGGACATTGCACAAGTCTCGCCTGGGTAGATAGCTGGAGATTTTATCGATGAGTTCTTGTGGGAGTCCTTCCATCGAATCCTGGTTGTCTGTAAATGATGTGACGAAGATTTGTGATGATGTCTGGGGAAGATCTGTACACTCGATGACAGGTAACGACCAGGTTGTTGTGTGGGTTTCGCAAAATTATGTCAGACAGTCAGTAAACGTGTTGGAAGCGCACCCAGCAACTTTAAGACCTGAGCGGGTTTGCGGCGTAGTCACAACATTGATACTTTGTCATTATATCTGCGACTCAGGGACGCCCTGTGTGACAGATGAGGAGCACGCTAAGCCAGTATGAGACGATCCGAAGCACTTCGAGCGCTAAGGCAGGGTTGAGGAACAGCCGTGTTCCTTCTTCCACTCAGACGACGATCCCAGTCGTTCTGCAACACGTAACTGTCCAACGCCACATAGGTTTTCCGCGCATCACATTGCAGCATCTATGCATCGAAAGCAGCCGCTCTACCAGTTCTTTGGCTTTGGCCAATCTTTGACCTTGTCCCACTCGTCGCTTAGTTTTTTGATAAGAGCCAGGGTTTGTTCTTGGGTCTTCTTCAGTCCTTTCTTCTTGTCCTTCGTCGCCTGATCATCGTTCGAATCGGCCTTGAACTCATCCTTCTTCTTGTCAGAGTTCCATTCATCTTTCAACACACCAATATTGAGCTTCATGTAATCTGTAGCCCTTTGCTTTGCCACGGAAAATACATTGTCCATGTAGGCATTCCATTTTTCTTCGAGTTTTTGTTCCTGCCACGGGGGTCCCTCCACGTCATCCTTATACACTGGGGGTGTCTTGTGCAGCTCTCGGTCGATATGCCCAATAATCGCGCCCATTCTGTTCTTCTGGTCTGCAAATATCTTTGCGACCTTTTCATCTTGCATGTATCTGAGAGCTCCAATCGTCTCCCGCAACCGCTGGATCGCTATGCGGGTTTGGTCTGCAGGATCCAGGCTTAGGTTTTTGAAACGTTTTTCCTTTGTTCGCCCTTCTATCAGATCCTTCATCTTCTTCTTGTCGCGAATCTGTGAATAATGCCCGTCTTTGGTTTTCTCCTGGTTGAATAACTGTTGCGCGATACTTATTAACATGATTCACTCTGCTTAGGTAGTGTAAGGCGCCGAACGTACTCTTCCCTTAACTAGTTCGTTGATGTTCTTCTCCAACAATGTCATTTCATCTAGCCACATTTCCTCTCGGCCAGTCCTGTATGGATATTGACTTGCGAGCCAATCACTCGGTTTACGTTTCCTTGTCTGTGGGTCAGGGGTCGCCACTGGATCGGAAGTCGCTGCCGCACCAGGAGTAGACTTCGAATCTGGAGTGGCAGCAGGATTCGGAGTGGCAGCAGGTTCTGGGGTAGCAGCAGGATCTGGAGTGGCAACAGGACTAGAAGAGGGTCCCTCCATGAGTGGCTGTTTCTTCGCCATCCAAGACTCTCTCCAGTATTGACAAAAGCTTAGCTTAGCAGTATTGCCTGGCTGGGGATGACTAAACTTGGTCGTGATCAATTGATCCATCTCATCAAAGAAGCGCCAAACAATTTGCCATTCCAGAACATGCTCGGTCTCACACTTGACACTTTCATCGTCGTCTGGACTGTCGGAACTATAGTCATCGCATGATTTTCGTTTGTTGAAGCCATATCTCGTTGGTGGGTGATCCCCCCATTCCGAAGTGCTCGGATAGTCGAAACTGGCCAAAAGCATTCCGTCGCAAGGGTATCCCTTCTTTGGCTCACGCTTCTCCAGCCTATGATATCTTAGATCAATTGGATAACTTCGCCTAAGAGCCTCTGGCTCCACGATCTCCTCGTCCTTGTCCAGCGTAGCGAGGTCTTGACAGGACAGGGAAGGTGTTGCTGTCGAAGACATCGATGAAGAAGAAGAGATGATTGATGACATAGCCGCGGTAGACAGCAGGGAACCAGATGAAGTCTTCGACAGAATTGTAGTGACCTGTGGGGGAACTGTACTGCCAATGGTCAGAGCAGGTTGGATGATGGTTCTGGAAGCATCGCCGCCTTCGTTTCCGCTTCCATTCGTACATTTTGGGCCTTTGCAGCCCTTACAACCTCTTTTGGGACATGGTAGGTCTTCATAGTTCATTCCCCCTGGTACAAGCTCGTCCGGTGCATCGACCAGGGGAGTGAAAGCCTTCTTTATCAGATTGTCCTTGGTAGGTATCAGTGGTCCACATCCTGCCTGCTCTGCAAAGTTTGCGCCACTAAGGAAAAAGTCGGCCCATTCTTGAGCAGCGTCTTGTGCTTCGTGTGCGTACTTGTATGCTTTTGCCGATCGAACAGCCGCAACTGTGTCTTTCCTTCAGTATCAGACATACAGCAAAAAGGACCTTGAATGCTTACCCATTCCACCGGTGATAGCGCGGTCCGGAGGGGGGATTGCTGCCATGCCAATAGCTACGACAACATCGAGAGCTTTCAAAGCTGGACATATGACTTTCTCCAAGATCTTGTCCGCCTCAATAAGTCCCTCAATGAAGAATTCACCCGCGAATTCTAGGATGGGAAGGTCACAGGAGCAATAACCTTTCTTGATCATCAGACCTGATTTGAACATTAGTTTCTCGAATTCAGTCTGTAAGTTTGGCAAATCCAGAACACAGCATACCGTTGAATGCCTCGTCGGCGCCACACAGAAGAGGTGTCATGTTGCTTGTATCGTACCAAGGATTGTCGCCAAAGATACAACTTTGAGATGATACGACAGCTTGGCCTTCGCTTGCACTTTGGCTCGGAATGCAGACGTCTTTGCACTGTTCTTTCATATCCTGCTCGGTTCCGTCGGAATACTTGATGCATAGATTGTCGACTAGATATTCGTTCAACTTTGACATTATATTTGGATCGTTGGTTTGTTCCAAGCCGTATGGGTTGCCATCCTCGTAGGCTTGGGGATCGCAAGTTTCAGCAAGTCCGAGAATAGCTCGTATAGCTAGCAGCGCAAGAAGACAACGCATTTTGGGAATTTCAACCTCAGATTTATCAAGGTATGAAGCGAAGTTGAGAGATGAACTGCGCATGTCCTGTTACGACACAATCCAGCTAAATATTTGCTTCAAGTCTTCATCAATCGTAACTACGGAAATCACGCCCCCAGTCACGACTCAACTCAAGACGCAGTTCGAAACAACCACACCGCAGCGCCTAACCATCAACGGTATCGACATGCTACTTCACTTGGGCCAAACAGCCTTTGCCTCTGAGGCTCAGTCAAACACTGCCGCACTGAGCTCAGTACGTTGTGCCACTACAAAGAGCATGATACCCAACACAAACCTCTGTGTGTATCGAATCATGAAGAGGCCTCAGGATGCGAGTCTAAACGAACATCCTAGCATGACTTACCTCTGCTGTGTCATTCGACGAGGCCGAGCAGATCCTGCATCCATGCCACAGTCAGGATCACCTTCATGATGACTGCGTGGTCAAATGCGGAAGAACATCAGCCAAGCAAGAGAAACAAAAATATTGCTGTCACCATTCAGAGGTTCTTAGTTACATATGAGCAAAACTGCAGCTCTGCAACGATATCACATTGCAAGATTCAGGGTGTAAGAATAAGAACAGAAATCGATTCATTTGTAAAGGGTTTGTGACAAGCCCCGAACGAGCGCTGCTATGTGTTATCTCGGGCTCGAAAAGACTCTACATAGGTACAGGAACGCGCGTGGCCAAGGTCTTGCATATCCGGTGGCGAGGTAATCCAGCCCCAGTATCTGTGAGGGTTGGAGGCCAAAACTTCGCGAAGTTCTTCTGAAACAACCGCAAACGCGACCTTACTTTTGACTTTCAAGGTCTTCATATTGCGGCGTTGTCGCGGCTCAACGATGGCGAGTACTATGCTCGCTTGCTGCCAGCTACGCCCCAGAACGATGCAGGTTCGCACCACATGGGTGTCAGCGAACATCTCAACGAGCCTAATGCTTACATTGTAAAACATCTAGATACAAAGAAAAGATTGTCGTCGCCGCCGTCCTCGTTGATGAGCGAGTATGGTCGTATCATTGAGGGCGGAGAAAATCCCATGCCGCATGGAAACTTAGTCTGGAGACTTCGGCTGTGGTATGAAGTCTTGGAATAGAGAGAAAATAGAAAGCATGTTCTAAGATGATATGCGAAATGTAACTCATAAATAACGGATCTCTCAATACATGCCTATACTTTTGCTTTATAGCGACGACCAAGACATGCGACCCAATTCATCCAGTATCTGCCCTGCTTATACCATACTTCGATACAACCTTTGTCATGTTTTCTGTGCTCTTATCAAGGGTAGTTTAGGTTGCGTTCGTGTCGGTATCAATAGTACGAAGATACCATGCATCTCAGTTTCCAGTACGCAAATCGACATAGACTGCAGCTTAAAGGTTTCGGAAAAATCATACGTCAACACAGAATAAGATAGGCTACGCTGGATGTCATCAAATTTGGATGCTCTGTGATCAAGATTTCTGGAGATACAACCGGTGCCTGATTTTGAGCCTGTGATCGCCAGCCTAAAACAGCGAAGTAGGCACGCGGCCCGGATCATCATACCCATCATCGTAGATCCAATGACCATGATTATGACTCCAGAAAGTATTAATGAACATCCAGCGAGAGAAATCGTAGCCATACGAGTACTTCTGTTCCCAATGCTCGACCAAATCTTCACCATGCTTCTCGCATCCAATTTGCTGGAAAAGGCTGTGCAGCTGCGCATCAGGATGCCAATCACCCACCATCCAAGTCAAAGCACGTGTCGCTGTATAGCCTTGCTCTCTTTGGCTTGTCGGATCATGCTTTGCCATGTTAAGACCAACATCTTCGTCGGAATATTGTATACCCCATGTGAGATTTTTTCTTTGGATCCCGTCATCATATCCCTCGGTCGGATTCCACAACAACGGCGACCGGATAATGGCTCTCTTTAAGGAAGGCATCTGTACTGCGGCCTTGGCGAAACCTTCCAGCAGCGGTCTGATCCGTTGTTCATCTGGTGTGATGCGGAATTCATTGCTATGACCATTGAGTAAATCTGGAAGAATAAACCCATGGTATACTCGCCCCTCCATCTCAGCGTCGAGATCATTCGCTTCGAGAGGCGGGTAAGAGGCAGCAGTAATTGCGTAACCCACAGCGTCGCGACCCTGACCTCTAGGTCCATGAAAGTACCACGATCCGTCAGGCCGTGATGGATGGAACATGACCTCTAGAATTTCCAGGTTAGGCCATGCCGGCTGTGAAGAATCGTCAATGTGAAATAGGCTTTCATCGATGATGGCTCGTATGCGGAGCTGCCGAACATTGTTGGTTAAGAGACGAAGAATGGAGCTGAATGGGTCGTACAGCGCTGGTCTGACTAGGTCAGGTAGCATCCTGCCCTGTACAGTATGCAGTGTGCGATATAGTGGGCGGATGAAGTCTAGATTCGCCTGTCGGAGTGAAGCTGGGAGCTGAGCTCCATGCCTGGTAACGGCGCTTGCAAAATCATGCCTTGCGTCACGACGTGGGCCGTCCCAATCGTGTTGAAAATGATGATTGGGTTCTTCGTCGCCATCCTGATGGCAAAGAGGCGGGTGCCATTCGAAACTTCCGGTCTTGCAGCCCAAGTACTCAAGGTTTGGGAGTCTCGATGCTAGTTTGACCATGACACCCAGATCCAGTTTCAACTCATGTCCCTCCCAGCTGCTATAGTCTGGTGGGTAATCATGAGAGTCATGACAGATGTCCGTATCTTCCTTGCATACATTGTAGATCTCTAGAGAACGAACGGAATACACCAGAGGCATTTCGGTATTGAGTAGTCGAACTCGCCAGCTGCTATACAGGCGATGCGGACACGTGATGCTGTTGTCGTGGAGCAGTCTCGTAGGGCCGTGCACCAGGAGTCGATATCGGCCTGGGGCATGGTGTCCAGCATTTTCCTCGACGGTCCTAAGGGTTTTATAGATAATCTGCACCTGACATGTAAAGTGTTCATTCTTCTCTCGTATCTCATCCGCACTTTCGCGACATTCGATTTCCTCATCCTCCTCGCCGGCTGGGGGAGTCCAGACTAGTGGAGGGAAATTGGGTCGAAAGATCACTTCCCGTAGATATAGCAGACGGTACCCTGAGAAAATCTTAACAAAACTGTCGGCGTTGCGCTTGTTTAGGGTAAATTCCGTAAATGCGCCAGAGTATCTCTCTGCGCTGTAGCGAAACTTCGTTGTGAGAGTGAGAAGGTTCTTGAGATCCTTCGTGGGTACATAACTAGTAATCTTCTCGACGAGCTCCTGCGGCAGTTGATCCATAACTCGCTGGTTAGCCTAATGGATCGACCGGTATTGATGTGCTTGGCGCTTTCTAGAAGGTACAGATTTGACGAGAGATCAACGGTGGTTGTGTGTCCAATGTGTGTCCAACGTGTGTCCAATGCGTGTCTGATTCGTTGAGCGATGATCTGTGTAGATGAAAAGAGTGCTAGAATTGTAGCGAGGGCTGACTCGACTTTTGTTGATCTGGGCGGCGTTGCGGCGTGGACCTTGGAATCTATTAATGTGTACTAGCCCTATGAATGGAAACAACATCACTCGGAACGTTCCGACGCGTTCCGAGCCTTGACAGATAGGGAGAAAGACAACCTTGAAGGTACTAGATACCTTCTTCCCAGTCACCACGCGTTGTGACAACCGAGTGCTGATATCGCGCTGGCACAGCTTACTAAGATCTTTTGAGGACTACAAGCCGCCAGTTCTATCCCTCCAGTTCTCCAGTGAGTCCCCGCTGAAAGTCATCTCGAGCATCGCGATGCCAAACTCATCAACATCAGCTGGTTTCGCATAGTGAAAAAGCCTTGCACACTCGAAGCGCTGTAGGAAGGCCACATTCTTCTCCAAACACTGTCTTTCCCACTCCCCAGCGCTCGTAGCATCCCAAAGACCACTTCGATTGGTGTACATGATGCCACCAGGACAGGTTCCCCAGCGCTGCTGGAGGACCGAGAAGACGGGCGATAGACTGACGGCCACGAGCCAGGTGCGACGGATACTTTCTGACAGTATCCACAAGTACCACTGTTGCTGTAGGTAAGTAGACAGCTTGGGTAGGCAGTTGGCGAGATGAGCGATACTGTCTTGTTCGCTCGACAATGCGGTTCTGGCAGTGGAGAAGAGTTTTCCAGCCCAGCTATCCTGTATCGCCATATGCCCTTCAGCGACATGACGGGCGCGGACGTCACCATCGAAGAGACCGATCATCTGGTAGACTAAAAGGGCATGAAGACGTGCCAATTGCCCCCATAGATCATCATCACGACCTGCAACATCGACCCACTTCCCTGCAGTAGTTTGATCCAAAACGGTCCCATTCTCCCGTAACAAGTCGTTCGATCGATCTTCCACTATGCGGAGGACAATTTCTGCATTCGCAGGTGTCCGATACACATAACTAGCTAGGGTTGCATACGCGACTTGTACGCATGCTGGGAAGTTCACACCGTACAAGCAGGAGTGTACAAAGGGATTGCTACCAGTCGTGACCCAGCTTTTGAACCAAGACTGCAGTACCGTCACGTACTTCTTCATTGCTGCTGTGCCGATAGGTACATCGTCTGAATTTGTCGATCTGCGGGATATCGTCCACGTCTCCGGTGCAAGAAACCAATCGGTCTTCATTGCGCTGGGGATTCGGATCTGAGACTCCGGTGCGTCGATGTTACTGCCAAGGGACGGTAATCCCACGTCCCACAAGAGATTGTCGATGGTGTAGAGGCTCGCATTGACATGCGATGTACTGACTGGGCTTTCGGCGAACGACGTATCCTCTCCTCTCAGCACTGGCACATCGGATAACAAGTGTCGATATGAAGAAACTGTCTGCTTCTTTGATGGCGGATAGATGCACGGCTTGCGCTTGTCCGCGCATCGAGCGCAAGCTGGGATCTGGCGACCGCATTTCCGCTTTGCTCTTGCGCAGGCAGTGCAAGCGTTTGACTCGGATCGCAACGACATTACCAAGGTATGGCTACCCAGTATCTTTCTTGCAGGTTAATCAGATCTATTCTGTCTTGTGCGGAAGTCGAGGTAGAGTAAGCGCACATTTGTCATCCGCTGAGTGCATGCTCATTGGACAGACGGCCGCAAGGCGGGAGACTAGTCCGCAATGCGGCATCCTGTAAAACAAGGTTACCAATCCTCAATGACGCATATCGCATTAATTCTGAAGGATCAACTTACGGAAAGGGTGTGTATGTAACTGTAGTCAGCTTCAAGCCGCCTCATATTCGCCGAGAACCGCTCTTTGTGAGCCGCCAAGATGTCTGCTGCTTCGCGACAAAGACACCACGCAAAGCCGAAGTTCTTTGCGCTGTCATATCAGCGACGCAGGATGCATTACATACCTTCTACGCGGCAACATGAACCCGCAACGATCAGAGTCTTACCTGCCTGTATTGCGGAGGACAAGTATTTGTGCGCGGGATAGCTCCAAGAAGTCCGCAAACGTGCAGTGTAGCGGATGAATCTTTGTGTTTATAAAGATGACAAGGTGAACACAATGTCCGCACCACATCTCAACCTCTTTGATCCACAACATATTCCAGACACCTCAATCGCAATATGACAGTCTACGTAGTCACCGGTGTGTCCAAGGGTATTGGAGTAAGTATACCCTGTATGGTGATATACTTGCATTTTGCTAAGCTTGGTCCAGTTTGAACTCCTCAAGCAAATCTCACAAGACCCGGAGAATCTCGTTGTCGGTCTGGTTCGCGACCAGGCGTCTACCAAGAAGAAAGTGATTGCAGAAATAGGCGAACGTCCAAACATCCATATCCTCAGTGGAGACCTCACCAGTCACGCTAGCCTACAGCAAGCCGCTGCAGAGACCACCGAGATCGTCGGTGAACGCGGTGTCGATTATCTCATTGGCAACGGAGCATTTCCGTCTCTCTTTGATGCCTTCGACCCCATCGGCGCGTTGTAAGCTTACATCTGTTTCCATCTCATTAGTTTGCCCATGCCTAACATTAATCATTCTATAGGGGCGACAAAGTCGAGGAACTAGAACAAGTCTCCTCGAAGCTGTTCATGACCAACGTGGTCGGCAACATCCATCTCTTCAATCTCTTCCTGCCTCTTGTCATGAGAGGTAAGGTGAAGAAGGTCATCGCCATGTCCAGCGGCCATGCAGATCTCGACTTCATCAACAATCTTGAGGTCGAGAACAGTTCCTTGTACGCCGCATCCAAGGCGGCTCTGAATGCAATTGTCGCAAAGTTCAACGCGCAGTATAAGAAAGACGGCGTTCTTTTCATGAGTATGAGTCCAGGTGTGGTAGAAGTGGGCCATTTTGACAATCGCAAGTAGACCAGTGACTCTAGATGAGTACTCATGCTGACATCGATTTGCAGTCACCCCCGACCAGATGCAAGGTCTGATGAACTTCATGGGCAAGATTTCGACCTACGCACCTGATTTCAAAGGCGCAACACCTGTTGAGGATGCTATTCCGATTATCAGGTCGACATGGGAGAAGGCCAGCATTGAGGATGGGTATGGTGGTGCATTTGTCTCCCACCACGGAACCAAGCAGTGGCTTTAGACCAGGATACATGTATATCATGAATGCGAGCAGGACCTGTTTACCTTCCTGCTGAGCGTAGATAGTAGTCAAGAGGGTTGATCATAATCGCTGGATATTCGGAGCAAATATACTTTGGCCTAGCTGAGGGTTACGTGCTTTTTCGTCATTACAGGCCGTTGACACCCCGCGACGTCCAAAGCACGTTGAAGAACGCTGACGCATCTTTTCTCGAAGCTTAGATATCGAGGCATCGAATGTACAGAACAGGAAGACATACTTTCCTTGAGACATGATTCGATGACAGTCCTGCTGGTAATGCTGGTGTTGTGATCAGAGTTACGACGGTAGTCATTCCTGGAAAGCCATGGACACCATGCCAAGCCGCGCTAACGCCATCGGGATGCCATTCACACGGTACCATGGAACGCAATCCACGATATATGCAAACACGTAGGGTTGCAGCAGATTTTCGCAGCTCTGCTCGCGGTCAGTGAATGCGAACATGCAGCGTGGCCTGTAGATAGACCGTGATGAACGTAAGACGATCGCGCAGGTCCCACCTATTTCCGGCGATCGCCCATTTGATTGGTCCATTTCGCTTGCAACTTCCTTGCCTCTCAACCCGCCCAAACGCATCCGCTTGTTCACGCTCGACATCGCCGCTCACCGAAACCTTTTCCATCGCCAAACAGCACCCCACGACCTCTTTTCATCACTTTCGACGCGATAAATCGCATGCCGAGGCCAGTGCGACACTTTTGACACCCATATCAGCAGTATTGAGGCGCGTTGGTGGTCGGATTAGCGCTTCTGGGAGCGTGACTCCTCTTCGCTGGGCCGCCCCCAGGCGCCAGATTTGCACCACGCCCCATACGCAGCCCAAACGACCCAAACATTTGTCACGTGCGCTTCACTGCGACAACAAACAATGACGGCTCGCGCAACCGGGCAGCGCTTCAGGCAGCGCAAGCTTTCGACCAAACAGAATTTACCTGTCGTTCGCGAGAGTGAGGTTGAGCAGCTTGCTGATGACGATGCGTCGCGCCATATTCCCAAGGTTGAGACCGGTGTTGAGAAGGGCGAGGAGATTGTAAGTCGCGCTAGTCCGCTTTTGGCTTTCACTTCCCCTGCCCTGCACAATACACATACTTACATCATCTCTAGGAACACCATCTACAGGCCGTCATCTCCGCCGCCCAGGCAGCTGCGCAAGGCGCGACTGGTGGGAAGATTGCACAACTCTACATTCCGACTCCGGATGCTGTCGCCAGCACACTGCAATATGAAGATGTCTATCCAAAACGGTTTACACAACCTGCCACTTACATACGGTTCTCGTCAACCGTGGAGGATACGTCCGGCTGCCCGTATTGCATGAACAGTGATGATCTTGCCTTTCTCAAGTCTTACAACCAGAAAAAGGGCAAGAACAACAATTGCTCAGAAGACGAGTTCGAAGAGGTTATGAACTTTTTTGAAGAAACCACAGCAATCAAGCAGCCGTATGCCGCGGTCGACAACTCGTCTGCTCTTGCCTTTGAAGAACTTGAAGCCGAGTTCGATGAGACAATCAGCGAGTCGGCACGGCGGTTCGCCAAAGACATTTACCCACATTGGAAGAATCAACGATTACTAAAGGGCAACCGCCCGCTGATGCCCTCACTGAAATTCGAGACGAATCTCGAGACCGATGATGCTGACCCGTATGTTTGCTTCCGACGCCGTGAAGTCCGACAGGTCCGCAAGACGCGTGGTCGCGACGCGCAAGTAACGGAGAAGCTCAAGAAGCTGAGGAAGGAACTGGAGGAGGCTCGTTTGCTGATGTCGCAAGTCAAGCGACGAGAGGCAGTCATCAGAGAACAGCTTGCCACAGACAAGCTGATCTTCGAACAACGCCATGCCGTCAAGGAGCTCAAGCGCAGACTCAGCATCAAGGGTGATGATGACGAACTACTCATCACTCAGAAGGTATGTCGCAATGAACTCACCAGAGGTTTTGTCAAGATGACTAACTCGTCCCAGCCTGCTCCTAAACCAAAGAGAACTGCCGATGTTGAAAGACAACGTCAGACTCTACCAGGCATGAAGCCTACCAACACACGTCCAGACGGGCGTCTTGTTGATGGTGATATAGTGTACCTCGAAGAGCAGCAAGCCAAGCGCACAGAGGCGATCGATAGCTTCATCGAAGACAACCTGGTTAAGCACCAAAAGTGGAATGTGGGCTGGGTCGACGCAACATGGCGACCCATCACGCCACCTTTGGAGCCGCCGGCTGCGAAGTCGGACTTCCGTACAGTATTTACGGAGAGTCAGCTTCCCACGCCTCCTGCGTCCGTGTCTGATGGTGAAGGTGCTGATGCAACAGCAGTGGTGCCGTCGAGTAAGCAGACAGATCCACGGAGAAGTGCGCGCATACGTTTTGCCACTCCTCCAGATGACGTTCCGTTCCATGATCAATCTCGCTTCCGTCGTAGAATTGGTCGAGGCGGGCGTATGATGATCGATCGCCGAGGCGTGAAGCGTCAAAAGACCGAGAGGGTAGACGACCGCTTGGCCGATCGATGGCGCTTCTCTGGCGACAGCAGTGAAGATGAGGAGACATATCCCGTCGACTGGACAGACAATCTGCACATCAGATATCGCATCATGATTGAGCGCCAGGGCGAGAAGGCTGCGGTTCAACAACCTCCACCAAATCCGAATCGCCGGTCCATTGAAAACCACAATCGATCTGCATCCGGCCATCTTCTTCCTCCTACACCCACAACTGCCGCAGCTGGAGGTTCTTCTGGGAGGTAAATTCCCGCAGTTTACAATCTCTTCTTCTTTTAGCGCTTTACTTATCGACAAGTTATACCCTTTGTTTTCTATTGGCTCGGTGGGCTGGCTCCAAAGATCTACCAAAGTTATGTACAGTAGCCTTTTAAATTCAGGGAGGAGGAGGCAATGCTGGATGGTTGGTGTGTGGGTGGAGTGAGGTGCGAAGGTTACCTGGACACAACAAGTCAGCAAGTCGATACTTGGATATACATATTTAGACGCCTGGTGAAGTGCCGCAAGGACTTTGGCTGGCGACAAAAAAAATAAGAAACTTACGCATAATTGTCTTCCGACCTCTTTTCTCGCTCTTATGTTTCACATTTTCGGGTGGAGGCCAGATCCTGGTGACCGTTCTGTCAAACCACCATCGGTGATGCGGTTCACGACAGGGTTTGATGCATGCAGTGATCATCATCACACTCTGTGCTTCTTCCCCATACCGCCCATCTCCACATCTCCTTCTTCGTCAACAACCCTCTGCCTCTTCGCCATCGCTGCACCACCATCTCTTGCAATCTTCTCTGCCAACGCATCTTTCGTGTTCGCCAAGAGCTGTTTCTCACCGATACGCACCGCTTTTGCCACTGCAAATCTTCGCTGCTTAGGCGACGCCGTCCCGGCAAACGGAACCTCGCCAAATGTCTGCAAGTCCTGTTCCAGCGTTGTAGCGTACTGCGCGATGCGAGCCTGGATGATTTGTAGTAGTAACTCCGCTCCTTGGCTGGTGATCTTCTCTGGTTTAGGCAGTCTGCTTTTGCTAGCAAGGCGCTCGAACTCTTCGGCTGGGAGAAGCATACTTTCGACCAAAACGACAAGTTCGGGAGAGAGACTTTCTTGGAGCGTAAAGGGCGTGCTGGCGGCGATGTCGTATCCTGTATCGATGACCTCTTGTTCGTCTAGGTATTCTAACCTATCTGCGTGCCAGACACCCTCCTTGGTTAAAATATCAGTGACGAGCTCGGCGGGAATCTCAACAACGTCGTATTGTGCATAGTTGTCGGTAACGTAGCCGTATCTCCTTAGTAAATCGCTTCGGGGCAGCGAACCATAATCGTTGAAAATCTCGTCGCCTGCAGTAATTGGGCTGAGCGCCTTCATCTCTAGGCAGTCTTTCTCGTAGAAAAGGCGCGCATTGCACCTATCGGCATCGGCATTAAGCATGTCAGCTAGCGGAACCATGCCTTTAGGTAGTGCAGCGTCTTCTTCCTCCTCAGCAAAACCCTCATCGTCCACTTCCTTGCTTGGTGTCGCTGGCTCGACATCGAATGCGTAAGCCATGATCAGACTACCCATTTTGTGCATCAATTCCAGGTTCTGCGGGCTGCGCATCTCCTTCGCTTTGTCCTTGGCTCTCTCATCCCCACTAAATATTATCTCCGCAAACTCTTCTATCACGGGGAGTAATTGCTCCGTAAAGACTTCATCTGCGCCTTCCTTTCCGATTTTGTTCACCACGGCGCTAGCTTGGAGCTCGGCGAGCTCGTCGTCGGACCAGAACATCAGGGTGTTGAAGTCGGTGGGTAGGACAGCAAAGTAAGGCGCCCAGTTCGAGGCGCTGTCGTTGTGATACTCATAGAGCATGACGAGGATGAGGGATAGCCAGGGGCCGAGAAGCGCAAAAGTTGAAGCGGGGATTTCAGTACCCAGGATACTGTTTTCGACACTGAGGATGGAGGCGCGGGGTATGCGGAAGAGGAGTTCATGTTCGGCGATATTTTGGGTTGCAACTGTTCGAATTAGCTTCAAGGTTTATCACATGTCGCAAAAGTTTGTAGCGACGTAGAGTGAGTCTGTGGTGTCGGGGTGTAGTACTGGAGTGGAGTAGCTACTTACCAACGCCTCGTCCTGCATCCTTGTTTCTTAGATCCTCCAATTTGATCTTTGGACTGATTTCGGCTCCAGATTGCTTAAGCCATGTCAGAAAGTTCTGACTGGCGCCGTCGAAGTCTGCCATGCGCAGAGATTCTGGTGCGATGTGGGATGTTTTGAAGAGTTGGAGGATTGGATATTTGGTGGATATTATTTAGCGGCTCCAACGGGGAACCGAGGCTGCTTGGTCCGAGCGGAGTACGAATTGCTGTGGCTGGGATACGCAAGTTTTGCGACGCTCCGCAATGATTGTGTTTTAAAGACTTTATGGAGCAAGCGAAATTCGAAAGACGTAGATTTGTTGAAGTGATTGTGAAGATGAGTGCAGTAATGAGGGACTTTGTTGCGGTAATGATCAGACCCTGCAGCACATGACTAACGGCGGTGACGTCTGCTCGTGGACTTTTTAAATGTCGGTTTGCTCGCGGCATGCGCACTGCATGCGCACGAATATATGTGGCATAATGGATGCGGTCAAAGAAGCCATCGCGTGGATTCCCGAATGTATAATACAGACTGGTCTTATATCCCCTGTGCTAGATCTTTGCGCCTTTGCGAGCTGACCGCCTTGTTCGCTGTATCTTGCCCAATGATCAAACAACACCTGCGATTATGAAGTATCGTGTCGTCAATGCTCTAAATCTATAAGGGACGAGGTAATTCGAAAAATGCGGCTTGCTTGACAGAGCAACTAGTCATTGTTGCTTGCCGAGCGGTGGCTTCAGCCCTACCATGCATGTCATCCCTTATCGATAGCTTTTTCCAACGACACCCCGCCTCGACGCGTCAAAGACCAACATCAAACCGCGACTGCCGCCACGATGATCGCCATAGGATTAGAAGGAAGCGCCAACAAGATAGGCGTGGGCGTCATCTCTCATCCAGGTCCAAACAAACCTCCCATCATCCTTGCGAACCTGCGACACACATATGTTTCCCCGCCCGGCGAAGGCTTCCTGCCCAAAGATACAGCAATACATCACCGAGCATGGGTTGTGAGGCTAATCAAACAAGCTGTGCGACAAGCAGGAGTCAAAATTGAGGATATTGATTGTATATGCTACACCAAAGGCCCAGGAATGGGTGCACCGCTACAAAGCGTTGCGCTTGCAGCTAGGACAATCAGTCTACTATGGGGGAAGCCCATGGTGGGCGTGAACCACTGCGTCGGCCGTCAGTCATTGCGATTCCACGGTCAAAACTATTGGCTAATGTATGCTAGATATCGAGATGGGTCGCTCGATAACGCGCGCCGATAACCCCGTCGTCCTTTACGTATCTGGCGGCAACACCCAAGTCATCGCCTACTCTGCCCAACGGTATCGTATCTTCGGTGAGACCTTAGATATCGCCATAGGAAACTGCATCGATCGATTCGCTCGCACACTGATGATCCCCAACGACCCATTTCCTGGATACAATGTTGAACAATTAGCCAAGAAGGGGAAAAACCTGGTCGATTTACCATATGGAGTCAAAGGCATGGATGCGAGTTTCTCGGGTATTTTGGCTGCAGCGGACTTGCTGGCGCGTGGGTTAGACGAGTCATTACCGGACGCGAAGCGACTGAAGACGGAGGACGGAGAGCTGGTTACACGTGCAGACATGTGCTTCTCTCTCCAGGAGACTATTTTCGCCATGCTGGTCGAGATAACAGAGCGCGCTATGGCACATGTCGGGTCGCAGCAAGTGTTGGTCGTGGGTGGTGTGGGCTCGAATATGCGGCTACAACAGATGATGGGCATGATGGCAAGAGACAGAGGTGGAAACGTTTTTGCGACAGATGAGATGTTTTGTATCGACAACGGCATTATGATTGCACATGCGGGGTTGCTGGAATACAGTACTGGAGTGAAGACGGAGTTGACAGATACGACATGTACGCAGCGCTTCAGGACCGACGAGGTGTATGTTGGGTGGAGGACCGACTGAGGTACGCTTTTTTCTTAATACGATACCCCGTTCGACCCCATGATCTCGATTTCGTTGTGTACGCGGAAACCAGTGGACTGCATGTTCGGAATAGGATTCCAGCGCGGCCCATTGCGATATGCGCTGTGCCCGTGGCGTCATACCCTTTTCGTGAGAGGCATATCTACGGTTGAAGAACAGGAAGACTAGGCCAAGACGCATCCTTTTCGCCAAGGTGCATATGTATACTCACGGTGCGAAGATGGCTGAACCTCCAGTAACCTTAGGCACAAGAAAGCCAGTACCGCAGCGCTTAGAACGAACTGTCCACTACGGACTGTGGCTGCAACGTAAGGCGTGATACCAAGAAGATCTCCAACGATGGCTCATGCTCGGCACCAACTTGAAAATCAAACCAACGAAAGCTTCTGGTCATTGCTTTCAACCTGTCCGGCATTTTGAATAGATAGCTCCAGGTAGCTGGCGTGAGACAGATCTGAGACCGTGCAAAACAAGCTTTCGGAACTAGGTCATAGAAAAAAGTATCGATAATGTGTCGAGACTTAGTGATATGCGTAATTTATCCTACTATGTAAGTGCTAGTAGATACAAATGACAAGCGATTTAACCTTTTTGCTCGCACGCAAGAAGATAATGAACAGCACGTCACAGAAGACCTGTTGAAGAAATGACTACCCTTCTTAGATCTGAATGATCAAGCATTTCACAACATTAGCTCCAAAGCCGACTTGGGGTATCGATGCCGCTCACAGCTCAATTGCAACGACCTTCCCTCCCTCAACGATCGACCCATTCACCGGCGCAGAGATTTCTCCATTGGTAGTAACGTAAAGGACACTGCGAGCGCTCTCTGTTCTCCCAAATGCAGCTGATTTCGCGCCCGCTACATGTGTAGAATTGAGGTTGCCGGCAAAAACTGCCTGACTACCATCCAATTGAACACGCGTAACAACATTCTCAGTCATCTCAGCGACATATACCGTACCATCCTGATCGACAGCAAAACCATCCCCCAAAACGCCTTGAGCTATGACTTCGTACGGCCCTCCGGCTTGCCCAGTGGCTCAATCCATGCGTACACGGCATGTAAGCTGAAGGAGACTGTTGTTGTAGTACACGTAATCCTTCCAGACGCGCACGCCATTGATACCGATCAGGCGGTTCAAAGTCTCCCTTGGTGCCATCGTGCCATCCTGTAAAGCAGTCTCGTAGGTCAAGCTCTTTGTATCTACGCGCCAAATTAGACCGAGTTCCGAGTCAGCGATGAGAACCATTCCGGCATTTGTATCCAGAGTGGTCACGCCGTTGAGGAGACGTGAGGGTGCTATATTCATGACTTCGGAGACGCGATTGCAAATGTCCTCGTCCACGTCAACGCGCCAGATGGTATTGCTGGCAATACCATGAAGACGTCTGGTTCAACCCATGTTCCGACAGCCAATCGAGCCACGTTGATAGGTTAGTGTGAGACTGTTTGGGATATGGACCTGGGCGCGGAACAACGAGCAGCGTATCTCTAGACCAGTTTTTGGATGATCTGTCAATATGTTGCTTAGCCCAGACGGCTTTGCTGGTTGAGAAACGTTTAGCAAGATGCGCTATCTAGACACTGAGCGTGACATGATTCTTGAGCAGAGTTCCTTTATTGAAGGTATCCCTAAGCATCATGGCACTTCGGGTGTAGTTTCAAAGGCTGTGATGGAAAACTGCCGTCGTCCATTCTTAACCAAGTCAGGGGGTATCCTGAATGGATGAGTGTAACGAACGTCATTGGGCTTGGGCCCTCTGGAAATTTCCCGCAGGAGTACCCCGATCGCATCGGTGAAGAGACTAGGAAATTCGTCGATGCTATCTTAGCCAGTAAAACAGTTTAGAACGATACCAGAATATACTAGTACTCCACCTTCCATCAAACCAACCTTCCATAACAAGAAAACATAATTCATGAACGGATTCAATTCCACTTCTCTTTCCTGTACACACATAACTTCTCAACTACAGTACACTTACAACCCCAAGCTCCAAACCACCATCGCAATATCTCCAGCGGTACTTCCACCTAGCCCACCATAAGCCTCTTCAACGCATAAAAGAGCCAAAGTTCAAAAACGTACTGCCACTCGGTTTCTGCGTACTAGATCTCGGCGTAACAGGCCTTGCCTTGTTCCCCATTTCCTCGCTCGCCTGGACAGTAACGGGTTTGAAAGACATGGGCTGGTATGGCGTAGGCTGGTATCCTTGTCCCTGCGGTTGCGACGGCTGTTGCGACTGGGATTGAGGTGGCAGATGCGAGTACGACTGCGACGACTGTGGCTGCCAAGGTGTAGGAGACCACGAAGGAGTGTTGGATGAAGTATGCGTGGAAGAAAATGTGGTAGGAGGCTCCCTCGTATACAATCCCGTCGGCTGCTGTTTCGCCGCCGAGTACGTGAACAAAGGCTCACTGCGTTTCCTCTGAATGTTCCTGCGTCTCGACTCCTGAGCACTCGCTTCCAACTTGTCGGCAATCTTGCCCGTCTTGGCCGTGTCCATGGTGAACCAGCCCGCATCCAGAATCTGCTGCGCTGTGGGCCGGTCTGTAGGGACAGGGTTGAGGACCCAGCTCAGGAACTTGATTTCCTTCTCCGGCACACCCTTGGCTTTTAGTTGTTCCCAGTGTTGTCCTTCATGATGTGAGCGGTCCTGGTAAGGAAGTCGACACCCATCATAGTAATCTAAGGCGCCCAGTCCAAAGTCATGTGCTATAGCTCGTTCAACTGAACGTTCTTTCTGGCCCTGGCCTGAATTTCCCTGCAGCAGTTCGTCGTAGAGACCGTATTTGTTGAATGAAGCTTGCGCTTCGAGGAGCTGGCAGTAAATCACGCCCCAGGACCAGATATCGGCTGGTTGGTTGATTTCGTTGCGGAAGTACACTTCGGGCGCGCGGTATACGATGGGTTGAACGAGGCCTTTTGCTGGCTCCATGACAATTCCTAGGTCGCCGAGTTTGGCGGTGATGCGATCGTCGCCGATCTTTGCATTAGCACTAGGTTCGTTTTCGAAGCCGCTGAGGAGGATGTTCTGCATTTTGAGGTCTTGTTCGTGTTAGCTGTGTTGGCTTATTTGAGGTGAATACTGCATGTAAACGTACCTGCATACACCAGACCTCGCTCGTGTACGTCTCGCAGGCCCAACAATGCCGAGCGCATGATGCCCTTGAGCTCCACGTCACTGAACTGGCGCTTCCTTCGTGCATCCCATAGGGTAGATTGGAGAATTTCGAGCACAATTCGTGGCGGGCCACCCCTGGTGGGTGGGATACGGTCTACTTGTTGTCTGATTGTTGGAATGCCCTTGAGAAGCTCGTGCATGATCATCTCATGTTGAAACTTTGGCCATCCATATCCGACGTCATCGTCGCCGGGCTGTTTTACGATGAAGATTTTCTCTTGGGAAGCCGCGTCGACAGCGACCCATACGTTGGCCTGGCCGAGGGGCTTGACAAGAAGGTATCGGAATCCGTGTTCTCCAACGAGCTCGGCGCCCTCGCGCATTTGAAGGGTTGTTCCGACCATTCTCAGGGTTGGTGGTGTTCAGTCGGTCGAGGTTCCGAATGTGTGACGTAGAGGGTGTAATTTGGTTGTAGACGTGGCAGGTGATCAAGTCGCGTCCATGGAAGGTGATGTGAGGAGAGACGAAGAGATGTCAGGTACAAGATCAGGATATGAGAAAGAAGTGGATCTGAAAGACGGGTACCGGCTGTCAACTTCTAAACTTAGAGTGAAGAGGCGAAGTTCCAACATTGCGTAGCTCCAAAGTTGAATGGCTGCTTGTTTGCGCAGATGCTGAACGATGACGGAAGGCTTGTAACGGTTACGGAAGTGGCGGGCTGGCGTCATTGGCCCGAGAGCAGGTCGACGCAGCAACATGATGATCTCGCGCTGTCGATGGTCGATAACCTTCATGCACTGTTGCGCATCATCCAGGAACATGTTACCAACAGCGAGGTCCTCGCGACTCTGATGTGTTGTCGCAAAGGGTTAAGCCGGTGACCAGGGAGGATGTAGCGAGGCGGGAGTGCCGGCTGATCCCGGCCACACTCCTGTAACGCGTATTGCCCACTCTGCCAAGACTCCATCATGTCCGGAACGTGTTTTTGTTCTTTCAATTCCGATGAAGTTCTATCAGGTCAAAATCCAGAGTCTGCTCAACATGTGGATGCACTCCAACCAATGAACAGCAACGTTACACAGCCTCTCTAAAGACGCGTCTCACATTGTGGCGATTGTCCAGTCGGAAGGCGATAACGCGCTGTCGTATGAGAAGTCGCAATAAAGAATGATGATACATATCCAGATTCAAAAACACTTGAACGATTTTCACACGAGACTAAGCCATTTCAATTTTCGACCAGTGTTTAACCCAAGGCTTCAGCCATAAGATCCATCAGGCACAAGTGCGAGGAGACTATCACAGCCGTTACACGAGACGTCCACCTCCTCACAAGCCGCTATTTTGGGCACACGATACAGCCATCTTTCTGACATAAGACTGCCACCAATCTTACATGAGACGTCTACCGTCTACCGTGTACCTTTCCGCCTCCCCTGCGCCTTCCCCACCTCTCACCTGCATATCGGCCAATCGCGGATAGGCTCGTATAACGCGTATTGCCCTACCCGCCTGTTCGCATATTTTTTTCACTCCCTGGTAAGGGGTTGAAAGTAGAATGGAATCCACAATTGACGTTTCCCAATCAGCTACCTGATTAAGAAAGACATCGTGCGATATGAAATAGAGAATCAAATGCTGAGAGAAGAGAATCCATGTTGAGTCAATGTATTCTATATTCTCCAGATCACTAATCACGGAAGCTCAATGTAGCCATCTCCAATGATGCAGGTACGTTTCATATTAACATAAGCAATAAAGCTTCTTCTACATATCTACATGCAACAGTGTCTCCAACAAAACCGAGCTCTTCGGTCTTTTCTAGACTGTGCCGGTCCCGGTCCGGTCCTTCTATGATGATACCCCAGGGATCTTTTCCTCAACAACCAAATCCCACGACAGCGGTCCAGCCTCTTCCAATGTGTGCCAACAGCACCATTGCCCCGCCCATGTATTGCTTGGACTTTTCCCCACAAAGCAGTTAAATCAAGCTAGGAAGGCATTCTACCCTCGATCAAATAATATGGATAGAAGCGAAAAAAAAAGATAATAAGTGTAGAATAAGAAAGCCAAAGTGCGAGGCGGCCGCGATTCGACTGAAACTCCGGTGAAATGCAAGACACGTGATACGGACATAACGCTCAAACAATGCAATGCGCAAAACTGTTCTCAACAGTTCCCTTCCTAAACCTCATGGCGATCGTCCAGCTCGAAGCTTCTCTTCTGGCTGATGCGGCGGTAGAAAGGCATCCTCTGGTTGAAGAGGCGCATCTTCGGGCTGCCGGGGCCAGTTGATCGCTTGTTGAGCACAAAGAACTTGTACAGCATACCCAAGATTGTGAAGCCAACCACGAATCCAAGGATCGTGACCAGCAACCAGTGCTTGGCGAGCCAGAAAATGATCTTGACGTCTGTCCTGTGCCAGCTGTTGCCAAGGTGGTGGGTGAAGAAGGACCAAGGGTGGTTGTTGTATTCCTCGGGGAAGAGAATGCGGACACGGTTTTCGTCGACTGGGGAAGCGTTGTTGTAGTGGCGCCAGACGAGAGACAAGAAAAGGGGACCGGTAGATGCCATGACGGTGATGTAGGGGAGGGGCCAGCGACGGTTGTAGTCGGTCAGAGAGTCAATGGCCTTGAGGAAGAAGGGGTGGCGAGGAACGGCGCCCATGGCATCGTTAGAGATTCCGGTGGGAATTGTGCGGCGGACCCAGGCTGGGTAGGCGAGGAGAGGGTCGAGGCTGCGGTTGCATCCCTAAGATTGTTAGTATTGGTGTCGTTGATAGAGGAAGTTGTACGTACATCGTCAAGGTCGATGTAGATTCCACCAAAGTGGTGCAGAACAAAGTATCGGATGGCATCGGCGCGCTGAATGGGATACGGGTAGCCGTCGAAGGTCTCGAGGAACCATGGGTATCTGAGCAGGTTAGTATTACGCCTTATCGCATTGGTGGTTTACAACATACTCAGCAGCGATAAACTCGCGCGACTTCTTGTCGGTCCACAGCTTGTACTCGTAGTCGGGGTGGAGATCCAAGCAGCTCTGTTGAGGGCCCTTCCAGTGCGCCGGTATGCTCTCGTTGATGTACGTCTGGTGAATGATCTTGGGAATCAATTGCGGCGTCTCATTGATAGCGCTCGAGTTGGGCGCAGGGAGCTCTCCGCGGAGAATAGCATCTTCGCGACCAGAAGCGATCAGAAGACCGAGCAGTGTCCACACGCTGTGTACCGCGAAGCCGAGGACGACTATGGTGACGAGCAGGAAAATGGTGACGCCTCTCCGCATGGTTGCTGTTGTTGTTCTCTGTCTCCTTTCCCTTGGGAGAGCGTCGTGCACGGGCTGTGTTGGTGGAAGAAAGCTGAAGTCGCGATAGCGGTATAGAGATGTGGTATTAAAAGAGGTACAAATCAAGCATCCGTCAAGCAGCAACGTCCGTCTAGTACTTGGCGGGAGAGGGAGAGAAGAAGAGCAGAGGCGTGAGACAAAAGACGAGCGTCTGCTGCGCGTGCTCTAGAAGGAGGCAGTGCTCGGACTGCCCAATCTCGCTTATCCCGCAGACCCCTGTGCCTGGCCGATCTCCAGACGCACGTTAGCGCGGGACGCTCTTGCCCCCTCCAGGCACTTCACATGTGAACACGGTGCGAGATGCGACCACACCGGCCTCGACCGTTGCGGTGAATGTCCTGTCGTGTTGCCTTGCTCCACCATGCCCGATTTCAATCTCACTGTCTAGTCAGCACCTACAGCCTCATCTCACACACTCTCGCACCAAGCTCTACACTCAGTCCTAGTCGCGAGAGGCTGTGTCGTGAGGCATTTCCGTCCCGCCTATGACGCACCCTTGCAGCACACTGCATCTCCCACATTCGCTTCCCACACGTTTCCCACCTTCTTACGCGTTCAGCTAAGAGTAGCACAAGAGTTCACTTACGTCTACCAAGAAGCCGCGCATTACCCGCGGTAAGCCAGCAATCGCTGCGTACTACAACGCCTAACTAGCTGTTGCTAGGGTGTTTGGCGGGCAAATTTGCTTTTACAACCGCGGTTAGTGGAGCATGGCCCACCGAACTGGACAAAACCCAGCTATGGTAGGCTAGTCGAGTGTTCGACTGCAGCCAGTGGGGTGTGAGTAGTATGTCGCGGTTGTTACTTGAACTGGTATTGCAACCTAAACTGCTGTCGCGATCCTGGTACTTGTTCGAGAGACCTCGCGGCTGGAAGCGAGCTTCATGACGTACGAACCAAGACTGGTCTACACAATGACGATGAACGTTCAGACGTAGATAGCTCCACGGCAAAAGTGCACTCCCTTGCACAATCGATTTCCGGTTTGCGCATTGCGAGGCTCCACCTACAAGCAGCCCTGGTTGGCTTAGCGCAGTCTTGTTACTCAGGGTACTTCCTACACAGACACTGCTTAGACTACTCCATCACGACTCGTTGTATTTTGATCTTTTAGAGAGCATGAACTCGGATGTTGTTTTTCATGGTTGTCTTTCGCCGCGATGTCCGCTGCAAGGTCTGCCAGTAATCGCACTACTGATTCGTTTCCTCCCCAAGCCATCCGGTACAGTACCGTGCCGCTCACCCGCCTGTGCTATCATTGGCTGTTTGCGAGAATGCTGGGGGTATGAAGCTTGAGCTTCATACAATGAATACAATGATAGAAAATTGATCGAGTAAAATTCATATCGATTGCGACTTAATGACCCAGATTCATAGTGAGGTGGTTTGATCATCCTTCGTTAGGCAGTGATTGAGGGCTGAAGCAGAAAGCGCCTCATGTGGCGCAGCCGATTGCTTGGCACAAGGCATTTGCCTATGCACCATGAACGTCACTACCCCGTCGGTGGTATTGCTAGAACGACATCAACACCTCAAATACGTTGAGAATTCTACAACCATGAATTCTCGCACAACTCATAGGTAGTCATGAAATCAAAGTACTGGCATACAGCAGCGATGCACGTATCAGCTCATTCGCGCCCCCAATATGCACGAGCGGTCAGACCCCTCGTGGTCTAAGCCACTCTGCCTGTCCGCCTCATACCCTCAGCTCGCGCGCTTCAGCCTTCCTTCGACAACACACATTACAGTGCCTGTTCCTCTCTCTGTCGTAAAGTGACACAAGAACGCTTTGATATACATCTCAATACTCGACCTACCGCCTGCTTCGAATGCCTCTCGATGCGGCTTTTGCAAATACAGGCCAACGGCAGCTTCAGCCTCGTCAGTCATGAAAACACCTCCGGGCCGCCGTATGCGATACTCTCGCATACTTGGAGTGAAAACAACGAGGACGAAGTAAGTTATGACGACTTGCGCAATGAGACAGGGAGAGAGAAAAGCGGTTATGCCAAGTTAAAGTTCTGTGCTGAGCAGGCTGCCAAAGACGGTCTTGAGCACTTCTGGGTCGATACTTGCTGCATCGACAAGTCAAGCAGCGCAGAGCTCTCAGAGGCTATCACATCCATGTTCCGTTGGTACAAGAATTCTGCCACATGCTACGTGTACCTAGCAGATGTTACGACGAAAAAGAGACGAGGCGGCCGCGAATCGCCTGATCACGAAATGCCCAGTGTCACTTGGATGTCGGCTTTCCGGAACAGCAGATGGTTCACTCGAGGCTGGACACTTCAAGAACTGCTTGCTCCTCGCAACGTCCTCTTTTTCTCTCGCGATGGAGAGCTGCTTGGTGACAAGTTCAGCCTAGAGCAACACATCCACGACGTCACACATATCCCTATCCCTGCCCTTCGAGGAGCCCCCCTGCATAGCTTTTCTGTCGATGACCGCATGTCTTGGGCTGCGACTCGTATTACAAAAAAGGAAGAAGACCGGGCATACTCGTTGCTTGGGATATTTGGCGTCAGCATGGTTCCAATATACGGAGAATTGCAGGCAGCGGCGTTCAGGAGGCTTCGGAAAGAGATAACCGAGGTTAAGCAGGACCAAAGTTCGCCCTCAGACAACGGAAAGAGGCAAGCTCTCATGGATTCGCTGCGGTTCGATCAAATTGACGCACGCTATGCAACCATCAAAAACGCCCATGCCAAGACATGCAAGTGGTTGTTACGAAAATCGGAGCACACTGAATGGCTCGACCCGACGAGACTATCCCATCACCACGGCTTCTTGTGGATCAAAGGAAAACCAGGAACCGGCAAGTCAACATTGATGAAGTTTGCTTTCGGCCAGGCCAGTAAATCAAGGAAGAGCAGCATTGTGATCGCCTTTTTCTTCAACGCGCGAGGCGAGACTCTCGAGAAGACTATCATTGGGATGTATAGGTCGCTTCTGCTGCAGCTTCTTGAGAAGATCCCTACACTACAGTGCAATTCCGGTTCGCTAAGTCTGGTACCCTCGAGTATCAGCGCAGATTATCAGTGGACTAGGCACTCGCTCGAAGACCAGCTCCAGCAGGCTGTATTGAGTCTTGGAGACACGCCTGTGATGTGCTTCATCGATGCACTGGATGAGTGCGAACAATGGCAGGTTCGGAACATGATTTCGTTCTTCGAAAACCTTGGCGAGCTCGCAGTCTCATCTGGCAGGTCTTTTCGAGTATGTCTTTCGAGTAGGCACTATCCTGAAGTCACGATTCGGAGAGGCATAACTCTAGTGCTTGAAGGACAAGAAGGCCATACCCAGGACATCAACAATTACCTTGAGAGTACATTGAAGATAGGGATCAGCGCATCCGCACAAAAGATCCGAAAGGATCTGCAAGAGAAGAGTTCCGGTGTATTCATGTGGATTGTGCTTGTGGTGGACATCCTGAATAAAGAGTACGATGGCGGCCGGATGCATGCTCTGGAGCGAAGATTGAAACAAATCCCCGCCGATCTACACGCCCTATTTCAGGACATACTCACACGCGACTCGAACGACAAGGACGAACTAATATTGTGCTTGCAGTGGGTACTCTTTGCTAAACAACCATTACAACCGGAGCAGCTGTATCTTGCGATCCTTGCAGGAACTGAGCCTGATGCACTCGCCACTCAGCATGATCAGGAAGTCACACTTGAAACGATCAGAAAATTTCTCCTTAGATCGTCCAAGGGTCTTACTGAGATTACCAAAACCAAGAACAAAAAAGTCCAGTTCATACACGAGTCGGTGCGAGACTTCCTGCTCAAGGAGAATGGACTTAGCAAGATCTGGCCTGAGTTCGCAGACAATTTTCAAGGCCAAAGCCATGATCGACTGAAGCAGTGCTGTCTCAACTACATTAGCATCGACGTTGCCACACCCTTGATGCTACCAGATGAGCTACCAGCAGCAATCTCATCATCGTCAAAGAATCTACGCAAGTTAGCAGCCGAGACATTCCTTTTTCTAGAATATGCGGTCCATAATGTGCTGTACCATGCGGATACGGCAGAAGATGGAGGCATCTCCCAGACGGACTTTCTCAACAGCTTTCCGCTTCTCCAATGGGTCAAGCTCGACAATCTGCTCGAGAAACACGAGATCCGGAGGCACAAGCAAGGTGTCAGTCTACTCTATATACTAGCTGAGCTAAATATGGTGAATCTCATCAGAGTTCTTGGTTCAGCTAGCTGTTGTATGCAGGTTGAGGACGAACGCTACGGTTGTCCTCTTCTCGCTGCAGTCGCTATGAACAGAAAAGAGGCCGTCGAGATGTTTCTGGAATCCATTGAGGTGCAACCGAAATATAGTAATCTTGTTACAGCAGTAGGCGGACGGCAGGTTCAAGATAGGCCAGACCGGCGCCATGCAACTCGTAACCTCACATATTCGAAGTCAAAAGATGTTGTCGGGAATGCAATTGACTTTCACAATGACAGGGTAATCGCACGTGCGATCGCATCTGGAAAATTTCAGATTGATTCGCAGAACTCGTCCGCCAAGAGCATCCTACAGTGGGCCTCTGGGAATGGCTTTGAGACGCTGGTCAAGTTATTACTCGATGGAGACTCTACCTTGGTCGACAGTACTGGCGCTGGCGTTTACAACCCACTGCATATAGCAGCAAGAGAAGGGCATTCGGGGGTGATCGAAGTGCTACTAGAAGCGGGCGCTGACATTGACGCGGCGAAAGCTAGCGAAACCGCGCTCCACATAGCTACTTATGAAGGCCATAAAGAGACTGTAGCGCTGCTACTGGACAAAGGCGCTGAAGTCAACGCCCTAACTGCATACAAGAGCAATGCAATCCAAGTAGCTTCATCCAAGGGCAACAAGGAGATCTTGGAGCTGCTCCTAGACAAGGGGGCCGACGTTAACGCGATAGCTGTCGAAGGCGACACTGCACTGCAGAAAGCTTCAGCTGACGGCCACAAAGAGATCGTGGAGTTTCTAATAGACAGGGGCGCTGACGTCAACGCCAAGGGTCATTTCTATGGCACCGGGATCCAGGCAGCTTCACGCAATGGTCATAAAGAGATTTTGGAGCTGCTAATAGAAAAGGGCGGTGACGTTAATATTCAGGGTGGACAGCTTGGCAACGCGATCCAGGCAGCTTCATACAAAGGCCATAAAGAATGTTTGGAACTACTACTAGACAAGGGCGTTGACATTAACGTCCAAGGTGGACCTTATGGCAATATATTTACTGGATCCTATCACAATGCACTTGAAGCAGCTTGTGTAGATGGCCACAGGGAGATCGTGGAGCTGTTACTAGACAAGGGTGCTGGCATTGGCAACGCACTTGAGAGAGCTTCGCGTTATGGCCACAAAGAGGTCGTGAAGCTGCTGCTGGATAAGGGCGCCGCCGACATTGGCAACGCACTTCAGGCAGCTTCATACGAGGATCACACAGAGATTGTGGAGCTGTTACTAGAAAGAGGTAGTGATGTTGACGTTGGCAAAGCACTTCAGCAAGCTTCAGACAGAGGCAGAATAAAGATGGTGGCGCTGTTACAGAAGCATAGTGTAGCGGGGGCATGTAAATAGCCTCATAGTTGTCAAATGTACCAGATATCTATATCTATATGGCTGATTGATGCCATGGATTTCTTTCAAGGGCTTCGTAAACAACTTTCTCCGATCCGTGCTACCATCTGGAGGTTGTTCATCTAGTCGCGCCTTACTAGTGCCATATGACATTGTATCTTCGAGCTGTCGAAGCACTGTGAGAACCCAATGGACTAACAGTGCAGCAGGAAGATGTCCATGCTAGATGCAACTGGTTGGTAGCGGGCCAAGGTGCGATCATCTTACCAAAAGGGCTTTTACTTCCTCTTCGGGAGAGTGCGACTGCAGTGAGATGACAGTTCTGTCTTGTTGTAGTTCTTGCCATGTCGCGTGCGAGGGAAGAGAGGTGGGACGCGCCAATTTAACCATGGTGCAGTCGCAATCCGAAGATGCGATACCCCTAGTCCTCTCACGTTGCTTGATTTCGTACCTTGAACAGCCCGCGACCTATCGATACCTACCAGCTATGCTTCACTCTACTTAAACCTCACTTTGTCAGCGCACCAACATAACGCCTGACCCCAATGACTGCCATCGCGAGGGTGTGGACATGTTTTGCCGCGGTCGTCTCTACAACGCCAATCTCCTCTGAATTACCGTTACCACTGGAAAGCCCAGTCGTCTATGGCGAACCCAGAGGAGACCGCACAATCTATGTCGTATTGTCGAAACTCTGTATATGTGTGCTTTCGGGGCTTGTCGGTTTGTCTCACTTCAGAATGCATCGTCTCTGAACATCTGTTAACCACTACGAGCAGGATATCGCATACATCTCCTGAGCAAGTCAGCGAATCGCCTTACGTTGACGCAGATCTACATCTTTGCACTCTATACCTTTTCTATCGGATTCGTCTTCTCCGCCGCGGTCGTCAACAATGGCCTCGGTCTTACCACGGATGGTAGCTGCAAAGCTTCGGTAATGCTATGTCTTATGTTCTATGCAGCCAGCAAAGTATCAATGTCAGTCGATGGTCTTTACAAGCCGTCTGGACATTGTCTTGGCTTCTGCTGACATTCACGACTTGCAGGTATCTCTTCCTCGTCGAGCGGGCTCACGTACTACGGGCTCCTTACGCACCCCGATATAAAGACTTATTATGGTTGCTCAGCACGATTACTATAGTTGTGTGTTTGGGCGCCATTTGTATCGCCGGCATCGTCTCGCCCAAGTACGTACTTTCAGAGGTGGATGGGCGCTGCCGTATAGGTCTCCAGCGTTACGCCGCCATCCCGCTGTTGACGTGCGACATTGTCATCAACCTTTACCTTACAGCCGTTTTCATCTATCTTCTGAGCCCTCTGGTCAAGGATAATACAAGCTCTGGCACTGGTGTTGTAAACCGGGTGACACTGTGCATCAGCAAGACTTTGGGTCGAGTACAGCAGAAAGCCACCATGGACCTTCATCGATCGAATAAAGCGCTCGTCAAGAGAGTCGAAACCCTACTCCAGAAGACCTTGATTGGATGTGTCTTGGTCATTCTCCCCACTGCCGGTAATCTTGCGGCTATTTGCATTTTGGTTGGGAAAGAACTAGCTTTTGTAAGCCCAGATCTCGATAACCCAAACGAGGCATCTCAATCTAACATCTTGTTCCTAGATCTGCCTCACTCTATGCACCTTTGATGGTATGCTCGCTGCTATCAGCCACCGAGCCCTGCTGATGCAAACATGGCAGTCACATGGGCTGCCATAGTCTTTCACTGGCTCACCATCGTCGGTACTGACGAGAACGAAGGTGCCACCCCAGCGTACGTTTCACCCAAGAAATGCAACAAGCAATTAGATCGTGTACTGACTGGTTCCAGTCCGCAAAGTCGGCAAAGTGGCAACCAACAACCCGGAATGCCTTTGCAACTACAAACGGAACCTGTACGAAAGAAGCCGACCCTGCTCACACCAACCGACTTAGATCTGCTATCGATCGATGCAAAGGACGATGGTGGCACAAAAACCATAAACAGATTCGATTTCGGCCTGAGTCAAACGGCAACACCATCACACTGCGGACCCAGTTCACAACCAGATTCACATTGGAAAGATTCTGGACATTCTACTCTGGTATCTGATATGAACATGTCTAACAACGCCGTCGATCCGCGTTGACCGTGTTCAAAAGTCTGAATCCTCCTCTTCAATGATGGCTTGCGAGAGCAGACCTCGCCTGCGAGGCCCAGCCACCTTTTTCAACACTACAGGGGTTGCACTGGGTGAATGGTCGATGGAATCCTCCTTTTTCACGCGTCGTGCAGCTCTGTACTCCGCGGCTGTTCGTCCCTTCTCAGGCTCTCTAGGAACAACGGGTGCATCGATCTTGAGAGTTGACGACAGAAACCTAAAGATGACAAAGAGGACGGCGCCGGTGATGCATCCTATGAGGCTGGCTGTTCCGAGGTAGACGTATAGTGTCTGTGTAATCAGTATCAATATAGGAAGGAGATGACAAATCGAGTACCTCTATTCTCTCTAACCACTTGACGCTGAATGGTATGGACAGCACTCTGATGACTGCCTGTCCAAGATGGATGAACGGTAGTAGGAAGAAAGTGATGACGTTGTAGAATGGCAGCAATAGTATGATGACTAAATTGATGGCTTTACTGATGGGAAACCAGACTACGCGTGCCAATGCAACTGAGACACGCGTGGCAATGTCGAGGACCGTTCGCGCGTCCATGGCGGCCGACGCGTGAATGTGTCGGTGTGGTTGTGGGATGCTAAGGCGACGCTGGACAGGGCCGACTCGCCCCACGATGGGTGTCATTGGCTCGTGCGGGTTGGAGGCTATCGGCGATTGACTGGCATGGAAATCTTGACCCCTGTGTGCCGCTGCAGCTCCATCCAAGTAGGCCGGCCTAGTAATAGCTTGACACCTGGGTGGCACGCTCTCTGACCTCTATCTGTCGTGATCTACCCATGCACTCATCGTGCCTGTGATGGGGAACCAGAATTCGCGGTCGACGACGCCCACGTCGAACCCGCAATCGCCCACCAACAATGCCGCGGGCAACCACCACAACGTGACTGCATCACATGGCCATGACCGACCGCATAACCACCACCACCACCTCCCCCATCTCCACCCCCCACACAGCCAGCACCACTCGGCCCGCCGCCGTGAATCCATCCAGGCACTGAGTGCAGCCAAAGCGCCTGCAGCTCCCAGCGTGAGCCTCGAGAACGCTGAGAGCCATCCCACGTCGGCCCGCCCCATCTCGCGTGGGAGGGCGCAAACGGCAGGGACTAGCACCAAAGCCGTCACCACCCAGCTGCGCGCTGCTCAGGACCTGTACAACACCACCCACAGCACCCGGACCGGAGACACCATGGGGAACGAGCAGAGCAGCCAGAAGGGCGGCGCGCACAGCCACAAGGATAAAGACAAGCACCATGTCTCGCCCCGCGATGCGAACACCACCCCGCCGTCACAGCCTGCCGCCGCTGCCATTATACCTGATACCGCAGCTCAGCAACAACAAGCTGTCGAAGCTGAAGCTGAAGCTGCACCCGAAGTCTCCGCACGCCCACCCTCGCCTACCCTCCCCGTCGATGTCCCATCGTCTGCCTCGCATCCAGACCCCCGCGCTTCGTCTCCCTCGAACCTCCCATCACCAACCTCCGCCTCCATGACCGCCGATTACCTCATTCCAGCCTCGGCCTCACAGTTCTCCCGCCCGCCGCGCCTGCCCCTGCCTATCGAGGAGGAAGTGCACACGCCCGGCAGCCCCATCATAGCGCCGCAGGAGCTCAGTGGATTCAACGGGGTTAGTGAAATATGGACACCTGTGCACGAGAGCGATGCCGATGGTATGCTGCCGCGGCGCAGTTCCATGGTGAGCAGTACGACGGCTGGGGAAGACGAGGATGGGGATTTGGGCGAAGAGTTTAAAGGCAGTGAGGGGAGACCTACGGTTCCTACGTTGATTGAGGTATGTTGAATCTTCTCCCGATTCTGCTTAGAGTGGTGGTTGGTGTTTAAGGAGATTTATGCTGACGTTGGGGGGAATTAGTGGGAAGGTCCTGGGGAGCGCGTATATGTTACGGGAACTTTTGCGGGCTGGAATCGCAAGTACAAGTTGCATCGCAAGTAAGTGGTACCGATTTCCTTGGAATGTCTCGGAGCATGGAGTTTGCCTGCATCAGCCGCACGGGTAGATGCAGGGGATGGGGGTTGCAGAGGTGGAACCACGTTTTTCATTCTCTCTGCCTGCATCTGCCTGCACCTACCCGTTGCCTGCATTCTCCCGTTTGGTGGCTTCCTAGCTCCACTCGGGCTGAGACTCGGTCAATCATTCCCAGCAGGCTTGGAATGTATTCGATTACTGCCTCCTTTGATGTTACACTGCACGTCGGCAATATTGACACTCTATAGCGGACCCAGCAAGAAGAAAGATGCCCTCTCCGCCTACGTATCCGTCACTCCAGGAACTCACCACCTTACCTTCCTCGTCGACAACGACATGCGAACATCCGACAAACTTCCCACCGCCGTAGACTACACCAACATCCTCGTAAACTACATCGAAGTCCCCTACCCAGAACTCACACCCCTCCCAGCCAGCCCGCCAGCCGCCACCGCAGCGACAAACGACCCTCTAGATGACTCCATAACACCCGTCCAAGAACGCGAAGCCCCTGTTGGCATGTACCCGCCCCAAGTCCTACCACCAACCCCACCCCTCAACGCAACCGCCGGCCCCACAACCGCAAACCCCATCCCAACCGTCACCGCACCCCCTATCGAACCCGCCAAACCGCCCGTTCCCGAGCCAACCAAGAAATACCACCAAAACATACCCCGCTACCTCCTCGACCTCGACGCTCCCGAAGAATCCTCCCGTTTTGCCCGTGCAAATGCCATGACGAATAACTTGCCTACGCCACCTACGCTTCCTGGGTTTTTGGGCAAGAGTATTCTGAATGGGACGACGCCGATGAAGGATGATAGTAGTGTGTTGATTCATCCGAATCATACTGTTTTGAATCATTTGGCGACGAGTAGTATCAAAGATAATATCTTGGCGACGAGTGCGACGACGAGGTATAAGCAGAAGTTTTTGACGACGATTATGTATAAGCCTAAAGAGGAGGGTGGGGAGATTTATTAGGAAAATTGAAGAGAAAGAGAGGGAGGGAGGGAGAGAGATGCGCGAGAGGTGGTGAATGTGAGAAAGAGAAAATGTGTATATGTGAGAGAGAGAAAGAGGTGCATGGCAGTGGTGGATGTGTCTCGTTTCTGCGCCTGGTGTGTGTGAGCTTCGGCTTTCTGGTGTTAGTTTATGGGCTTTGGCTTTTTTTTTTTGGCCTATTGTGTTTTACTGTATCGCATTTCCGGGTTCTTGGGGGTCGGGGAAATATTTGCTGGGAGCTTCGGCGTCTTTTTTTTCGGGAGAGCATACACGAAAGCTATGAGTTTACGGGTTTCCTTTTAGGTTCAATACCCCTTGCGGTAGGTTGTCCTTTTATCCGATTGTGGGAGCGCACAACAAAAAGGAATGGAAAGCAATGATCTTGACGTGTTGTTTGGCTTTGCTGTTTTTGAACGAAAGACTAGTTGTGAGTACCTACGATGAGAACTCGAAAGACTGACATCAGTGAATCGCAGAGAGTCGCGAGCCTCACTGAGTGGGAGCTCGTGCTGTCCGTAATGAACTAACAACAAAAGTCGGTATCCGGACACCTCTACTTTGTCAAGATGTAAGTGCGGCACTTCGCACTCTTATTGCTCCAAAAACGGGAGGATGCAAGGTGATCTGACAAGGCGCGTTGATGATTGGATCGGGCGTTCCCCTCACTCAACCGCGCCGCATGTAAGCTATCTACTCACCAGCAGATTGCTACCTGTCCAACCACTCGACTGACCAACACTCTTTCGCGTTACAATCTTCAAGTTTCACTCGATTTTACCTACACTTCGTGGCTTGATCCAATTAGCACAGCATGAACGCATATGCCTATCGAGCACTCGAGGGCCCGGAATACATCAGGCTCATTGTGCTGCACCCAGCCTTGTCCAAGACCACACCCCTACGGATAGACTTTGTTTCATCAAAACTTGAAGATGTCGAAGGAGATTACGACGCTGTTTCGTACACGTGGGGAGAACCAGTTTTGACGTTTCCCTTATATGTTGGCGAGGACGGCATGCAGGTCTACGTTACGGAGAATCTCGATCGGGCACTTCGATACCTACGCTACGAAACTCGCGAACGACTGCTTTGGGCTGATGCTGCGTGCATCAATCAGAAAGATAATGAAGAAAAAGCGATCCAAATCCCTCTGATGGTCCAGATATTCCGGGGTGCACGAAGTGTCATGGCTTGGCTCGATCCGGGCGGAGACACCGCAATCGAGCAAAAAGGCATGCGAACAGTAGAACGTCTATCTCGAGCGCCCCAGAATGGAGATGAATTGTTACAGGAAAATCTCCACAGCGTACAACGTTTCTTGAAACTTCCCTGGTTTAACAGACTGTGGATAGTGCAAGAAGTTGTCTTCAGTCTAGAGGTTCGCTTGATATGCGGCGAAACGGATCTTCCCTTCTCCCGGTTCATTGCTGGGCTTTGTCAAGTGAAGCCCCAGCTCGAGGCTTCTTGTAACAACCCTGAAGACCTAGTAAGAATAAGAGGCATTAGCGAAATTGAAAAACTTTGGAGCCACTATTCGCGCTTCCAGACTCTACTCGAATACGACGATGAGATCACAAGAGCCGATGAAGTCACCGAGATCACCGACGTTGTGGCCTTGGTAGAGAAGTTCGCACTGTATGGGTGTACAGATCCACGAGATCGTATATTCGCTTTGTTTAGCATGGCGACCAATGTCCGACCAGCAAGATGCAATCTCCAAGAAGATCACGACTCCCAACAAGGCGATTCCCCCCGCACAAACGACGACCCACAAACAGAGCATGCTGAGCATGGGCAGAGCGATAAAATTTACATGAATATTGACTATGCGCTTAGTGTGGATGAAACTTACGAGGCTTTCGCGCTTGCTCGATTAAATGCAGACAAAGAGGGGGCGCAGCTGATTTGGGAGGCCGTGTTTTCCCGTCAATACTCACCTCGACCGATCACTTGGCCGTCGTGGGTACCGGATTGGCGGATTCCACCTCGACAAACAATGCCAGTTTCCTATCAGAGGCTCTTGGGAAATGGTGATCATGGGGTAGATCTCAAGGCTCGCCGACTTGCAACAGGTGTTATTCGGATGAACATCCCCATTGGAAAGCACTACCCTGACGAAACAGATCAACAGCTCTATAATGTCACATGGAAGATGTCGAGAAAGGCAGAGGATGCCGCAACATCATTACAATCACATTTGTTGCAGCTGTACAGAATGCTATCCAACCCTGTCGTTGTGCAAAGATCCGATCATCTTCCAGGAATGCTAGCGCATTCGTCTTCTAAGCTCATCCCTAAGATTTTCCCCGCTCTTCTCACCAAAATCATTCATAAGCTTGTTGGCAAGGAGACTTTTTCCTGTGAAGATTCGGACGAAGACGATATGTCTTCGCAACTTGGACGGCATTTCGCTAGGATGTCGATGATACCTGAAGCAGATGGTGCGCACTGCGGTCCAAAGCCATCTTCTTCCGATGTTCAAGATGTTTTCGACAAACTGGATCAAAATCTGGGGGACACCACAACCTTATTTTGCTTTCAAGACCCAGGCACTGGTGTGCATTCATTCGGTTTGGGCGATACGAAAATCGAGCCTGGTGATCGCATCATACTTCTGGGGGATCTCTATCGCTCGGCAATATATGGGTCATCCACGACGACACTTGTACTTCGACAATGCAATCCAGCTGAATCCGCACATGTTGGAAGTCCGGTCTATCAGCTTGTCGGTCGAGGCTACATATATGATCCGACTTCTGTGTTGCTAAGAGCCGAGTTCAAGAAATACTTCCATTCCACTGAAGGTGAGAAGATAAATCCTCTTGGGTTTAAAAAGCGTTGGCGCAAATTCTCATCTTTCAACAAGACATTCCAAAAGTCTGACTACGTGTTGAATATGGCTTGAGAAATCAATTAGAAGACACCTGCTGAGCATGTTCAATCTACATGTCGCAACCCACCAATATCCCCACTAAACACCCATTTTACTCCGAACAAACGCTTCAGTGTCATCCAAAACCTCTTGCACGCTCTTAATAGTTCCAGGCGGGAACCCAATGAATCCATGCGGCGCTCCATGATAAATCTTGACTATGCTCTCATTCCCCCACATAGCCCATTTCGCACCCATCATCACGCTGTCATCCAGCAACGGGTCTTCGCTACCACACGTGAACAAAGCAGGTGGTAACTTCTTTCCGCGGAGATCAGCCCAGAAAGGTGAAATGGACGGGTCGCGGCGCTCAGCTTCTGTGGTGTTGGGAAGCAAGGCGTCAATGTAAGATTTCATCACGTCGTGGTCGATCACGAGGTGTGTTTCGTGGTGCAGGACGTGGGGCAGGAAGGAGGACATGTCGTAGCAGCCAAAGTGGAGGAGGAGGCCTTTGAATGCGAAACTTGGCATTGCCTCGAGGAGGTGCATGGCGACAAGGCAGGCAAGATGGCCGCCGGCGGACTGGAGATAGTTAGCACAAGCAATTCCAACATAGCCAGAATGAGACGAGAAGATGATGGAAAGGGAGACTTACCTCACCGCCGGTAAACATGAGCTCTCCGCCGAAAACTTCAGGTCCGTTTTTGACTAGCCATTCTGCGGCGTCGTAGCAGTCTTCTGCGCCTGCGGGCCAGGGGTCTTCCGGTGCGAGACGGTAGCCGATTGATACGACCGTTACTTCGAAGTGGTCGGCTTGGTATTTTAAGTAGGGATCTTGACTAAGATGGCTTGATTAGTTCTTCTTGCTTTAAACTTTCATTGGTCCTGAAATATGATTCTCTTCCATTCGTTCCTCCTTGAAACTCTGTGTCTACGAATAACCAAGCAAATCACACGTGATTGAGTTATTCCTACTGCAACCCTCACACCTTACGTTGAAGAACAAAGAGATATAGCAACTTACTAAGCCTCGCTCATCAACACCCATCCTCCGCCATGGATGTGCATATGTATCCCCTTACTCTTTCCACTACTCGGTTTAAACACTCGATATGGGATCTCCCGTCCAGCTTCCCTGGAGGGAAGAGAACCATTTACACCTTCCGGCAAGACGATGGGCTTAGCAAGGGGAGTTTTGCCTTCCCAGCGCATTTGGCGGTACGCCGGGGCTCCAACCTATCGACCATCGTGAGCGAGAGAGGGGCCAAGGGGGTGAGAGGAGGAAGACACAGCGTACCTCATACCATCTCGGTCCATCAGCCCAAATCTTGATCAACTTCTCGTTGAACTCGAGTGTCTGCTTGTCAATCGTGCTACGGTCAAACTTCGCCGCGGGGATCTTGACGTCGGATTCTAGTGACATGGTTGAATCTCTATGTTGTTTGGTTCCTTGCTCTTTCTTCCCAAGTCGTTTCAAACCTTTGCAAAAGATTTTGTGTCAGAAAATCAGATTACCAAAAAAAAGGTCGGAGAGCAGCGAACTGTATAGGAAAGTATATAACAAACAGGTTAGTAGCAATCACCGATTGTTACGTTACATGTCACATCGGGGCCGCCAACGGCCATACCACGAGCTCTGGCTATCAAAGTGGGGGCGGGGTATTTCGTATAAAGCCGGCCCTACATAGCTTGTAGTAAGTCGAGTTGACCACTTTCTGGCGCGTCCTGGTTGGACGAGTAACGATAGTTACCCTCCGAAGTATGTACGGTACCTGCATTTTCGGGTTACTGTTTCGGATGACTCCGGGTGGTTGTGGTACGAGGGTTCGTGATAGGAGTTCGGTGTCTTTACCGGTATCGGCGTCGACTCTCGCTACTCCGTGCAACATTTATGCCGATAGCGTACATTACACCCGTGGAGACAACGAGCACGAGCTCTAATACTATAGTTTGAAGAATCGAAATACGTGTATTAATAGAGGAGAGTAATCTATCGCGCAGGTTTCGCCTGCAGCCTTCCTGTCGCGACACCCATGTGCCCATTCATCTGCCCTGCTCCACCACCCTTCCCCTTCCGTCTCACCCGCCGCTCGTCTCTCACAAACAGACTCTTAGCCATTGAAACCGCAACAACCGCTGTACGGAAGGGATACATGACAACGTCCCAAGCCACTTGCAACATGGAGCTGATGGTACCAGCAATCCAGCTTAGCGTCATAGCAATCATGCCGGGTCGCTGACCAGTCCTAGCAGCTGCGGCAGCCAGGGCAAGTGCATCTTTCAGTCGTGCTTCTAGGTCTTGAAAGCGGGCTTCGATTTGCAGGGATTGCGCCATGTGTCTCTTTTCGTAGCGCCTGACTGCGCGGTTTAGGGCATCGAGTTGGAGTTGGGTTGTTTGTCGGACTTCTGCGCTGAGTTTCTCTACGTCTACCTCGTTGTTATTGCTATTGGTGGTTTGCACACCATCGACGCGACCCTCTAGTTCTGAAATCCGCTGTGAAAGTTGTTGTGTGTCTGCTGATCGAACTGGCTCCCTTGGAGCTTCTCGGACGATGCGCTGGAGGTGGAGGATGCGCTCTGTCCGCATCTTGATCAGGCGGTTGACGGGTGGTATCTCGGCGATGAGGAGGAAGATGCTGAGGTTGGCGTCGGATACTATGCCTTCTGCGCGCATGAGTTGGCCGCGGATGGTGTGCATGAGCAAGGCGCCGAGTAGAGGACCTAGGAAGCAGCCAACAAATGCTAGCATCTCTGATCGCTTCAATGCTTCGCGGGCTTCCTTCTGCGCTTGCGAGGCTGGCGCATCGATTGTAGTATTAAGCTTTGGAGCTTGCGGCTCTCGTGCAGGCTCCTCAATACTTCCCGGCGCATCCTCGTCTTCCTCGTGTATCGTGTCATCGTATGTCGCGTCATCTACATCGTCGTTTAGGTATCGTCGTTGCTGCGCTTCATGGTACCAGTCCCTGCATCCCGTTAGCTATGGAGTTCACGTGTAGTTACTGCATTGCTGTACTCACCATGGTACTTTGACACTCCAATGTAGGAACCACCCCGCTAATACCAGTATCAACACGTCTGTAGCGACGTCTGCGCCGTTGTCTACTGTCAACCCAATGATGGCGGGCACGACGGCAGCCACAACAGGCAGCGCAAGCCACCGTGACGGCTCATCCGAAGTCGCATGTTTGTCCATGTCATTCCTCCCACTCGTTCTGAGCAGGCTGTCGCTAGACGATCGCAACGAATAGCGCGAGTCGGAGAGGTCGGAAACGAGGGAACTGCGGCGTCGAGGGGGTGCTGTAGGTGGAGTGGAAGGCCGCGCACCCTCAGCAAACGTGGCGGCGCGGTTCAGCATCCTCTGGCGAAGTTGAGGGTGAATGCCTTGTCCATCGGCCGGCGCAGTGTCCATGACGGACCTCCGGGAACTGGTTGGCGCTGGGAAGAAGCAACGTGGAGGACAGCAATGTCGATCGGTGCCTAGACGTCGCTTCAAGAAGGCGCGACGTGACAGAGATGCGGATCACCTGATCGCGACGGCTGCAGGCGCCGTGGAAGCATGGCGGAGGCTCTGGTAATGCTCCCACGGACTAACCAGACGGTCGTGTGCCGTAGTGGAAGACGCCTCGGGAGCGAGTCGTTTGTCTTACGTCATGGCTTGTTTGCGTCAGTTGTAGAGCTGGGTCCCTGTCCGACCTCCCTCACGACATGCGCTATCGCTCAGCCTTCAACATATTGGCAGACTCATCCGGGAATCTTTCGCGGCGTCCAGGTGCTGTCAAGTGGTATTGACCATTCCTTGTATCTCCGGGCAATCAGACGATGGCAATCACTTTGACCATGCCGCACGTGTGGCGACCTACTGCTGTGTAACCCAGTGTATCTTGCGGGGATCATAGAGACGACAAAGCGCTGGAGAGACTCGTGCAAGTCTCAAGGGCAGTATATCATTCGATGAACACAAGTTTTTGTTGGTATACTCATGCCCGGTGCTTCTTGCCTGAATGCGACGATTCATCGCGCAGCTTCTCATCCACCAACACTCACTTTCGGACTCCGATTGCGACAAATACATCCAAAACTTGGCACCTCAACACCGGTTCCTGGAGGCATGTCACTGCAAGACTGGATAATCTGGATAAACCCGCCACGTACAACCCGACCTGCAACCATGCCACAGGTGCGGGGACTCAACACCTCCTTTCCCATTCCTCTATTCTCTGATTGCTCCTGTTACTTATCACAGACATGTCTCGTCTCCTTCTTGTTGGTTTTCTATTCAGATGTCGTCTTTTCGTGGTCTTTCTCTATTCAAACCCAAATGCGGAGTAGTCGAGGTCTCAGCACCATCACTACCACAGCACAGCAACCAGATATTGCGAGCACTAGGCACCGCTGTGCCGAAGCGACGGATCGTTCCGTTTCAGAAAGACTGTGATTGACGTTGGCAACCGCAATAAGAAAGATGCCATGCGAGCGGCAGATTGGCTTTCACCACTCAAGTGAACGTAAGTCGACCAAAAGATCCTATTGAGCCGTATTGAAGCTTGAGACATCGGAATTTTCTATTGAGCCTCCATAATACTCGGCCATAGCATGGAGTGATGAAGTCCACAACGTTGCTTGTCGACTGCTTACTACTCTGTTTCCGTTTCCTCTCGTTACAATCTCTTTCATATCTTAAAATCCCAACGCAGCCTAACAATCTATCCTGGAGATAGTAGCATCAACGGTTCCAACGAGATATCTTCAACGACGGTTACATTCCTGGACTGGATTCAGGCCTCCGAGTTCACAAAATCACAAGAGACTGTCTACCTTCTTCTGTTTTTTCCTCCTCTTTACACCAAGTTACGCAGAGGTTGTAATGGATCCAATCTCGGCCATGGTGGAGTTCATGACTGCCCACCCAGAGTTCTTCGGACCAAACGCCCTTCTCTACCCCTCCGCCATTCTCTTCCCTGCTTTTGCATTCCCATCCTGGCTCCTCTGTATGGCCCCTATGATCTGGCATTTCCGCCAAGCCAACATAGCGGCTGGCTCCCTCATCCTTTGGATCATCCTTGCCAACTTCTTCAATTCTATCAATGCACTCATATGGCCTCGCGACAACGTACAGGAATGGTGGGACGGTGCCGTCTGGTGCGACATCCACGTTCGTCTCCAAGTTGGTAGTTATGTTGGTATGACAGCTTCGGTGGCTCTGGTCATACGCAAACTCGCCATTGTCATGGATACGAATAACATGACAGTTTCTACAAGCCGGAAGAGCAGGATGTGGGCTAAGATCTGGGAGGTCGTGTGGTGTTGGGTTGTGCCAGGCTTCTTCATCGCCCTTTACTACGTCGTACAACCCGCTCGTTTCTTCATCTACGGTATCGTAGGATGTATATCGGCCCATGACAGCTCGTGGCCTAGCGTCGTCTTGGGCTTCATGTGGCCAACCATCGGCATGTTATTCGCTTCCTACTGGGCTTGTAAGTCCCACCTGTTCCTCCAACATGACCCCAACTAATCACACCCAACAGCCCTGCTCATCTACCGTCTCTACCGCTACCGCCGCGAATTCCACCGTCTAGTCGCTGCCCGCAACACTACCTCATCACGCTTCGTCCGCCTCTTCATCCTTAGTCTAGTCGTGGTCCTTGTCTACCTGTCCTACTCCATTTACCTCCTCGTCGACATATCATCATGGATCACAACGCCTTATTCCTGGTCTTCGGTCCACGATCCCGAGACTGTCAACAACATCGTAAAGATTCCCGTCATGGGGACTGTTAGCTTCGAGAAGTGGGTCCAGGTTGCGACGGGGTATATTACATTTTGTCTGTTGGGTACGGGGGTTGATGCGAATGCGCACTATAGGCAGGTATTGGTGAGGATGGGGGCGGGAAGGATTTTTCCTAGCCTGTACGCTCAATCTGGTGACAGGAGGATGCCGAAGAGGACTTCGGCTGCGAGGGCTTGGACCTCGAATGTTTCCAGCAAGGCGAAGAGTTTGCTTTGGTCCAGCAGATCGGGCTCAACACTTACCGGATCAACCATCACCGGATCGACCATCACAGACTCCACGAAGGACACTTCCGCTGACCTTACAAGCCATGAATTCGTAGGCCTGGACTCCATATCCCGTTTACACAGCATCACGACGCAAGACACATTGCTCTCACAAAAGAACAACGCTTCGACCTCACCCGTCCCATCCACACCCACACCACCACAACCCTCATTCTTCCGCCGCTACTTTGCCCGACCTTCTTTCCACGGACCACTGCTACCCCTCTTCTCACATCCCAGTATCGCTGAGATTTCTACTTCGAACCATACTTGCGCCACCGATACGAGTGAGTCGATCTCCTCGTCCACGACTATCAAGCCGCCTACTGGTGTACATGCGCGTGCCTGGGCTGAGGAGACTTTGCCCTCTTCCTCCATTGAGGGTCATGTAGTCGGTAATAGCGTACACGTTGTGAGGGAGGTTCAGATGCGACGGGATGAGAAGGCTGGGAGTGAGTGTGAGGTAGAGGGTAAGGAGATGAGGGATTGGGCTTGAGAGGAGGTGGTTGATGCAAGGTAAAATGCGACTGGTTGGCCGTGGGAAGATGGTTTACTTCATTGTGGACGTGATGACTGCATGTGTTTTGACACGATATATCAGGTATCTTTCTTTCCTTTCCGTGGTAGCATAGTGTAGTAATGAGACATTTGCGAAACCAATCCGTGCAGAGATATCTCTCTTGATCATGCATGGGTGAGAACTCGCACGTCACACTTGCATCGAATCCCTCTCAACCGGCGGTAAGCAATGAAAATTGGTTATCGATAAGTCGCATCACAATTGTTTGAAGGAGAGCATCACATTCCTAGCATCCCTGTCGGCTAAGACTCAGGTCGCGCACATTGCATCATTTTCACGAATTGTTAAATCAAGATCACACACAGAAGGAGCGATATTGTCGTGAAGCATTTTTGATTCCGTTATCGCATGTCCACATGGCGACGCATCAGTCAAAGGCAAGCCTCCGCAAGAGGAGGGCTCGCCGGTGTTAGAGTGACCGTCGTAATCAGTGTTCAGATAAACTCCCGTGAGAACCCAATGTGCCATTCAGGCGATTGACCAGCATCCCATGACGTTCCCCAGTCCAGCACAGTCGTCACCCTCCGAAGTAGTAGTTGAAAGCTCGCGTGCCGCAATCCGCCGTATGACGTAGCCTGAGGGTTGGATTGCGCAATGTAGTCAAATAAGTTGCGAGCTGGTCGGAAGGTCGTGCGTAGAAAACGTGTCGTTTAGTTATCGTGATCGTTCAGAACTGAGGTTGGAATTGCTGAGATTGAGGGGCGAGACGTTTATTTGCTAGAAACATTTGTTAGATTCGGACGGCACTGGCAGTGGTGATGGTGAGAACTTACGAACGAGCCCTAGTCTTTCTTCTCTTGCGCTTGAGACGTCGAACGCGCTTCTTCCTCCATTTGGCTCTCATCTTGTCGGCGGGCTGTGGTATGAGGTCAGCGGCTGTGCAATTGACAAGTCTGTAGTTGATGGCGAGTGCAGGTACACTCAAAGAGCAGTCATTGCGCTCAATTGAGTGTCGCAAGCGCCGCCATGGCTGGCTGGATATAACTTACATTGCTGTCGAGATGAGTGTCGTGAGTGTAGAACAAAGGTAGGAGCCGAGCTGGTCGAAATACCTAGGTGGGTGCGGGGCTCGCTTAGCTAGAACGGCTTAGCGCCCAGCCCTGGAACAGGCGCCAAGAGGAGTTCACGCGCCGCGTCACCTTCCTTACGTCAAACCTCATTCATTCACCGACATCATTCCGAAGCAGCGTTATTTCCTGTAGGGTAGCGTTGTGAGATGGCGGGCGAGACAGTCGCAAGGCTGCATGTTCAGGTCGCGGGTGATTATGCCCATGGTGAGTTGGTGATTTTCGAATCATGATCAGCAAACTAACGTATGCAGGAACGCACGGAGGCACGATCGAAGTGTGTGGGAACGAGCAGTTCTATCTTGGGAGGGATCCAGAGCTCTGGTGAGCGCTGTGTCCTAAGCTTGATATGATCCTGTTCTAATCCTTCTGTCAGTCGTTACTCGTGGAGCGACGACCTCACTATTTCAAGGAAGCACCTGCGCATCCATTGCATTCTATATGAGCAGGACCCAATTGTTAAGATCGCCCCGTTCGTTTACGCGACCGATCTCTCTGCAAATGGTACCTACCTCCGAAAGAGTAACTCAGAATACACGGCATCGCAAGATGCGGGCATTTTGATGGGTCCTAAGAGCACCTTCCTCTTGGAAGACGGGGATGAGATACGCATCTCTGACACCATCACTTTAGTCTACTACTCCAATATACCAGCAGAGCTTGTCAAGTTTACCGCCATTCAGGAGCGGGAGAGACAAACATTTGCATCGCGCTACCTCCTTACTGGGCGTTTGCTCGGCGAGGGCGGTTACGGCAAGGTACTAGTGGGCATTAATCAAGAGACACAGCGGCAACTTGCATGCAAGATGATCCGACTGGACAAAATGTACGACACATTGGCAATGTCAAACTTGCAGGAATCGGAGAGGAAACGACTGCCAAAACGAGTTACCAATTGCTTTCGCGAGTTCGATATTCTCAAAGACCTTGGCCATCCCAATATCATCGCCATCGAAAAGGTTTTCCGGAGTAACAACACCATTTACATTTTTGAAGAGCTCATCACGGGGGGTGACCTCTTTTCCTTTATTGAGTCCAAGGACGGCCGGATTGATGGTCTACATGCTGCGTTTATTATCTACCAGGTCTTGAAGGGAATAGAGTATCTCCACGATCAGGACATCGTACACCGGGACCTGAAGCCGGACAACATACTCATGTCATCTCTTGAACATGGTGCTCGCGTCATCATTACCGATTTCGGCAGTGCTAGATTCCTGCCCGGAAAAAACAGCCAAAATCCTCCACAAAACAACAAGTATCACCGAATGTTCTCTTACGTCGGTACCTTGGAGTACACGGCGCCTGAGATACACCGACTTAACAAGGCAATCCCAGTCGATGATGGCTACTCAAAAGCTGTCGATATGTGGTCTATCGGTTCAATTACGGCTACTGTACTTACCGGCGACTTGATGTTCAGTGACCGCAGACACCCGGAGTACGACGCTAACCCTCGCGGAGTGATCTTGGGTCTCGCAGCTATCTGTGATCTTAGTAACCTGGACGACCCTCATCACCCGTTGTGGGCCAATATCGGCTATCATCCAAAGGACTTCATCAAAGGTCTGCTCGTCCTCAAAGAGGAAGAGCGTATGACAGCATCGGAGGCTCTAGCGCACGAGTGGTTCTCATCGTATGCTGAAGACTTTGATAAGCTGTATACGAACGCGACTGCAGATTGGGGACCCAGAGACCAGAACCTTGATCTTGTCGAGATTATCCCCAAGTCGCTATATAACCGCGCTGCAGCTAATCTCATCGGCGGTGTTCAGAGTCCAGGCATCAATTCACAACACTTCCCTTTACGTCAGTCTCAAAATACGTATAGGATGGTCCAATCGGCTCAACGATGGCGTGGAAAAACTCCGTTGCCATCGATCATGCAAGACCATGAGGTAGTGCAGTTCGCCAGTCAAGTGAAGGCCTCATCTAACGACGAACGAGGTATGTATCATTTCACTGAAGATGCAGACGATGACAGTGATGGCTTCGAAAAGAGCTTGAACGGGGTTATGAACGACTACTCACAGCAAGAATACTACGAACATCTCCCGCCGCCTCCAGGATACGACTCTGTTCTAGTGAGCGAGACACCCATTGACGTGTATCGCCAATCGCAGCAGATTAAAGATCATGGTCAAGATTCCGTTCTGGTTCAAGAGACGCCGCCTGAATCCCTCTGCCAGCATGTGTACTTATCGGATGATGATGTATCGGTCTGCGATCTGTGAATCTGTGATGATGCGGCGAATGTGGATGGTGATGCGCAAGCTCCAAGCAAGCGAAGGAAGGTCTCGCATTATACCCGCTGAGCTCCGCTATTTGATCTTCGACTAATCTACAGAGGGACTAATAACATTATGCAGCAGCTGTAAGGGTATGGAAGATGTGTTTCTCAAGACTACTTCTTTCTGATACAGATATCTTTGATTACTGATATTGATCGTGTCACCAGGACGTGTTCTGATGTTGTTCCTCCCAGTCTGAAGTACCATAACGCACAGACAACATGCCTTTCAAATCTTTCGCATCACCATCGACACCTCGCCAGGGAACTGAATCCGCATATATTCAGCTGACTATTAGGTACCATCACGATGCTGATGCACCTGGCATCAAAAGATTTGTGGAACTGGCTGCGAAGGTGGCTAGCTTAGTCGAGGCGTCTAGTGAAGCGTCTTTCTTCTCGTTCTCGTTCCTGTTCCGACTCGGGCGCTGTGATATGATCCACTTTCCAATAGTGCAGTTTATGAATCGTGGCTATAGTAAGGTTCGAAGTCGCGGACTAATGCGTGGTAGTAAATGCACCATGACGTATGCCAAAACGCGCGACCAACCTCAACACTCCTTTCCTCTAAGTCGCGCGATAACGCGTCGCATCAATTCAGGATTTTTTTTTTTGTTTTCTAACTTCACTTTATCCCTCTCAAAGCTCACTTCGCTATCATGACGCCTACCAAAAAACGCCTCGAGAAAGAGTTCCAAAGCCTGCGCAAAAGTCCCGCAGAGGGCTACCACGTCGACCTCAAACACGGCGATATCTTCGAATGGATCGGCACCCTCCATGGCCTTGACAACTCCCCTTACGAAGGCGGCACTTTCGCCTTCCACATCCAGTTCACCGATGACTACCCAGAGAAGCCGCCAAAAGTAAATTTCACAACTAAAATCTACCATCCCAATGTTGATGGCAGAACGGGGGTTGTGAGCTGGAAGATGCTGGGAGAAGACTGGCATCATAATCACACCATGGAGAAGATATTGATGAGCCTGAGGACGCTACTTGATCACCCCGAGTTGGAGAGCGCGGTGGAAGTCAAGATTGCTAATGAATATGCGAATTCGAGGGGAGCATTTGAGATGCATGCAAAACAGTGGACGTTGAAGTGTGCTAAGGGAGGTGCTGTGTCGACTGGTTCTACGTAGGAATGAAAGAATGGACCATTACAATCTTTGCCCGCGCCTCTCGGCTCCCGCTTTTGCACTGGAAGGGTCAAACTCGATGCTCACTTTCAGAGACTTTGTCTCAGCCGCCCGTCCAAAATGGTCGTAGGCTTTCTCGATGTCACTGAACTTGAAGTCTGCGTACGCGAGCTGTCAGCACACACGTACCTCCTAGAGATTGTATATGAGAAGGGGTAAGAATGGGCATGCATACCGTGTGTGACCATGGCGCTCGCATCAATCTTACCGGCAGCAAACAAGTTCAACAATGTTGGAATCGTGTGTGCCGACACCAGCGCCATACTAATTGTCGTGCTCCTCGCCCACAGCCGCTCAATGTGCAAGTCCACGCTCTTCCCATGTACGCCCATATTCGCAATATGCCCACCCTTTGCAACAAGATCCTCGCACATGTTGAACGTAGCGGGAATGCCAACAGCCTCCATGACGACATCAAAACCATCGGCCTCGTCGATGTGCTCTGCTACAAGGTCGCGGACTGTGCCTTTTATATCCTTGACATTGTAGACATGCGTGGCGCCCATTTTCTTGGCGACGGAGAGACGGTAGTCATCCATGTCGAAGAAGACTAGCTTGCGGGGTGCGTACAGTTGCGCAGTCAGGCCAGCTGCGAGACCGACGGGTCCGGCTCCTACTATCGCGACGGTAGAGCCCGGTTGTACTTTTCCGCGCAAGACGCCGACTTCTAGGCCTGTTGGTAGGATGTCGCTGAATAGGAGTAATGTGCGCTCGTCTACGTTGTTGGGCACATGGTATAGCGAGGTATCAGCATACTTTATGCGAACATATTCAGCTTGACTGCCATCGACCGTGTGACCGAGAATCCAGCCCGCCTTCACACAGCAATCGGCCATGCTAGAAGAAAAGAACGTAAAGTCAGCGAGTCCAAAAAGAATTTGACAGCAATGGTCTGAGTATTGTTTACCTTTTCTTGCAGAACTGACAGGTACCACAACACGTGATACATCGAATCAGCACCCGGTCTCCCTTTTTGAAATTCTTAACTTCTTGCCCGGTTTCCTCGATTACGCCGATGCCTTCGTGGCCCAGAGTTCTTCCTGGTGTGCATGTCGGGACGTCGCCTTTCAGGATGTGAAGGTCGGAGCCGCAGATGGTAGTCCGCTGCATCTTCACCAGCGCATCAAGGCCACCGCTCAGCCGGGGAATCTCCTTGTCTACGAGCTTGCACTTTCCGACTCCATTGTAGATGAGCGCTTTCATGGCGGGCTTCGCTGCTGTTCCTGGGTCTGAGCTGGACCGACGGAAGTGGTTGAGCTAAGAGAAGAAATGCCGAATCCTCGGATGGGAGTTACTTTGTTTGGGGAATGACTGCAAGGTATCTTTATAGAGCTGGCGACCGTATTCAACATTCTCCAAAGCTCCGCACATGCTTTCTCAGCGGCGGACCGGAAGTAGATGGCGTGTTAACAAAAGAGGATGAGGGAGCCGCTCATCGGCACCGCAGGCACCACTCGAGTTGGTCCAACTATACCTCCATTTGTGAAAGTGCTTATACTTGCACTGCTTTCTCACGTTCTTGATCTGCATTGGTTGCCTCAACACCATCTCCACGGTGCATCTATCCTCGTTACCGACTCCCGAGGGCCAATGATGCTGCTTAGCGTCAATACATCGCTACTCGTTTTGTACAGCAAACTAGGAATCGTGATATAGCCCCGCGCTGACCCCAGTCGAGATGCCATAAGGGACCTAGTGTTAAACTGTGATCTACACGCGTAGTGAAGTGTGGAGAAGCTAAAGCTTGGATCTGCCCTGACACGAGTTCCCCTCACACCATTTGATCTGACCTCTATCCAATTCGATCAAGGCTTCATGGGCGAACAATGTGATGCCAGTTGTATCAGAAGCGCGATCTCGACTCTGGACTTCCCAAAAGCGGAGCCGACGGCTCCGAGCCGTGCTGCCCCACTTCTGCGCGAAGGGGATACGCAGCATCTCTCATGTGGAGGCGCGAAATACTTGGCAATGTGTCTGCAGCTTCGATCTGAAAAGCTAATGGCGGCAGAAGAGAGATGGAGATGTGTGTGATGTTGGGGTAGGAAGACCTGGTGTGGATATTTGGGTAGACAGGGGCCGGCAGGCTTTGGCGAGAGATCGGCACGAACGCGTCTTCACTCATCCGCATCAACTACCTAGGTAGTTGCACGCGTCACATTGAGTGCGTCACTCGTGAGGTTCTCTCTAGATGCTCGTACTCATGTTCGCTAGACATTGTGCTACTTTCACCAAAGCTCGCACTCCGGCTGGTCAAACTTGTTGTAGGATTCCACGTGAAATCGGAATCGTAGAGTAAAGAGTTCTGCAGATTGAACAGGTGCGATGCTCCAGTTCGTTCATGTTCAACCAAAGCCGCAAGTCGCCCATTAGCTTGACGACGTCGTCTTCACATGCTAGAATACTTGTCAGTCTCTCACATATGTGCTTTGTTTATGCTGGTTTCATTCAAACTAGATGTGCATTTCATTGAATCTCACGTTACCATGAGAGCACGCTAGGTAACTTTGAGTCATACCAGCGGCTACCTAAGCCAAATACAGTGGTTTACTATGAAAGAGAGAGACCTCGAGATCAGCCCCGGTACTGACAAGTGGATCGTAAACATAGCCACTACCAATGAGGCGGTAAATATTCTCTGGGCTGGGTTTCATGTTCAATGTACCGGCAGAACGAACTATGAGTACCATCTTGAGATACCGAGGTCCCAAATTCAAGGTATAGCCACTCCTCGCTGCATGCAGGTCGGAAAGTGGAACAAGTTGGTCCCCAACCTCAAGGTGCGCATTGCTGTAACCGACCGATCGCTGCTTGGTGCGGGGTATTTCGAAGAAAAACATTTTCTTGCTCTGTCCAATGATCGTATTTAGCATCGATTGAAGTGCGTCGAGATTCATCAAGTGAAACTTTGGGTCGCATTGTGGATCAGTAGTATACACCTTGCTCCGCATGCGCTGCAATTGTTGTGCCAGCATTCCTCCCATGTCAGATGTGCGATGGGATTGTTGTACCATACACTGGAGCATGTCAAAAAAAGATTTGAGATCCCCAGCAGCAGTTTTCTTGTTGACTTTGGTACAAAGGTTTGAACATTGCTGGAGCAACGTATCTCCAACAGCTTTTTCCGCTATGATGGGACAAGCCCTATACTGCACGTGCAGAAGAGACTTGCAAGTATTGACCCATATACAAATGACACCCACGGGCCAATTCTTAAGTTTTGGGGGCTGGAAGAAACTAATTGGATTTGGCAGAACAACTGGCTCAAGCCAGCTCACACGCCAGTCGGGCGCCCAAGACGCCCAACTATGTTGCTGAGCGGAGTGCTGACGGGAGAGCACAGCTTCGATGATTGTGGTCTGCTTTCCAGCCCTCATGCAAGCGAGTGCGAAGGCCTCATACGTTTGCTTCAGATCCAACGAATAGTTGATATCCATGAGAATGTCGTCGTGAGGCGAAGTTGCAGTGGATGATCGCATATTAGACGCCATATTGTACAGGGCAAAAATCCGATCGCGAGGATCCGCACATCCATGCTGATCAAAGTCATCCATTAACTTCAAGATATCGGTATCGGGATAGTTCTCACCCGTGATTGAGAATCGTTCGAACAGGGCGTGATGTCTCCACAGCCGTGCTAATCTTGGGAGTGAATTCCAGACTCTTGTTTCTGGGTTGGCCGTCTCCAGGTTCAAGGTTGACAGGATTGATATAGCACCCACGAATCGAGTCCAGGTAAGCTCGACATCACCGTAAATCAGACGGACCTCCGAATTGAAGGCAACTTCTTGTACGATCCAACGTCTAGTGAACCAAGGGAGACGTAGCAATTCAGACACCTCCCCGAAACGTTCCCAGAATAGAGCAGTGACCCCCTTTCCATCGGGTTCCATCATCTCAGAAAGGACATCCTGCCTTCTGTTTCGAAACATGTTTTCCATCCTTTTCAGAGTCAGCTCTAGGTCGTGTGAACGACTGACTGCTGAACCCGGGTCGAGCCAGGCCAAAACTGTCTTGGCATTCTGGAAGATTTGTCCCATGAGAGGAATCTGTCTTCCTTTTTCCACATCATCGGCTTGATTGATACATGCAGCGTCCGCCCACAGGGCCCGGTCTTTGTGACTGTGACGCAGATACCGCAATGCGCGATCGAGATTCTCTGTGACTAGTACGTGTGTGCCATCGCCCACGTAAAGAGGATATGTCAGGTTTGGCTGGCCCCATGTGTATGATATGGCTTCGTAGCGACCTTGGAGTTCTGACAGCCTAGCTTGCTGGAAAGTAAATTTCAGAGGCGCATCTCCAGACGAGGCCGGGTGCAGTATCATGAGCCTGATGTACTCCGGCCCTCCCAGTGCTTTATACGTGTATCTGCGGACGCTGTGGTTGTCGAGATGTGTTACACGCTTCCAACGCGGCTTGAGAAAGAATGAGAACGGCATTGAAAGAGGAAGAAATTCAGTAGAAAGAACGACTGAACACGCTGCAGCACACCTGTACACGAACCACGTGTATGCAGCGAGGCTGCCCGAACGGTGTAGCAGAGCCAATCATCGAGGTGGCTTGTAAGAAGCCGCGGCACCACGACATGCCGTTAGCGACTCCTGATTATTCTGCTGTTAGCTGAGACCTCATCTCATGCACTCTGTCCAGCGCGACAGCCGTATGCCTGAGGTTGTTCTTCATTGCTGCTGGTGTTGGGCCGGATGCAAGCACCAGGAACGGCTGCAGATCCCTGGCTAGCTCCAACGTCATACACCGCACGGCCTATCTCGCTGGCTCGCCCGAGCCGACGCGACAGGAAATCTTCGTGTCTCCCAACTCGATACCATGGCCCGGTAGCCAACGACCAAAAATCCACAACAGTCGCCATGGCAGACAACGAAAGCCCCGAGAGGCGGAGACCGCGCAGAATGAGCGCCATGTACCGCCGTGGCTCCCACCTGAGCGAGTACGTGTGACACGGCCAGCCCAGCTGCAAGGCGCGACTAATGGCGACACCAGGGCAAGCTTCATGGAAGATGTCGAGATGGCCCAAGATGAGGTATACGAACTCGGGCCCATGCCTCTCCCTGCTCCTTCCCGCCCTGCCTACAACCCTCGTGGAAGGAAGCCTGGCCAGCAGCTGACGCCAAAAATCCAGGTCTTCTCCGGTCCCATGAGCGAAAGCGTCCCCACGAGCGTATCCGGCTTCCGCCACCGACGGTCGCGCGCCGACTCGAGCGCCAGTCTGACGAGTTTCGCCTTCTACGATGAAGAGCAGGATTCACAGGGTGAGGACGAGGATAGCGCAATCTTGGAGGACGGAGAGAGCACGTACAACAATGGCTATACCGTGTCGGAACTGGAAGACCTCGAGGCGGGAACATCGTCTCACTCATCACAATCACCGACACCATCGCGGCGGAAATCGAGCGGCAGCAGGAAGTCCTCTGAGAGGCCATTACTGCGAAGGAAATCCTCGGCAGGCAGCACAGGCTCAGGCATCGACTGGAGAGGGCGCAGGTCCAACCAGAAGATCTACATCATGACCGAGGATCTTACCATCGTCATCGCCGGCTTCAAGACATCTCTCTTTGGCTATGCGCTGTATGCGCTTCTATGCATGGCGACACTGGGCCTCGGCTGGCTTCTGTTCAGATGGCTGCCACGCTGGAGGGTCGCCATAATCGGAAAGACCACACCGCTTAAGGAGTGCGACTGGATCGTCACCGAAAATCAGTGGGGAGAGTTCGCGGTACAGAGCGTCAGCAAGCAGATCTACGGACGCTCGCTATCAACTGTATTCGGCGACCCTGAAAAGGGACGCCCGAGGGAATGGGATGAGGAAGATGATCCGCTCATTGGCGAGCTAAGATGCTTGGACTACCGCTATATTCGCTTCGTATACCACCCCATCAAGGACAAGTTCGTGCTCGCAAACACCTGGAAGGATCCCACCTGGACCGACGTCTCGGCCCTGCGCGAGGGTCTTGACAACGATGAACGCGACTACCGCGAACTTGTCTTTGGAAAGAACCTGATCGACATCGCCGAGAAGACCATCGGTCAGCTTTTGGTTGATGAAGTCTTCCATCCTTTCTACGTCTTCCAGATTGCCAGTCTGATCCTCTGGTCCATGGACGAGTACTACTACTATGCTTGTGCCATCTTCATCATCTCGGCAGTCAGTATCGTCACCACGCTCGTCGAGACAAAGGCTTCCATGAAGCGGCTACGTGAGGTTTCAAAGTTCGAGTGCGAAGTCCGTGTACTACGCAGCGGCTTCTGGACTCACGTCGACTCTGCGGAGCTTGTACCCGGAGATGTCTACGAAGTCACCGACCCTTCGCTTGCCTTATTCCCCTGCGACAGTCTGTTGCTCTCTGGAGACTGTATTGTCAACGAGAGTATGTTGACTGGCGAGTCGATTCCTGTTTCCAAGATTCCCATGTCGAACCACGCCCTGGATTTGCTTGACCTCAGCGCATCGGCTGTTCACCCAGAGGTTGCGCGACACATGCTGTTCAGTGGAACCAAGATCATCAGAGCTCGCAGACCACATGAAGACCATGTTGATGATGAGGCTGCTGCATTGGCCATGGTTGTGCGCACTGGTTTCAACACCACCAAGGGCGCGTTGGTCCGATCTATGCTCTTCCCCAAGCCCTCAGGTTTCAAGTTTTACCGCGACTCCTTCCGATACATCTCCGTCATGGCGTTCATTGCCATGATTGGCTTCGTCGCATCTTTCATTAACTTTGTACATCTGGGTCTCGCGTGGCACTTGATCGTTGTACGAGCTCTCGATCTCATCACCATTGTCGTTCCTCCTGCGCTGCCGGCCACGCTCACCATTGGTACTAGCTTCGCCCTGTCACGCTTAAAGCAGAAGCAGATTTTCTGTATCAGCCCGCAGCGAGTCAACGTGGGTGGTAAGCTGGATGTAGTTTGCTTCGACAAGACTGGAACGCTTACTGAGGAGGGTCTCGATGTCTTGGGAGTTCGCGTAGTCGAGCGACCCAGGAACAGGTTCAGCGAGCTCCTTCCAGACGCCTATGACATCCTTCCCGCATCCCAGCACGACCGCGACCCAACCGTAGAATACCTGGCACACAAGACTATCCTATACACCATGGCCACCTGTCATTCACTTCGTAAGATCGATGATGAGCTAGTAGGCGATCCACTCGACGTCAAAATGTTCGACTTTACCGGCTGGAGCTACGAGGAAGGAGAACAGAAGGCTGGCAACGGTGGTGATGACGATGAGCAGAAGCTGTCGCCGTCTGTCGCTCGACCACCACCAGGCCGAGAGTACGACGTCGACGATCTTGAAGACGAGGCCAACAGGAGGCAGGTCGAACTTGGTGTGCTGAAGGCATTCGAATTCGTCTCCCAGTTACGAAGAGCTAGTGTTATCGTCCGACAATTTGGTTCAAAGAGCGGACAGGTGTACGTCAAGGGCGCGCCCGAAGTCATGAAGGAGATCTGCCGACCTGGAAGCTTTCCTACTGATTACGAGGAGCTTCTAGCCTTCTACACCCACCGTGGATTCCGTGTTATTGCCTGCGCAACAAAAACGATCCCCAAGCTCAACTGGCTCAAGACACAGAAGATGAAGCGTGAAGAAGCAGAGAGCAACCTGGACTTTGTCGGTTTCATCATCTTCGAGAACAAGCTCAAAGATAGCACCGCCCCCGTCATTGAAGAGCTCGAACGCGCGAACATCCGCAAGGTCATGTGCACTGGTGACAACATCCTCACCGCTATCAGCGTAGCCCGCGAGTGCGGCCTCATCAACAAAACAGCGCACTGCTTCGTCCCGCACTTTGAGGAAGGTGACTCCCGAACAGCATTATCGAAGCTGAGCTGGGAAAGCGTAGACGACCCTGTCTTTAAGCTCGACGACAACACTCTGAAGCCCCTACCACCGCCACCAGAGGCCGACGTATCTCTTCCCTACGACATCTCCAACCTTCGCAACTACAGTTTGGCCGTCTCCGGCGACGTTTTCCGCTGGATCGTAGATTTCGCCTCGGAATCCACGCTTAGGGAGATGCTTGTCTGCGGCCAAGTCTTCGCCCGCATGAGCCCCGATGAAAAGCACGAACTGGTTGAGAAACTACAGAGCATAGACTACTGTGTTGGTTTCTGCGGTGACGGTGCAAACGACTGTGGTGCACTCAAAGCAGCTGACGTGGGTATCTCCTTGTCGGAAGCCGAAGCCTCGGTCGCCGCGCCTTTTACTTCCCGGCAGTTCGACATCAGCTGTGTGCCTCAAGTTATCAAGGAAGGACGTGCAGCGCTTGTTACCAGTTTCAGCTGCTTCAAGTACATGTCTCTCTATTCCGCCATACAGTTTTGCTCGGTCAGCTTCTTGTATGCGAGTGCATCCAACCTCGGCGACTTCCAATTTCTCTTCATCGACCTGCTTCTCATCCTGCCCATCGCCATCTTCATGGGCTGGTCCGGCGCCTACCCCGTCTTATCCCGCAAACGCCCTACCGCGAATCTCGTGAGCAGAAAGGTGCTTACGCCGCTGCTTGGTCAAATGGTGTTGTGCATATTGGTCCAGTACCTCGCTTTCCACTTTGTGCAGAAGCAAGAATGGTACATGCCGCCCGTCATTGACAAGAACCACAGCAACTCGCTCAACTCGCAAAACACGGCGCTGTTCCTGACATCTTGTTTCCAATACATCTTCTCCGCCGTCGTTCTCAGCGTCGGCAAACCGTATCGCGAACCCATGTCGCGCAACTTGCCGTTTGTCACGACGATTTTTGTTACCTTGGCTATTACGCTGTACATGCTGTTTGATCCTGCGGCGTGGGTTATGAGTGCGATGGAACTTACCTACCTTGACACGCCGTTCAAGGTTTTTATCATGGCGTTGGGATTGGGCAACTTTGCCATGGCGTATCTGGGTGAGAATATGTTGTTCCCTGGGCTGAGCAAGTGGATTGGCGTTGCCAAGGTCAAGTTTGGTGGGCAGGGGATGCAGAAGAAGAGGAAGGAGTACAAGGTTATACAGGAGAATATGAGGATGTAGTCGTGATGTTATGGACGAGTTGAGAAGAAAGAAAAGAACTGTGTAGAGGCGTTTAGCATGTAATGTATATAAAACTTTTGTCGAGCTTTTGAATAGAAGTGCACCGTTTTCAACATCTGAACGCAAACACAGTGGGTGATGTTTATAGTCGCAGGCTTGTCGTCCACCCGCAAACGTACCTAGCCCATTAGCAGGTGGCACGTAGAAGCGCTGCATCCCACATCAATAAATAACGGCCCCAGTTCCATGATTTACAGATCGGCGTTGCCGCAAGGCTGGGCCAACAAACAAGGCTGCATAAGCGGAATGACACGATGCGTTCATTGGCCACGCAGTGTCCCTCCCCTGTGAATCGTCTTGACAAGTCTCTGCCACGTGAGCACAGGGTCAAGGCCTACAACAAGGTTGTACTCGAAGTGGAAATTGTCGTCAAAATACAGTTAGGCGACTTCAAGCCACCATCAAGATACAGTTAAGGAATGCGTCCAGACGCAAGCCACATTAGCTAGGTGGTCCCGAAAAGGGCTAGCTCGCGCGAGGCTGACCTACTTCCCCACGATCTACCAGAAGACATTGGACCAGTAACCCCTGCCTACATGCACCGTGCCTGGTGGACTGGCATCCAGACGCAAGTCTAAAAGTTCTGTTTTCGACTTTCTTCAGCTGGTGTTCTTCAAGCCACGGCGTTGGTTGACGACGCTGGCTGATTCGAACTGCAGCTCTGCAAGGCTGGCACTGCATGTGCGCTTTCAGGCTTACCGGTTAGGGATGGTATGTATAGCGGAAATGTTCGTGATGGTCAAAGAACTTTCAGGGGGTTGTCGAATACTTAACCTGTCAGTTCTCTGCTGTTGAACACTGGGGTTCACTTCAGCTTTCTCCTTGATTAGCCGCAGCCATGGTTCACTTCAAGCCCACTAGTGTATTGTTCGCCGTTGCGGTCTTCATCACCAAGAACGTTGTCGCTGAGGAAGCGCACGCACTTGAGGTCTTCCCGGAACTGAAGGGCACCGGTCCATTCGAGATTGCCTACAAGGATCCGGAGACGAACAAGGTGGTTGTCGAGCACGTTGACGAGCATGGAGAAAGTGCTATTGAGAAGCGTACCTGTAAGTCAAGCTTCACTCTTGTTGAAACCCATCGCTGACTATTGCGTCAGACCAAGTGAACCAAGATGTGGTTGCGAAGCTCTTAAGAAACCACAATGGGTATGGTTTCTGCAAAGGCTTCTGCCCGGCATACCAACCACAGAAGCCGGTGACGCAGACCAACTTGAAGACTTTCACAAAGATTGTGACCGTCACAAGCTCGGTTGTTCCCGCACCAGCCACTATCACTTTGACAGCGACTGGCGAAGCGCCAGCAGATTCCACGGTACTGCAGACGACCACGATCTCGGAGACAGCAACGACAACTGTTACCGATGCGCCTACCACCGTCTCAGATGTTCAAATCGTAAGCCTTCAGCACTCCATCCGTTGAAGTTCTCATCCTAACAATACTTTCTAGATCACCATCACATCAGTAGCCACCACGACTCTCACCCAGTCAACTACCTTGAACTTTCCCAGTGCTCCAACCCTCAAAGTCCGTCACGTCAGCCCGCCATCCTGGCTGAAGGGCGTAGCGAACAATCTCATCTGCCCAGCATGCACCAAGGTCTGGCCTGCACCTCCAGCAAAGACCGTGTCCATATGTAAGACAACGACTGTAACAAGAACGCAAACTCGAACTTCAACCGCTCCCCGCGCGACAGCTACCACCACCGTCAGCGTTACGCCTACAGCCAAGACCGTGACGGCGGTCGTCTCTACAACGCTCACTCTCACCGATTATACCACTGTAACACCTATCGTCACCGTACGTACACCCTCACGTTTTTTTTTATGAGGCACGATTGACTAACCCTGAACAGGAAACTTCTACAGCTACAACCACCTTTGCTACAACCACCACCAGCACGACCACCCAGACACTCTGCCCACAGCAAACAGCCGACGTATACGGCATCCAGGCCGTCCAGCCCGGTACGTTGAAGAACGGTCCAAGCGGCAGAACCGCCGCTGAGTGCTGTCTGGCTTGCTTCAGCGACCCGGATGGATGCACCCAGTGGTGGGCGTACACAAACGGAAACTATTGCACGTACTCTGTTCCAAAGTCGGGGCTAGGAGCACCGAGCGGCCTATGTCCGAATGGAAAGGGTAACGGTGCGCTTTTTGTTGGGGCTGCAGGGTCAAATCCTGGTGGCTTTGGTGGGCCGGGACAATGTGCGGCGTAGATGGATTGCTGATGAGTGTTGTGTATGGGAGGGTATTCTAATGTATATATCTTAATACCATCCTGGCCTACCAAGCTAAGCTATGGTGGGATGAGACCTATATATACCCTAGTGACTGCTGTCCTTGGCATCATGTAACATATGTTTTTGTGCACTCTTGACCCTTTTGACACGACGGACGTGCTGGTGATAAGACGCAGGCACAACGCTGTTGAGTTACACTGTATTGTATCGCAGTAGAAGTGTGTTCCCAAACACTTACTTAGCTTTACTGTATGCAGCTGTCTATATACTTATCTAAAAAAAAAACTTCTACCATTGTAACCGAGGCCATGAATCCTATGCAGTTCTGGAAAGCCACCGTGGAGCTCGATGTTGGAAGTGGGGTATCTATAATTTAAGGCTTCTACACTACAGCCATCCACAGCCACACGAGGAAGGGGAATGAAAAAGAAAGAAGAAGATGAACAGGACTTATGTGAACACTGTCCAAAACACCGCAAACACGCGGTTACATAACCCTTCCCCCCAAATCATAAACTTCGTCAAGCACAAATTTCCTCCCTTTCCTTTCCTTTCCTTTCATTTCCAACACTCTCCATCACTACCACAGCAACGCGCTAAGAAAAGAAGAAGAGGAAGTGAAAAAAGAAGAAGCTTTTCAGACGCCCTTAAAATCATCATCTCCTCCTCCTCTTCGCACCCCCACCCCCAGTAGTTCCCCTCCTCGTCTCATCCTCCACCTCCTCCACCGTCGCACTCCCAGCCGGCGAAGTCGACGCACTACTCGCCCCACTCGCCGCCCCATTGCCCCCAACTCCCTCTTCATTTCCATTCCCTCCTCCATTAACACTCAGCAGACCCGAATCATCCTCTCCCATGCCACCATTCGCCGTCGTATCCGCAAAGTCAAAAGCCGGGTCCCCCCCACCATTCACGCCATCGACAACGTCAAACGGCGTACTATCGTCAAAGGTAAAATCCGGTATACCACCATTCGTGTTATTAGCAGCGACAGCGCCATTTGCTCCACCACCGCTCTTCTGCTCCGACGTCATCACTTCTGGATTCGCAGCATCCCCCGTCGACGTAAAGAAATCATCGTCATTGACAAAAGAATCCATGTTAAGATCGTAACCACCCGGTTCGCCGAGCCCACCATCCCCACCACCAAAATATCCATCGCCGCTCTCGCCTAGCCCAGAGATTTGTCCAGTGGGGCTGAGTGGCAGTATTCTCTCGTGGATTCCCTGTATCTTGGCGTTTTGCTGATCGGACAGCTTCTGCAACATCTCCAGCTGCTGCTGTGTAGCTTGGTACTGCGCTAGGTCGCCTAGTAACCTGTCCATCTCGGGCGGATGCGGGTTCGTCAAGGCATTGTTGGTATTCTGCGCACCTGCGTTATTCACAATCTGCGAGAGGACGTCGTTCCGTTGTTGGGGGGTAAGAGGAACATGGCCATCGGCAGTTTGGTAATTCGACAGCGCGGCTGCGTAATCGAAATCTGTGGGTGGAGGACCATTGGTGCCGGTGGTGCCAGAATGGTTTGCAGCAGCGTTGTTTGCGTTTTGAATGGCGGACATTATGGCGGAGTTCTCGGGGAATTGCTGAGCACTTTGTTGGGCGGGTTCGGGTTTGACTTGCGAGGGGGTTATGCTTTCTCGGCTCTGTTGCTGGGGGAAGGAGGATTGTGATTGTTGGCGATTCATCGATACTGAGGGGCGGAATACTGATTGGCGGCTTCCCGGGCGTGTGATGGGACTTGCGAGGGGCCGGGCTGTTGGGCTCATGGTTGTGGCGCGGCCGGTGGTTGTTGGTGCAAGGTAGTCCTGTTGAGTTGGTCCTGGTGCCGGAAGAATGGCCAGTGGTTTTTTGTTCCTCTGCAGCTGCGGTGACTTGTGAGTATCTTGCATGGGATAGTCGTCAACATCCACAACATTACCGTGAGGTTGTTGTCGTGCTGCAGGGAACATATCCGCAAGGTTCATATTCGCATTACCTTCTAGACTCCTGTTATAGAAGGTAGCAAGGAATGTCAAGATGGCATTGATGGAGTTCTCGTGGCGGTCGTGCAGGGCCTGGAATGACGTCGCTCGTGAATACAGCTCCTCATTCTGGCGTTTGATCTGGGTGAGAACATTGGAAATGAGCTTTTGTTGCTGTTGGAGCTCCCTGACTTCGACTCGTAAGCTGTTGTATTCGGACCGCGGGATCATGGCCATTTGTTCGTTTCCCCTGACAGCCACTTCCTCGACGTAGCCTCCACCTCCTGTGTCTTGGATGTACTTGCGATCCTCATCACTATCGCCCTTGTTCTCCTCATCTCGTTTCCGTTTGGGTCCAGTGACAGGATTCTTCGGTTTCTGGATCAGCCACAGTAGTTCTTGCCGACCGCGCTTGAAGTACTTGTTGTAGTACTCGCTTGGGGCTTTCGCTTTAGTCTCGCTAGCTTTCATGGAGTTGTCCGACAGCCCAACCTTCTTGTGGAATCCGTACATGTTCAGTTGCCGTACAAATGATGCGTAGTTGTTGTGTTTGAAGAGCTCGGGTATGAGTGTCCTTGCGAATTCGTCTTCGTCAAGCACGATGAAGGAGTTGCCGTCGTCGGACCATCGAATGAGGTTTTCGTTCTTGTTGTTATCCAGAAAACTATCAACGTCAGTCATCCACCCCATCGTCCCATATTGCGGGCACTTACCTGCTCAACTTCTGCACAAACGGTGGAATCTGTTTCCGCTTCGCTTGTGCATCCTTCTTCGCGATAGCCGCCTTCTGCTCGAGCTCCTCGTCATCGTCCACAGTCTCCCACTGTTGCGTTGGACTAGGAAAGCCATCCCATTGATTCCGCCGCGGCGCTGGTGCGAGTTGCTGGTTTGTATTCCGCCGTACCAATTGTCCCGTCATCTCGGCGCCGTCGGTGTATCCGTCCAGCGACACGACCCGATTGTGCCCTCCTCCCATGCTCTGGCCGTAGTTGTCGTATAGCGGGGGGTCGGTGAAGTTCATATCTGCGCCTGCTGCGGGGTTGCTCCAGTCCATGTATGGATCAGTTGGCGCGGGAATGTCATGCTGGTATGTCTGGGTTGGAGCCTGCGGTGAAGCGCCCGGCGCGCGTCGCTTGCGGCTCGTCATGTGTGTTTGCGCGCCTCGCGTGGCTGAATGGAGTGAAATATTCAGAGGATGTCGTCTCCTGTATCTATCCGGGTGATCCCGTTACTTGAAAAGATTCTTCGCTTGTCCTCGAGCGCCGCTTTCAGCCTTGTTGATCTCGTATCAATCGCGAAGCCGTGCAAGGTGCAGATGGGCGAACGGGACCAGCGCTGGTACCCTGATGGCGGTTTCTGGATAGCGCAGTTCTGTCACGATTATGTAGAGGGTCTGGTCCAGATTGTTGTCTCGTTGTCGCAGTTTTACTACACCACCGCGTGATTGTTCCCAAACACTTGGTCGAGTCGGACAAAGGATCGGAGGGCGTTTCAGCAAAGGGCGCAAATAAAAGGCCTCAGAAGGCGGTTCTGGAAAACGGCGGAGAGATGAGCAACAAGGGCGTCGCAAGGCAGGCAGGCATTCGGCGGAGGAAGGTGAGTCCGATCGTCTAACTTTTGGTGGAGAAATCCGGGGTACAGGCGTCCAATGGGAGGGCTAAAAAGAAGATGACCGCGTTGAAGAGTATGCGCAACGTGTTCAGATGCGCTGGGAGCCTTGGGATGAGCGGTTGAATACTGTGCAAGGCAGCGTCGGCACTGTCGCGTACGAATGCTCACGATGAGATCAGTGGACTTCACCGCACTGCCAGCGTCATTCGCTTAGTCCCACGCTAACATGACTCGCGGCCAGACCTGGAACCTGTCAGTCGTACTATGCTAACGTCCTCCGCTTTTCAGTACGTACACTTGGTATACATATCTCGTGAATCATCTCAACAAACGTTCCATACGACATGTAGGCGTCAAAACTTGTCATCCCACCCCCCTCAGCCACGTCGACCCATGATCCCCTGTATGATTTGCATTCGGCCCGTCTGAGGTGGAACGATGGGAAAGTGCCTTGAAATCCGATGCTTTACAACAGATTTCCCATATATCAGCCGATCACGGCGCGTGTTCATCGAGATTTATTACGGAACGAGTAAAGGTTCAAGCCAGGGACTCCTGCGCCGAACTTCACGTTGACAAGACCCCCCCACTGCCTTCCCTCGGCCATTCCTGTACCTTACAACAGATCTCCTATGTATTCTTCGATTAACAGCACCTGCTCATCGCGATCTGTCATAGCGCGAGTAATCCTACATGCCAGGGTCTCAGACATGGAACGTTCTAGAAGCTACTTGATTTGGTAAACTACTGGTTGAGTCGTGGTTTGTAGTGTACGTGAACTGGTGCGGCTATATTCTCCGAAAGGTGTCAACCAGCTGGGACCGTTTGATTGGTGCTGGTAGTTGGGTTAGTCTTGCGGGTACCGTACCATACAGATACTGATTGAGCCAAAGCTTTGAACGTACGATACTTGAACATGGATGGCATCAGTGGAAGCAACCTCGGCATTGGCAAGATGATTGATGTGCAAATCTGAAATTCACTAGGGATCGGAGAGGGTGACTCGGACAAGGCAGCAAATGGAGATTTGTTACAAGGTTGTATCGGCAATGGCAGATGCCGAGCAGCATATTTGTGAATAGCATCGAGTCCAACATCCAGGTTTTGATCTGATCATGCCATTTCAACAAACCGGCATCGGAGATACCATACTGGAGATCATTGACATGGGAATCTGAAATCGGCTAGAGATCGGGAGAGTAACCAAGATAATGCAACACAGGACAGCATGTCACAAGATTGCGTCTATGACGATTAATGATGCCACAACTCTTAAGAAGCCATGTAGCCAGGTCACAATCGCTGCAACTCTCGAATCAAGGCACCAAAGCTGAACTCAAATCCAGCAATAGCAACGTTACTACAAACACATAGTCTCACGTCACTAGATTTGCACACTGAACAGAACCAAGTCGAGACGACAGGCTTGAAAACAACACACGCATGGAAATCCAAAACGTACAAAAAGACAAAACGGACAATCAATTCACCTTCCATTACCGGACTTTGGCACCAGGCACCATCCAAAAACTATAGTGCTAAGAAGCGATTGCAATGAAAACTGGAAATGACAGGCAAGAATCAAAAAAAAAAACGAAGCAAAAGAAATCAACACCAGGAACAACTTAGATGCAACTTTCATCCAGACTTTGAGAAAAAGAAAAGGCGATAAACTAGACGTACGATAACGTGGAGAGTGTCCCCCTAATACAAAACAACCCGATACATTTCATGAACATGAACTAATGCTTTTTCTGCTTTGAGCGCGAAGATGTTTAGAAATGCCAAGGGTTTGTGAGGAAAATGCCAAAATTTGGATGATAGAGGGGGGGATTTGGGTGAGAGTGAAAGGGCAGCGAGCCCGATTTAAGTTCTGGATCTGATATACTAGTGACAATGTCTTCTCTACCGTTCGTAGCATCATTCTTCGTATGCATCGTAAAGTTTCAATCCAGGGGTGTGGTGGGTAGGTAGGTTAAGTATAGCGAGGGCACCGAATTGTAGGGGGAGAGCGGGCGGTAGAGGCCGTTAAATATTCGTCGTCTGTGTTCGCGTCTGTATCTTTGGCGTTCGTTCGTTCATAGGCGCCGTCGCACGTGAAAGGAGTGATACGTGCGAAGACTAATCGTTTTCGTTTGCGTGCAACAACTTCGTTTGCGTGCGTGTAGCGTGGGCCGGAGATGCAACTATTGGCCGACGAGGATTTCGACATTGGACTGTGACGAGAGCTCGTCAGAGTTGCGGTTCTGGTGTCCGTTCTGTCTTGGTCTTCCAAATCCCTGGCCCCTTTCTGGAAGCGGTCCACGAGGTTGCCTGGATGGTCTATCATCGTAGTTTGTGCTGAAGGACCTATGTCCACCAATGGGACCCGGAGCATCCCAACTCGTCATCTGGCGCAGAGACCTTGGGCTGCTGCTGTTCTGCGGATACCCACCCCCAAGCTGCATGCGGCTCATTTCGCGCTCCAACAAACCATCATCCCGCTGGCTCATGGATCCAGTCGTAGGTGTACCATTAGGATTTGTCGAACTTCCACTGTATCCCAATCCTTCGAGTGATATTCCACCGGGGCGTCCGATCGGATGGCTAGCGGTGCTCGGCGCCGGGGACGGGGTATACGACCTCAGATCCGCATATGACTTTGCGCCGCGCAGGTTAGGTACTGCGTTCAAACCACCGGGGCTGTCGGGGAATCCGAGGAGACCGGATGGCTGTCTATTGAAGGCGTTGTAGAAGCCGCCTTCGGCGCGCACATCGCTGAAGTCAGTAGTCGCTGCACGGTTAAGGTTACGGCGCGGCTGCTCCATGTGGTTGCTGGAGATCTGGGGCATGGGGGGACTGAGGCCCTGGTTGTCATGGACTTTGAAAATGTGGACTTGGCGCTGGTCGCCAGTACCTTTGGATACGTGGGCCAGACCGAGCTGGTGGGCTAGGGTGTGGACGGTGCGGCGCTGGAGAGGGGCTAGGTTCGGGGGGAAGGTCATGCTATCGCGGTCCTTCGTCTCTTTGAACAAAAGCAGCTGAGTGTAGAATTGCAGCACTTGTGGGTCATTTAGGTCGACATCTACATATCGGTTAGCATCGTTGCTCGCGTAGAGTGCATCGTCAAACATACCAACAGTCTTCTGTGCCGATCCACCTCGCATGGCTGAAACAGGCGAAGGCGATGTAGCTGGCATGTGGGAAGCAAGGGAGCCAAACGAGGCCTGCGATTGGAGACCGCCACCGAGGGGCCGGTGTTGTTCCTCGAGCTGTCCACGACGTTCACGCTTCTCCCGCTCGATACGCTCGCGCTCGGCCAGCGGCAGCATCTTCTTGTATTCGACACGCAACTTCCGGCCATTGAGCTCAAAGTGGTTCATCGACTCGATGACGGCCGCCGTCTCCTCGGCGGTGGTGAAGTTGGCAAAAGCCAGACCTCTGAAGACGCCGTTGTCGAAGTGGTAGTTGAAGGCATAGGGCAGGGGTAGGCGCAGTTCCGTCATGAGCGAGACGAGCTGCTCCTTCTTGACGGCAAAGGGAATGTTTTTGATGACAATGGCGGTGGGGATGAGCTCTTCATCGACTTCGTGGCCGTAGCTCGTGTTCTGCATGGCGTTGAGGTTGCTGTTGCTCAGAGCAAAGCTAGGCAGACCCTGAGGCTGCTGGTCCATCCATCCCTAGCGGAGAGTTGTCAGTGTCGTGTCAAACCACATTCAAGGTAACGGAGTCGTCCTTACCGATGGCAGGGCACTGCGCCCTCCTCCGCGCTGCTGCGACTTCATGCGTGCAGCCTGGGCTCCCCCAAGCGATCCCAGGCCGCCGTTCTGGGAGAAGGCGTTGGTGTTCCAGCCCTGGGGCGCGCCCATGTCGTAGCCGTAGCCGCCGGCGTGCATTGTCTGGTTGAGGCGCTCGTAGTTGCGAGGCTGGTCGTAGGTCCGTTGATGGTCGTCTTGCGCGTACATGTTGTTGCCCTGCGGCACTTGGCCGTAGGCGTCGAACTGGCGGGAAGGCATGCGGTGCAGCGTGCCAGTCTGGGGTTGGTTTCGTTGGGCAATGGGCGAGCGCGACGAGGACTGGTCGTAGCCCGAAGCGTACATTATATGCGTGCAAGATTAGGGAGACCCGGTGAGTGGTTTGGGGTGCGAGAGCAAGAAAATTAAGAACGGAGGTAAGAGTAGCACGTGGTCCAAGCTCGTAATGTCGTGAAATGAGCGGAAGGCGACCGTCGCAAACAGGTCCAGGTCGGATCGGAGGGATGAAAAGGGGTCGGCGTGAGCTCGAGCTTGCGTGGTCGAGGGTTGGCTGGTGATGGTAATAATCAGGGATGCCCGGCGGACCCAGCTCGACAGTCCCCTTTCGAGCCGCACTTTTAGGTGGGACGCGAACAACAGGCTAGCAAACGTCAGAGGGGTTCAATATCGCTAACACGCGACGGCGATGCGTAGGCTCGTGTTAAGGAAGGGAGGACGGCCGACGCTTGGAAGCAAAAGTTGACCTGTAACCCACTAACGGCGCGGGGAGACGGCTGCACACGTGCACTTGAACCCAAGAGGCCCGACTGCACCAAAGCTGAGAGCTTTCAATATTGTCTAGCAGAAGGGAACGCCTGGCCAGGTCAGGAGTTGGTGACTTAAGAGGCTTGATTGGCTGCCGCTCCAAGACGCCAATCGTAAAAGCATCTCCCGCTGCGGGTGCTGCGACGTCGAGCACATGGTTCGTGTTTGGTATTGAGTTGTGTATCGACTCCCAAGCTTATTTGCATCCTGACAAGACATGTCTCCCTAGGCAAACATCTGTGCTGAGCAAAGATATTTTAATCTGTCCACCCAGCCCAACACTTGTCACCACCCACTACTCATGATGCCCATGGCTACTCATGGGCCACATCACCGACCATCATGGGCGGGCCAGCCTCACAAAAGTGCGACAGAGGGATGGCCCGGCGTTCTGGAAGTCGCCAGGTGGCGGGCCGTAGCGTTAGCTCCCTGCCAATAACGTGGAAACAGCACCACCTATACTTTTTTATTCGAGCACACTCTGTTTAGTAGACGTTTATATCAACGACGTTACGGCACGGCGAGTCTGCTGTGTTCATGAACTCCAGGCACTTGCTGCTCTGGCCAGAATCCTCCGAGACGCTCGGGGTGCATGATGAGCACACGCGACGTCGTCAGCTGCACCCTGCCACCGGTAATCTCCCCATGTACGGTTCATCGAGCTGCACCCCAGATGTGCACACTGGAATAAGACTGCATATTGTAGTTATTGTTAAAATGCTTCTTGTTCACATTATATGCCGGTAGTCATAGGGCTTTGTATAATCTGTCCAACTATGCTCAACACCTGCAGGCGCGACCAAACATGCTCCTACATCGTTGCACCACCTACTCACACATACGATGCATCTTATTCGACAAAGCTAAACATGGACTCGGCCATGCTAGACGATCACGAAGGCTTCCCGCTTTTATCAAGTTTCCGACTGGCTAAGCACAGCAGAAGTGGTTTGTAGGATCGCTTAGCCCGCATGCATAGATGATCATGTGAATCCAGCCAGCTGGCTAGAGAACACTCTAGAGCGACTTATCACCCTTCTGCTGACGATTACGCGACAGACGAAAGTCATGGTGGCTGTGCTGCCGAAGGAGCTCGCTTCTTGTGACCTGTACCCACCTATACCACACCCTAAAGGTATACACTGTCACCTTTCTTGTCGAATGTACCCTAGAATAACGTGTATATCCTTAGAGTTGGTTGGGACAAGGGCATAGCTCAGGACAAACGTGCCTCTTCCCACGTTCATTGCATACCCATTCAGTCCTCAAAGTCGAGCAGTCGCGAGAATTCAGTCTCACCAACGCGTCGGAACTCGGCACCTGCTGCAAACTGCCCGCTCGCCTCCCATGCTTGCATGGTCGCTTGGTCGTAGGGGCCGTTGATCTCACCTTCTGGTGCATTGAGCCAGTGAAACTCCCATTGCACTGATTGCGGATTCGGGTTCTTCCAATCTTCTCCCGTCTCGCGCTTGTATTGTCGCATGATGGATTCGCGGGGCAGCTCGTAGATGTCCTCGACGCCTCGATCGGACAGCCGACTTGCACATTCGGTTATGGAATCGATGACCTCTTTTGCCTTGATGGCTGCAGAGTCTTGCGACGGCTCCGAATCAACGTCCATAGCCTGACTCTTCTTCTTCTTGGTCCAGCTTTTGGCCGGCTTCTTTGGTGCTGCCTTGCCATATCGCACGAGAGCTTCCATAGGCGTCTCGCCAACGTCCAGATGTGCGATGAGAGCCGACAAGACGTCGCTGGTGACGATGGAATCTTCAGCTCGTTCCCGGGCCTTTCGCTCCGCATCCAATTTTTCCTGCGCTTCCTTTGCCTTCTTGATGTCCTTCTTCGATATGCCGTCCAACCACGAGTCTTGAGCGGCTTCCGGGTCGAAGGCCTTGCGCACGAAATTTCCGGCTTCGTCAAATCGGCCCTCTTCTTGCTCGGCACTCATGTTGAAAGCATCTAGCTTGGGCGCATGCTTCTTCTTGCTGCCTGCACCGAGCTCCTCGTCCATGTCGGGATCGATCTGGTCGCGTAGCTCGTCATCGCCTTCATCGCTGCTGCTCTCTACGTCTTCGGTCCTGCTCTTCGGGCCTTTGGTGAAGTCAACAGCGACATGACCTCCCGCCTTGCTGTCCGCTTCCTGGCCCTCAATCTCGTGGTTGTCCAGGAATCGCAGCTTCTTCTTTTTTGTCTGGTCTCTCCGTGACTCCTCGTCCATCTCGTCATCCTTGTCCTCCTCTGCGAACATGTCGTCGTCATCGTCATCTTGGGTCTTTGTTGGCTCGTCTTTGTTGGCTCGGGCTTCTGCGCGCGCATCGAAGTTCTCCGTAGAGCTGTCCGAGTCGTAGCCGTCGATATTGACCGCATTTCGCTTGATACCCGCGCTTTTCCCGATAACGTCGGCTTCAAGGGCAGGGTCTTCATCATCGACTGCATCCGGAGCGAGCGTAGAGGGGTTGCGCGGGTCGAAGCGGGGTTTCTTGGTCGATGGTTCGTCGCCGTCCATGTGGTGGGTTCGCGTGAACTGCTCGCCAGCGCGCTTTGGCCGCGCGGGGTTGTGAGTTCCACTGGAGCTGGCCATGGTGATAATGAACGTGATTTGAGGTTGAGGTATGCAGAAAAGTGAAACTAGGCAACCAGACAGTGACGTCTTCACGAAACGCGATTATTTGAAGCTCGGGCCAGATCGCGCTGATCCGAGTTTAGCGGCACTGGCATCAACCGCCTGCTGTACCTGCGACCATGGTTCGTCATCTCCAAGGCCTCTCATCGAATGCATATCACTTCCACCACCCGCTTGCCGTTTCTTCCTGACGCCAGACCTGACTAATACAATCCGCTACCCTCTGTTTCTTGCCGCTCTTTCCATACGCAAAAATGGTAGGAGCGACTCCACCACCTTCTCTATCTCAACTCACCACGTACAGTTCAACCCAAACTTTTACGACCAAGACGATCCCATGGCCATGTATCAGTCCTTGGCTGCTCGCCGCGGCGGCGCTCCTAGGCGTTTTGACGAGTACTTCCGATGCTATCCCATCGTTATGCTGCCTGGCCCAGAGCGCCACGAGGCAAACCACGGCGGCAAAGTGTTCCTCCCTCCCAGCGCTCTCGACAAGCTCACCAGGCTGCACATATCATATCCTATGATCTTCGAGCTCATAAACGGCAAAGCAGACGGGAAGAAGTCACATGCAGGTGTATTGGAGTTCATAGCGGAAGAGGGCAAGATCTACCTGCCATACTGGCTCATGGAGACGCTACAGCTGGAACCTGGCGACCTGCTACAAGTGAAATCGACAGATATACCGCTCGGTTCCTTCATCAAGCTACAACCTCAAGACTCTTCCTTCCTCGAAATCTCCGATCCCAAAGCCGTTCTCGAGAATGCATTCCGGAACTTCTCTTGCCTCACTGTAGGCGACATATTCACCTTCTCGTACAACGACAACGTATACAGTATAGCCGTATTGGAAGCCAAGCCAGAGCACTCAAGCAAGGCCGTATGCACCATCGAGACCGATCTGTCAGTCGACTTCGCTCCACCAGTAGGCTACCAAGAGCCGCAGAGAACGAGTGGCACAAGCACACCGCGCAGCGTCATGGCCGGCAAGGGCGGCACACTTCACGCCCACGGCACCATGGCAGAGGCGATCAACTACGCCGCCATTGCCCCATCGTCCACAACTGCCGCAAATGGAGCCAAAGCCACCTCCTCGAATTTCCTCACCACCGGCCACAAGTTGCTCAAGAAAGGCAGCAAGGCGCCTACACCCCAAGCCTCCACACCCGTCGCAGGACAATCATCAAACCCGCCTCCTACGGTACGGCGTACCAACGGCCCGCAGCCGCTCAGGCTACCGCCCAACAAACTGTTCTTCGGGTACGAGATCAAGCCGCTCAAGGGTAAGGAGGAGGAAGGCGAGCAGAAGGAATCAAAACACTTTGAGGGTGCCGGGCAATCACTGCGCAAGAAGAAGGGTGATAAATGAGGCAGATACCCAGAGTGACGATAGGCGTTTCGGGAGGTCCAGAGAGTAGCATTGTATGGCGCAGATAGAGGACACTGAGATCATATGGCGTAGGGCGTTTGATACCTATGATGAGAGCTATAAACGGAACTAATACAGCTCATTTTGTATCTGTTCTCTGTTCTGTTTTGTTACCGATTTCACTAGTCGTGATGCAAATGCTAATGTCAGTTTGGACAGACACTCACAACACGCAAGGAAAGTGATATCAATCGCCCATGAATTTATTATTTGTACCTTGTCGCAACGAAGGTATTGCTCACTGCACCTTTTGTGCAATCAGCCCTGCACCAAATTCTTTGGAACAGGGCTGAGAGACGGATACTTCTAGGAGAAGACGTCACTTCTCCATTCCGAACGTTCCACTGCAATCCGGAAATGTAAACATGTCCCGCACCGGACGAAAGACAGATTAGTCATTAAAGAAGAAAGGGAAAGGGAGGGGAGAGTCTAAACTATCTCCTTAACTAGCTCCTCCTTAACACGCTTAGCTATAGAGATATAGTCTTATTTAACCTTAACATCTTTCTCGCTATCCTCTTTAACACTCTCCTTTTCTACGCTCTTCTCCTTAACTTCAGCTTTTAGTCTCCTACCTCTCCCCTTCTTCGCCTTTAGTATGTCGTCTTTACTACTATCTCCCTCGTTATTACTATCTGCACTAAGAGCAGCCCTCTTCTTAGGCGTAGTAGCTTTAGAAGTAGTATTCTTGCGCGGCGTAACAGGTCCCTTAGCCTTAGCAGCGCCTTTAGGAAGCGTTTAGCTGTATTCTTTAAAGAGCTTGCGCTGCTTAACGCATAGGAGAGAGACGCAGACTTAGACGCCTTTCTTATTTATGCCTTAGGGTTTAGGTTTTAGTAGAGTAGGGATAAGAAAGAGGGAGGGAGGGTAAACAGAAAACAGCTAGTATTAATAAAGAGGATAATATAAAGATAAGAAGGCGTAGAAGAGGTAGTATAGAATTAAGTTATTAAAAGAGGAAGTTAGTTCTTTAAAAGCTTACCTAGGAATACAGTTATAATACGCTTATAATCTTCGCTAGTAAGGTAGCAGCCTTAGGTTAGAATAAGAAGCTGTAGAAGGAGCTTTGTTAGCTGTAGTTTACTATTATAGTAATTATTGCACTTACCTTTTTCTCGTTCTTAAGCGTCTATTAAAATGCCTAGAGTGCAATGTAAGTTAGAAGTTAAGCAAAGTTAAAGATAAAGTACATACACTACCTTTAGCCTCGCTGCCCTTAGTAGCTACAGTCCTTTTCTTAGGAGGCATAATTGTTAATAACGTTGTTATTGTAGTAAATGTTAGAGAGGTGTTGTTTTAAAGGGCTAATCTTAAATTAGAGCAAAGAGGTGTCTAAGAAAGAGAGAGTTAGAGTCGTAAAGGGAGGTATAGAAGACAAGACTAAGAAAAGAATCTAGATAGACAATAACAGTAGGAAGTGAGAATAGGTGAGAGTAAGATTTAGCTTGAGTTTGTCAGTGATTCTTTGCGCTCACCTTCACCTTTCACCTTGTGAGAGATGAAGAGAAGGCAAGAAAGTGACGAACATGACCGAAGTTACAGAGTGAGGAAACTCTACGTGCGATAAAACCGATCGATTCCGCCAACCTATCATGTGTTCAATGCAATCCGATCTCAGATGCCGGTGCTATAGATATTCAGAAGTGGCATGAAGCTTCTTCGCGATCATCCTTTTAGCCCTATCACACGATTCAGACGTCGTTCTCGATTACCTCCCCCTTGACACCAGCGTCTTCTACCTCGCCGTTGAAAAGCATCTCCTCAGTCTCTTTCTTAACAATCTGCTTCTGAGACTTGCGAGCGCGCGGCTTCTTGGTAGGAGATTCGGCCTCAGCATCACCACCCTCATCGCTCTTCTCAGTGGCAACAGTACGCTTCTTCGGAGACTTGGTAGGTGTCTTAGTAGGAGTTTCAGTGGCACCATCGGGTAGTGTCCAGCCGAGCTCCTCCATGCGTGCACGCTGCTCCTTGCGCATCTTGCCGAAACGTTGGCGAATCGCGTTCCAGTTAGTGCCGGCTGAGCTTGGATTAGTATAAATGAATTCTCAATCAGGAGGATAAAACTTACGAGGCAAGGCCACAACGAGCTTGTGATGGTCGTCCGAGGTGATGGTGCGTCCCATGGTCAGTAACAAGAGCTTTGGATTTGATTAGACAATTGTGCAATCGCGGAACGAGTGGCTGGCTTACTGTGCGCTCATTATCTGCGGTCCAGCTGAACTTCTGTATGCATATTAGGCTTGGTAGAAGTGATGGTAGTATTGGGTCGTACTCACGCCATCACCGCCAGCCTCAGCACCTTCGTCTGCGATCTTCTTCTTAGGAGGCATTGCAGTTGTCGTAGACGGATGGACTTGGAAGCGTATCTGAGAAGATGTCTGTAAGAGCTTGTGAGCCGATTGTTGAGCTTGAGAATTAAGGCTGAAGAGGTGAGTTTGGTACCAGAAAAGTTCAGGGAAGCGGCAGCAAGATAAGATCCGGGACACGAGGATAGGTGAGAGTGAGTTGCCGGGCAACGCGACCATGCCGACAGGTGAGGAGTGAATGCGCCTTCACCGTACGTTCAGTGGGAGAACGCTACCGCAGCAACATCCTGGTACTTAAAGCACTGTCACAGGAGCATAGTAGTTGCACATACACAGAAGGATGCACGAAGTTCGTCAAGTGATGCAGCCGCCCTTTCATTGTACCCGTTCAAAGGCGTACGTCACTATTACGGTCAAAAAGACATCTCTTCGTCCCGTCCATTCTGTCATCTAACCAAAGCAAGATCATGGAAAGCATCGACGCTGCAGTTTGATCGAAGTATCATAGCATCTCTTACATATTCCGGTGATCTTCGTTCAGCCCTGACCGATAAATTCAGCCAGCGAAGTGATACATACTCACGTATGATGACTGCCACACAAGATCTCGAAACTACCCTTGAAGAAGGAGCTGAATCATCTAGACATACTGAAATGAATATGGGTACTACACCATTGCCAATCGTATCTTAAGGCAGTCCTATGTGTTGAGGTAGCTAGGATCTTCAAAGATGCTAGATGCGGAGCGCCTATTAAAGGAATTCCTTGCTTGAACTCAAAGTGGGGAGGCTATTGCAGTCAATACGGTTGGTAGTAAGTCGTACTAGAGAAACATATAGGATTAGGTTGACGCCATTTCTAGTGGATCTAATAAAGACTATTGCGAAACCAGCTGCCAAATAAGCTTTGGGTCGTGCAAGTAGACTCCTGTAAGCTCCACAAGGCCCATTGTTTCAACTACAACTGGCCTTGCACATTCCGCCTCTCCTAAGCAACCAATATCCAAGAATGCTCGTTGCGGCGCGGAGTAAATATTCTGCTCAATCCATCATCTGGAGACATCACTGGCTCGGGTCCTTCTGGTAGCACCAGTCTTTGGTCCAAAGGAGAAAGAGGATGTACGCACCCGAAGCGACTACAAGCAGCTGCGCATGAAGGATCTGTATATGCCGTCCTGAATTTCGCAACCTCGTTTACTTCTTCGAAGGCGAGTTTATATCAGACCCTATATTCGTTCGACACCACGCGGGAGTACACCCTAGCCTTTTAGTACGATTTTCGTCAATTAAAAACTTTGCATCTTGCTCATTGACGGTTTCATTGGGAGCTGTCAACGTGTATACTAAGACTTTGACAATTGCGGATAGCCCAGGACCGTACAAGTGGAAAGGGCCGATTACAACCACGCCATTGGTGCCGTCGGACAATGAGCAGACGTTGCGTTTCGATTATGACTGTGCTCTATCCACTAACAACGGGGTAGCTTCGAGCTGTATATTCCTGGATGAGTTGAGCCTGATGTCGAACTAAGACATCTCATTGACTAGCCGTGTTCTTAAGACTATCAGTAATCAACGTGAATCACATCTCCATTACCAAAGAGAAGTTCCCACCACGTCGCAAAAGCATTAAAGCCCAGCCAATGCATATAGGCGCGGAGCGCACACAGATCGGGAGAGGGTTGCCTAGTCTTCCCGAATCATTCTAGGCTGTTATCTGTTAGGTAGCGATATCAAGGCTTGCTGCCTGGAAAGTGGCATGTAAGAATTCAGGAGAACTTCTGTAGTCGTCATGACGTTGAATACACGACTTCAGATGACTTTTGGAGGACCTCGGGAGGCTGACGAGGTGTGGTAGGCTAGAATGCCCAGAGATTTAGGGCTGACGTATGATGGTCAGTGCTTCGTGCCTGTATCCTAGCGTTCGGCATCGTCATCCCCTGCACACACGACACTGTGAAGCTTGTTGTTAATCAGTAAGCATTGTACTGAAAAGACGTACGACTGTGTCTGCTGCTACGCCTATTGTGTATACGTACTCCGCCGACGAGTCTCGGAACATTTCCTTCATATCGGCCCTCCTCTTCTGGCAGTGAGAGACGCCTCATCATCATCCCGTGCTTATAACATCAGTGCCGCGGATAGCGCACTGCCGTTGTCGCCTTCTGTTGATCTAATCTGAACCCAGCTCATAATGGGCGAACCACAGGCCACAGCCGTCCAGAGATCGTAAAGCTATGTGCGCCGCTGAGACATCACTAGGGTCATGACAGGCTGCGCTGGAATGCCATTCGATAGCTAAGATATCTACCTGGACTTCAAGTGGGAAGCGTCGTTCGGTGGCTTGATGCCCGCCGTCCTACTCCCTGCTTCCACGCGGGTGCCCACAGCCAGGTAGGCCCAATTTGATTCAGATCACCAATGGGACTGCTTCCCGCCGTTGTATCACACCGTTTGACTAAGCAAAACAGCTCTTCTTGAATTCTCCGCTAGGCGCATCAGAGAAAAGACGGTCATTATGCTTCACACCATGCAGGGGTCACCTCCCACTAGCCCCGAACTCGAGACGATGCCTACAGAACATGCTTGTTTCAATGCTTCCGTAGCCTGTTAACATGATTGCTTTTATCTGATACCCTCTGCTTGACTTCTCACGTATCTATGCATCTCTCATTCTACCAAACGCACCTTGCACAAACTCGCCTCAAGACAATACCTTTATCGGTCCGAGCTCAGCCCCCACAGCATGTGTATTCGCGTAGTCGAGAAGTTTCCCGTCTGCGGCTGTGTCTATCATACTCATTCGGTGGATCGATGCGCCTACTATGGACGACATCCGGTTATTGAGAAGGTCATCTGGGTCGGCGCGTCGTGTCAAGATCACAAGAATCGCTGATGCGCATACGAGCAGAAGAGCATTTACGTCCAGCGTTTTGAATTTGACTGCTGATCAGCTTCGCCAAAGATACAATGTGTACTCGCGAAACTAATAGACGAAGCCAATGCCAGTACTTCAAGCTAGAGCATCGACCATCTAATTAACAGCAACCGAACGCGGAAGAAAGGTCGACAAAGTACTGACACAATGCCACCCGTACGTTTATGATCTTGGATGAATTACACGATACTAACAGACTGGTACAGGTGGCGATTCGATGCACCACGGATACCCACCCCATTATCCATGCTGATCTATGCTGGACACGACGTTGGAGGACAATCTATTACCAGCCTGCAGCTGAACCTGAGTGTTCAGTGAATAACGAGACTTCGGCCCAACTTACGAAAGGCCAGAACCTAGCACCATTAGAACCCCGACGACGTATGCGCAACGTTCCTTGATACAGCTGCTATACCAATCTCCAAAGATCTACCGCCCCAATCAACACAGCGAAGAACCTTGACGTAAAATCTGGTGCAGAACCTGTGCCAGAGCTGCTGCGTTGTAGAGGCGACATGAGTCATTATCTCACTGCTGGACAATGTTCTGACGTTTAGGATATTGCTCCTCGTGGCGAGATGGACCTGTGACAACAACGTCCTCTTGTCTCCTACGTTCCTTGGTTCTCCCGGCACGAGCCGACTCGCCGTATACGGGCCCACTGCGTGCCGATGCCTGGCTCTTTCGTCCACTGTTGTGGTATGTCTGAACGCTTTTCATGATCCGATAAGCAGCGGCACGATCTTGAGCACCGGAAGGATGAGGATGCTTTGGAACGTTTCCAACATCGACCATGTCCGGTTTCTCTGGCACGGATTGCGGTGAAGCAACTTCATCCTTCGATTTCGCACGGCGGTCGCTGTATTCAGAGGAAGATCTCCGAGTAGCGGCGCGGCGCGGCCCCGCCTGGTTGACAAAGGGGAAACACTCTCCGGTGGCCAAGTTCGCCGTCGCAATGTTGGTACGAGAAGATTCAAGGAGAGGCTCCGCAATCGGTTCGAGGGCGTTCAGGGCCTGGTCCAGCTCCTGATCAAGCGGGCACAACTCCGCGGCCGATGTTCTCTCTTGCGACTCCCTATACTCCAGCGCCTCTCTCCTTCTCTCCGACACCTCCCTTTCTCTCTGCCCCGCCAGCGCCAGCCTCCACTTCGCGTTCCCAAAACGATGGCGACTTGGGAACATACTCAGTGTTGAGATTGAACCTTGCACGCCACGCTTCGTGGCCTCCAGGCGCTCAAGGTCTCGTCTCAGCTCGTGCTGTTCCAAGATCAAGGACTGTAATGCTTCAACGTCAGCTTGGTGGCGAGGCCGGTCAGGTATGCCTCCGGACGCCCCCACGCTATGACAATGCGGACACTCGAGTGCATGGACAGTATCTGGCACTGCCTTCAGGATACATACTTCCTTCAGCGCCCCCTGAAGTAGCTCTCTATTCCTACGGTACTGTTCAGCTCGAGCTTTGAGTGAGTCATCCTTGAGTTCGAGGCCTGGGGTTGTACTGGCCGTTTTAATCACCTGGAGACTGTGGTCTTTCGGTCGGTACTCATAGGTCCAGACGGCGAACGGGTCTGGTCGTAACGGAGGGGTGAAATTACTCGGCGAAGGCAATATGTTGCTCAATTGTTCATGCAGCGGCAACTTCAGGTTTTCGTATACGGGACAGGTGGGTGGACTTAGTTCGGCATCAGGATCATCGATGCACGTCGCTCGCCTATCGGCTTCCTCGTTCAAGTGCTTGGTTCGATCAATCGATTCGTGGAAGACATTGGATACTTCGTACTTGGGGTGGCCGGAAAGGAAAACCTGCAGAACGTCCTCTCGACTGGACTTCTGATCCGAGAATTCGGCCGGCTCGCTGCGTTCGCCTTTAGGTGGTATCGCCGACCTAGAAAAATGAGGATTGATGCGAGCAAACCTTGGATCTATTGACGCTTGTCAGTATTTGACCATGAGTCTTCGAGGTTGGGCAATAAAACAGCGTGCGACACGGACTTACCATCCTCGTTCGCGGCCAAAACCGAGTCGGCCACTCCGTTCAACTCAGCACACGCATCGTCCCAATACAACCTCGAGTCTTCCTCCCACTGCGCATCGGATAAGTCAAGGACCGATGGTGCATCGGACACGAAAGAAAACCTAGAGTCTGGAATCGTCGAATGGCCCTCGCGGCTACTCAATGCACTAATAGGAAGCGCAGTCATGTCATGCTCACCTCCGATCTGGAAGTGCGATAGGGATCGCAGGCAGGGTTTTCTTTCGTCCTCATCTTCCATCTCCCACCATTCTTCCTCTTCTTCGTCATCATCTGCTATGGCGAGATCATTGTCCTTTCCTCGAATGACCTCCTCCTCCAATTCACTCAGCACTATCCCACTTCGTCTTGCACTGGGTCCAGATGATACCTGGTCCTCCTGTGGGCGATCCGGCTCCAGCGCCCCATCGTCCGACAATCCCGGAAATTTATCCGTCGCAGCAACGTAAAAGTCTGCAAAAGAAGATACCTGGGGAGAAACGGATGTTGACCTTTTGTCGTTCTCTTCCCCGAGGATTAGTTGGTTAGGCTTGGTGGTAGGCCGTGCGGAGAGGGACGCATGACGAGCGGTACGTGGCTTTTTTGACTCGTCTAGCTTGTTGATGGGGTCAGACAGCGATTCAGGGGACTGCTGGATGGCATCTTTATAGAAACTATCAGGTGGCTGTGAAGCAAAGGATGTTTCTGCAGCTTCATTGAGGAGCGATGATTGCGATTCTAGGTTAGCGACTGGGGTTCCTGTGGTGGCTCTTGCGGCTGCTTCTGCGGTACGTGCTTCGTACGCGGCGATGCGTGCAGATGTTAGCTCTGAAACTCTCCCTGAGCGAGGCGGAGGAGTAGGAGTGGCCGCTGGCGAAGGGAAAGATTCGATATCCTTTGCTGGGCGATGTGGTGGTGCATTATAAGTGGAAGAGAAGGGGTTTTCCCGAGGCAATCCAGAAGGAACATTTTCCTTCTTCTGGCTTGGGCTTGGGCTGCACGAGGAGATGAAAGGAGGTGGAGAGGATGCTAGAGAGTCGTCGTTATCGGTGGGGCTGGAAGAGAAGCCAGGTTTAAGTATGGGTGAAGTATTGAGATCGTCTTCATCGGAGGACCAAGAGGCAGATATGGGCTCGTTGTCTGGTGAATTGCGGGGCGGAGAGGAAGTTATAGATGCTGCTGCTTCCTCACCTACAGTGACTTTGTTGTCAGGGTGATCATACATGTTGTTGGCGAGCTGTACGTCCGCTGTAACGGAGGGGAAGGATTATATCCTGTCGTATTGTGTTCAACAGAAGCTTCGTCTCCGTATTGTGGATAAGAGTAAAGGTGGTTTGTCACCGAAGGAATATGAGAGAGGTGGCATCTTCAAGAAGACCCTTCGATTACATCTGTTCTCTTTTATGACACGCTGAACAACTGGACTCAGTCTCAGGGTCACATAGTGATGTGATCGGGCATACATATGATCTGGATCAGGGTCCTCACGACAAGGCTATGATATCACATTCTTTATGCCATAAGCGATAGAAAGTATGTCTTAGGCTACACAAAACATACTGTGCACTAAATGTCGACATTCTGACCGACTATGCTGAAAGATTTGTTGTCTGTAACGGATGGAATTCGGGCTAGTATGGAAGTGCAAAGAGGAAGAGACCTCTGTTTCTAGGGAAAATGTGGAGTGAGCAGATGCAGCGGCTGTACATGTGATTCTCCGGTTCCCTGCTACATATCATTTGCCTTCCAAGATGACCTGTTGATACCCCCAAATTTGAAGTTCTGGGCCAGGGTCCACACGGCGGAAAGATGAAGTCACATATCTCGACAATTTATTTACCAGCGTAGACGACTTTTGCTATTCGACTTTCAGCTACGGCTTATCTATCTTGATTGAAATCTGCGCTTGGTACGCTCTCAGTCTCCGAAATGTATTGCTCTATACCCTTGTATCTCCACCGCCTGAAGTACGCTTTTGGCGTGGTAGTTGGGCAATCCAGCCCAGATCCAGCTCCGTTGCAGGTAGCGTAGACACCAATCAGCGTGCCAACAAAGGAACCCGATGGACTCAGCTGTGCTGTTGAAGCTCTACCAAACGAAATTTGTCTTGACTTGCCGTTCACCAACATCGCCGAGAACAGGTACGTCTTTGGATCCGGCATCGTGATGCGGAGCCGCATAGGCTTTCCGTGCCAAGATGTAGGGACAGGCATTTTCTTTTCCACCTCTTCCGTAGAGTTGTAACGCAGATAAGTCGTCCCATTATTACGCACTAGTCCGAGCTGAATGTTTGCCGTTTGCCACAGGAAAGCAGTGATTCCAGCTTCCTGCCCATCGGATTTGGGGTCGAACGACATGTCCACACTGAAGTCGAATGTGCTGTCGGTCTGGCGGCGTCCAATGAAGTTTACAGCCCTCGAAGCTGGATCAGACACATTGAACGAGCCGGCGAGATTATTGCGACCGAGCATGACTTGCAGGCCTTTGTGCGTGGTCTTGAAAGCGCCGTCCCGGGGAACACGCCAATATACTAGGTTTCGTGGTATCGGTGAGCCTGGAGGAAAGTCGTATACATCTGGGTCCGAATTGAATGGCCCATTACCTGGGAGATCTCTTGAGCGAGCAGGTAGTTGCCAGCCCTCCATCTTGCCTCGTACGGGCTGAAACACTGGCCATTGACCAGACTCCCATGTCACAGGCGTGAGCACGGTCTCACGACCCATCGGGAAGGAAGTTCCATTAGGACCCACGCGCGTCGCGAGCGCGACAGACCACCATTTCCCGTTGCTGTCTTGGAAAAGATCTGCATGACCGACAGTCTGGAAGTACTCTGATGTGCCGCGATTCGTAAGATGAGGGTTGAACGGGCTGGACTGGTAAGGTCCAGTTATGTTCTTTGCGCGAGCCATGGTGACAGAGTGATCTTCAGCTGTTCCACCTTCCGCGATCAGGAGGTAGTACCACCCGTCTTTCTTGTAGATGTGCGGACCCTCTGGCCAAACACCACCTGTTCCGTTCCAGAGCTGCGAAATAGGTCCCATTTCCCCAGTACCAATATTCATCTCCTGTAAGATGATGCCCTGAGTCGCAACATACACCTTGCCGTCATCATCCCAGAATAGATCGGGATCGATCTTACCGGCCTCGAATCTGACTGGATCACTCCAGGATTCATCGTCAAACGGATTCGTAGTCTTGAACAGCACACCTGCCAAGTCACCAGATCCCAGGTATTCGCAGATCACGTAGAAAACACCCTGATGATGTCGGATGGTTGCCGCGTACATGCCCTCCTGTTGGCCTTTGGTGGCATAACTGTAGCCCGGAAGCTGAGACTCACGGTTCCATGCGTGGCTGATATGTTTCCAGTCTACCAGATCCTTTGATGCGTAGATGGGCAGTCCAGGGAACGAGATGAAAGTAGAGGTTACGCAGAAGAATGTCTCGTCCACGTTGACGCATGATGGGTCGCTGTGCCAGCCTGGAAGTACCGGGTTGAGGAACGTCGAATTTTGCGCGAGCGTCGCTGTCGAACACGCAAGGATAGCTGTCGTGACCCTTGTTAAGAACCGCATCTTGAAGGATCTTGGAAAACCTTGACAGAGCTTACCCTGCATCCGGCGATGCAGAAAGCTTTATGAATACCAGCGACCAGCAGGTGCAGATGGTTCCTAGGTGCTACCAGCCTGTTGGGAAGAAGCACGACCGACGAATCTCTTGCATATCGGTTGTACTCATTTAGCCAGAGTAATTCCGCGGTGCTATTGGTGTTAAGCATGCAGCATTTTCTAGCTAGTATGCGGGGGAATACAATGAGCTGCAGAACCACCGGGCTTAATGAGCCTCAAGATCCGGGGATTGAGGGGAAACTAATTTTGATCGTCGCAATTTCACGCAATGACGTCATAATTTCTCCGTGCCTCATAAGCCTACATTTTGTGAGGCTTGCTAAGAAATTCTATCATATGCTTCGCAGAAGCCGGTTATGTCACTGAATTTCAGCGTCTTGTCTTTGAATAGCAGGCGCTCCTGATAAGATAGGCGCCGTCACTTTGCATAGTAAGCGCGCTACGGAGTCTTGCACTATGTCCAGTCTCGAGAAAAGTGTCATAACCTTTCATACGCAATGCTACACAGGAAGCTTACTGGACTCAAATAGTATAGATTTCACCTTTCCCCGACGGCAATGTGATGCGCGTCTCTACGGTGTTGTCACACAAAGTTACTTGTTCCTCCGGATATGATACGGCAGCATATAATGCGCACCGAAAGGAGAAACGACCATGCAAAGCAACCCAGCTGCACGTAATTTCGCAAAATTTGAACTTAACACTCCGTATGTGCTGAGCACGGTGCATCATGAGAGATCGTGACCGACCCTTAGTGGCGATGCGATACGGCGAGGACGGTTCAAAACGTGGTTTCTGTGAAGGTTAGTGTGGAGACCAAACGACGATTCGTTGTGATGACTTACAGACTAACATTGATCTGATTAGTACGATACGACTTTCCTAACTCGAAGAGTCTCAAACTCAGTTGCTTTCATGATCATTTGGAAGGAATCTTGGTAGCATATGGGTGGTCGATATTGCGGACTAAGTGAATGGCTTGGAGTCCTTGGGTCATCGCATACCAGAGGGTGGCTACGGCGTTGGTGACGCTCATAACCACTTCCTCAGAAAGGCATAGCCAAATATGCTTGAACTGTCTGAACGAAGCAGTTGATGTCCCGAATCTGCTTCAGCATTTCGTGACCAGCCTGAATGTATAAGGTCTCTTGCTGTTGACGAGTTAAGGGCGTACCGATGTGCTTTTGGTCCAGGTTGTTCAACATGCGAGCCTCCAACTTCAGCGCAAGATCGTCGACCTGAGCCAATTGGAGAATGGCTTGGCCTCCATTCCAGGTGTTGCTGGCGTCGATGTTCATCTTGTTGATCGCGTGCTTGAGAGCAGTCATGAATTGGCCTTTCACATCCTGGACTGGCGGCGGAGGAGGTGCGTGTCGAGCAGCAGGAGCTACACTGCTTGCGCCAGAGATGCAGAACGCGCCGATAACCTTATCTTTTGCCGATGCAAAGAACATCTTGGCATTTTTGTGAAACTCCTTTGCTTTATTCACAAAACGGTCGAGTTTGCTGCAGTCTTGGAGTTCGTGCTCAGACTGTGTGTCGTACTCGTGTTCGATTTCTGCAGGCGTTGGTGGACGATGCAGGCCCTGCATGTGGTCTGAGATGCGTTGAAGAACAGCAAGTTCTTGTTCCTTGACCATGGGTAGTATCTCCGATGGTAGCAAGCGTTCCTTGAGTTTCGCTGCCGCTTCGTGGTTCTTGCGCTTCATGGTCCAAAACAAGCGATGCATGAAGTCCACGCGTTTTTTGTGAGGAAAATCATCCAGCGAAGGGGGAGCGGTTAGAGGCTGAATGATGTTGAGCTCTTCTTGGGTGAGCGGCGCATCTATCGAGTTGGCCTGGACCGGGATGGAGGTTTCCTCGGCGTTGTCCATCTCCTCATCCCTGACTCTCGCTAAGAACCTCTGCTCCTCTCCCAAAGCTATATGCTCGGCTTGAACACCGAGTTCGTATTTTTGGTCAAGCCAGTCTTTGTTCGGTGGATTAGGCAGTGACATCACTTCCGAGTGTATTTTATGAAGAACGTTGCTTTCAATATCATGCGTCAGCTTGTTGAGTGCATTATTGTCAAGCAAAAGCCCATATTTTGGAGAGACTTGGCGCTGCATCTTCTCCAATTGGTCGTGCAGGTAGACAAGACCTTGTTGGCGGAGCTCGTAAGACAGTTCACCAAGATACTGGTGATCGCTTTGTTTCGGTGCTAGGTGGTTATCACCGAGCTGAACAAACTGCTGGAATGAGACATCATGACTAGATGCTGATGGAAGTTCGGATGAAGACTTGTTGGCTGGTGACTCGGAATTGCAATGGATTCCTGAAGCACCATCCAGATCGAGGTCCATCGCGTCCGATGTAGATACACCAGAGGTGGTGGTGATCGAGCCATTCTGCGAAGCCGAGCTTGCGTTCCGAGTAGAGATCTTGATCGAGAACAGGACGGCGTTCGAAGTGGAAACATCTTTTTTGGTAGCGGCAATGACATCAGGTACAGTTACACCCGTTGCATCGCTGACGTTAGAGACGAAGGGTTCGATCAGAACGAAGAAGCCTTGCTTGTCTTTCATGGTGTCAAGCTCGGCCACCACAATAGCGGTCAGTCTCCTGTGCTCGTCGTCCGTAGTTGTCGTATCAGTGACGTGGAAATCGATGGCTTTGCTTATAGCACCTTCGAGTAGGTCCAAAGCGTCAGAAGCGTTCTGAGTAAATATCTTCTCCCGGCGACAGATACTGTCCAAGCAAAGTTCGATCTTTTTCATACCAGTTTTGCGGACGTGCTGAGCAATAGTAGACCCATAGACATAGGGGAGTGTCTGCCGCCCCAAGTTGGCATCAAGGAAGGCACCGCATGGTCTGATGAGCGCCGCCTTGACATTCTTGAGGTCACTGTCCGCCGCCGATGATGCAGGCTGTGAAGTGTTAGTCGCGAAGACCGCGACTTGGACAAGGTACTAACCATAGACGGACTAAGCGTTGCGCTAGTTGTGGACATTATGACAGAGTTCAGAGTCTTGTTTTTATCAGGTCTTGTTCATCTCACGACGTTGTTCGTACACTTACAAGACTGTGATGGCCTAATCTGAGAATCGAGGTGATGATCCTGTCTAGTGTATGCGTCTGTAGGAGTGACGAACAGTGTCGATAGGAGCAGTAAAATTGGGGGATAATATGGGGCTATAGCGAGCGTATAGGTGTATCTTCAATGATCAACAAATCGGGTAGGCTGATTATGAGAGATGTGTCTGTGGAGCGTGTGTTGAGCTGAAGCGTGGGCAGGCGATGATAATTCGAAAGTTCAGCGTCGGCGCGAGAAATAGCAAAGAGGAGGCGCCAATAACAGAGTCATAGCGCAGCGCGCGTTCAGCCGCCATTATCAGAATTTCTTGTGGTAGTGAAATGGGGAAATATCTAAGAATTGACGTTACGTTCGGAGGGGCAGTGAAAGTGGAAAGTAGAAAGTGGGCGTCCCTGAACTCATCGACCAGGCAGCTACACACGGACGCTTGAGGATAGGTGAAGATTTCCTATATACAGTCAGGGCTCAGGCAGATGATAGGTCAGCAATTTGGTGCGGTATTTAACCAAAGCCCAGAGGGGCGTTTGCTCGAAGTCATTGTTGTCAGGTCACTACCGTATAACATTTATCAGATCCAATTGTGAACTCATCAATTCTCGAAAATCCTTGAATGTTTACGAACCGACCTGTGACCAATATCGGACGTGACACATGGCTTTCGATCAAAGCTTGAACACATCAGAAATCATCGGCTTTCGTTTAAAGAAGCACATATTTTTCCTATCTAGGGTTGTCTAGACGTTTCGTCAGCTCTGGGCCTTTTTTTCCTAGTTTGCCTGTCTGAAACCTTACGTGTTGCACAGTAAAGAGAGCCTTGCAACTTTTCACCAGTGTTACAGGAAAGGCACCGATCTGTTATCTAGTAAATAACGAGGCCCATGGCATAAAGGGGCACTATATCATCGTACGTTTCTCGCAGTAGCTTGAAAAGAGCGCTGGTTTGGTACAATTACTGCTACCACATGTGTCTAGATTTATGTTAACCCTCATGTATGTCTTGTGTAGTTTGGTAAACGCTAGCGATAACAGAATTTCTCACGATCGTCACAGTAGTCTTGCCCTGTAGGCACGTACTCTCCACATCTCCAGGCATCTCCTCTGCAAGTCGACATAATGTAAAGCTTTTGTATAATTGAGATTAGAAAGGTAGTTGAGTATCAAGACGAATGAACACGGATGCCAGGTTTAGAAAGAATTTTAAGTTAGGCTAACCAAGTTGATAGCAAGCGATTCTTTATAAAGCTTGGGAGGATCTCCTTTTCATGCAAAGGTGTGGGGGTAATCAGGAGACTGCAATATAGATAAGAGAACGAGGATGGGCAAGCATTGGTTGACTCTCAAGTATGTCTCTCAGCTACTCATATATGTTGCTAATACTTCTCTCTAGTGGTGTATTACTACGAGCTATGATTAGTTAGCCTTACTCTCATCCGCAGCAGGCAGGGGTGTCATCAGGCCATATCTAGACAATACGAGTAAGGCTGAGTTTCAGCCTCGTTGAGATAACATAATTGTATCACCGAACCATTGTATCGATACTTCTGCATATTTGTGCGTTATCACGGATTATAGTTTGAAGTGCGACTACTCTCTTTACACAGAGCTGAGACAAAGCTCTAACAAGTTGTGCTTTCTGATAGTTCGACCTCTCCAGTGTATACGGACGTGTCGAACACGCGTTTCTATGCTCAATACGCCGCTGAACTACACCAACCCATCCATTTGCCAAGCCTACATACTCACCAGCTGGCTTCGCCTTCCTCGTCCTTCCTACTTCACTCCTCCTCTCTCACTAACCCTACCACATCTCAAACTCTGTGTCTGCCTGCTCGTGAAACCGGTGCCTGATAATCGTTCTAAACCTAGCCTGGTGCCGGGTGGTCGTCGGCGAGGCGTAGCTGATCAACTTGGTAGCCATAGTGGTCTTGAGAGGCTGACGTATCGAGCCTTGATTTAACGTGCATCGATTGTGTCAACCACCGTGTGCCTGATGCTTGGGTAGCCAAGTTCGTAGCGACTCGGATCTGTGCTATGTCGTTTGTTCAAGTCTTGGCTAGACTCTTTCACCCAACCTATTGCTTCTTTTCGCGATGCTGTGTTCACTCTCTACCTTCTCTTATGCTTCAAATCAGTCGAATTCGCTGTCCCAGATGACTAATATGTATTCCCCTTGAGAGCTAAGGGTGAAGTGCAGGCCGTCGAGCCTATTTGCGCTCTGAACGTAATTTGGCGGTGACCTTCTTTTGGACATCATCCCGGGCAGCACCAGAAAGAGTACCAAGATGGAATGAGCCTATACTATACCGAAGGTTCACTAGTCACGAGACTGTGCCTATCAATGTCTCGTGACCTAGGTTGATAGTGCCCTAAGGCATAGAGTGGACAGGGGCCTAACCATGTGTGGTTTGGCCTACCACAGGCGAACACCTATCCTACCCATGCATACAGATACGGGAATGTTTAACAGTTGTTGGGACAGGTTTTAGCAGGGTTCTTGTGCTCTAGAGCTTCATCTCTTTGTCCTTATTGATATATCAAGATGATGTGGGTCTGGGCGCATGTTTTGTTTCTGGAGATCCACACAGACATGTTGTATGTCGGTCGATATTTTTGGTACTGGAAGTATCCGATGTTGGCGAAGGAACTAGCAGATCAGGTTGGTGGCTTTTATACCAATTTCAGGACCAAAAGAATGCTTCGTCGGTCACTTCGCCAGTCGTTTCCAGAGAAAAAGGAACACATGCTCGTTTTCCGGCAGTTTTTGCAAGAACGTGGATGCCCAAGGGGGGCTGTCAATTTTCTGGCCAAAGAGGACAGAAAACATGATGGGAAGATGTGGCCTGCTGGAGTGGCGGTTTCCATAGATGTTGCAGAACCAACGATGCACGCCATGTCTGTAGATCCTTGGTGTTCCGGAAGAAGAGAGGGAAGAACATATATCTGTTCTTGTATTCTTTCGAGAACAGGAACATTACGACATTCTTGAGTAGTTTTGGGAGCACAGACATAGAAGGCTCGTTCGACGATTTATGTCTGAGTAAAGAAATGATCGTTGATGGCAAGATGACCCTTACCAAAGGCGGGATTTTATAGTCTTCTAGGCCGGCGGAAGTAACCTAAGGAAACCGTACTCGAAGGTTTTCAGGCAAACATGGGATCCGTTCGTGTGATTTTGAGATCAAACCCCAAAATGTCAAGTTCCTGGCCAGTGGAAGATCTGCTGGGGTTTTCCTCGCTTTCTTTTTTGAGAGTACATTGATTTGATGAGGTGTTGGTGATAAGACGCAAGCACAACGCTGTTGAGTTACACCGTCTTGAATCGCAGTAGAAGTTTGTTCGATCTGGAGTATGTGATGGTACGATAATAGTTTTGGATAGGCGGTAGAAGCACTGGAATCCCATGCCTTATCTGGATTTGCTTTTTGGAGTCGCTGTCGGTGTGTACGTTTGATGTTTCTGCAGGAGCAAAACAGTCCATGAATCGCGTTTCTGACAAGTTTGAGGCAACATGAAGCCTAACCGCTCGAATTTTGGGAAAGATATGCGAATATCTAGAGGACTCCGACAGGCCAAAACCATGTTTGTTTCTTTTGAGTGTTTTAATTGAGAGAGAGTTTGCTGATCCAGAGGATGAGTGAGAAAGGAGTGAAGAAATGCAGAAGAGCGATGGTTTTATATCTTTCAGACTGCACGCTAATCCGAAAGTCGTCACAAGCGAACATTCTTTCGGGAGTAGATGCATAGGGGTGGTTGTGCGTGAACTATTGCTTAATTGGAGCGAGGTCGAGAGTGGAATGACCGCACATGATCTCTTTCCCTCTTCTTTCGACACAAATTGGAGGTTCAGAACAAGGCAAACGAAAAGAATTGAGGGCTCACCATGAGATCACAAGCCAGCTGATTAGACTATCATCTTGTCTGCCGCTACCTCTGGCTACCCATCACTCCTTCTAGTACCTGGATACCATTTCCTGCCAACAAACACAGATAAATAGAGGAACCCACATCTATCGCGGCACCAATTCTCCGTCGAAACAGACCCATACAGCCGGGAACAAAACTCGCGTAAGTCGCGGTCAATGTGATAGCCCTAAAGATTAACGTGAACACGCGGGTACATGCGTCGCTTGTGTTGTCTACTTGGGTACATCCAGGGATCAACGAACCAATCACCACCCGATCAACAGCCACGAGCAACACATGTCGATTCGAGTAGTCAGGAACAGCGACTGCGACCGCTTCCGCGGGCCGAGTCCATGCGCTTGTACATGACGGTCGTGTGTCACAACGCCTATGCGATGCAACGGGCTGCGGAAGAAGTGCCAACTGGGTTGCGCGCCTGTTGATGGTTGAGCGTCACAGCATGGCGGTCGTCATGGACAGGTCGATCGGTGCTGCTAAGCGGCGATTTGAGCGCTTTATTGTCTGAACGAACGCATGTGCCTGGGACTTTGCGGGACAGAGCTTGGGAGGAACAGCAGGAAATGGTAGGTGAGTCGATCACGCGCAATGCCAGTATCGCGCCCAAGATTACGGCAGAGGAATGACGAGTGCGCGGTATTCCGCAGTGCGTCGTCAACAGGAGGAGCAGTTGAGACAAAGGCTCCGACCAATAAGACGAATCTTGCCGGATGTAACCTTGTATTGTGTAGACCCGGGTGAATGGTACTTACCGTGGTAAAGGACTACAAGAGGTCAGTGCGAGGGTATGGAGCAAAGCTGTAGCCGTTGATGCATAAAGGCTTGCAGCTCTGTCGCTGCACGACAGTCGCCATTATGCTTGGTTCGCGGCAGCTGCGGTATTTGTTAGTGGCCGATGTCAGCACCACAATAGCTGTCGTACATGCGGCTGGTGTAGCGAGTTGCGGTGTGCATGGTGAAGTGGAACGGGAGTGGTGGGGAGGAGCACGGAGGAG